ACTATAAAGGCATTTTAATAGTAAATTAATACTAATTTATATATAAATAACTATTTAGGTAATAGCAGCAGAAAGTTAGCGCATTAGTTGCTAAGATAACTCTACATAGTAGTGTACTGCATGTTAGCAGCTAGGTAAAGTCTAGATATGTTTAAATTTAGTTTTAATTAGGTTTATAACTACATTCTTTTATAAGCTAAACTATGTAAAGAAAGTAAAAATACTAATATTAATATACGCGTTAAACTGCTTCTATAAAAAGGCTATTTTAAAAGTTAACTATAGTAGTAGCATGTAAGGTTATTAAGGACCTATATAAATTCTGTTTAAAATTATTCTAGATTTACTCTTTATTCTTTATACACTTAGTAGTAAAGTAGTTGTAATTACTAAATGTAAAGTATTTAAAACATTATTATAAGTAGTTTCTAACTTATTATTACTTTATTAAATGTTTTATTATATCTTACATAGTGCTAGAGTAAACTAGCTTTATATAAAAACTTTATTTTTATCTTATATAGTGTTTTAAATGTAAAGGCTATCTAAACATATTTTAAAGGCTATCTAAATACTATTTAAAGTTATTTTATTTTACACACATTTTACACAAGATACTACTTGTTATTTAGTGTATACTATAGTTTATATTATGTTCTCTTTCTAGGTAAAAATTAGGCAGGATTAGTTACTATCTAGACTAGGACCTATTCTAGACTAGTTCTAAACTTGTTTAGTATTATTCTATATTCCTACTATTACTTAGCTACATCTTTTTTTTTTTCTACTTTATGTATTCTAATGTCTTACTATTAAAAGGTAGTTAATATATGTTACTTTTTACTTTTTTTTTTATCTACTTTTAATTATGTTTGTGTTACTATAGTACTACCCTAGCTATCTCTTAATACTCTTAAACCTTTACTAAAGAAATACATCTAGTCTTCTCTACCTAAACAACCCCTTAGTCCTAATAATAAAATACTAGAACTAGAAAACATATTATTTAATAATAATTTTAATAACCTAAAAAATAATAATTTTAATAATATATATAATATTTTATATAACCCTTCTAATAGCTAATTAAATAACTTTATAAAATAGCTTTAAAGTCTAAAGTAAATACACTATTTTTATGTCTAGTATAAATTTACTTTTTATAATAGCTAAACTTACTTATGTTAAGTTAATTTCTAAATACTCTTTAACACATTCTAGTAGCTATATAATAGTAATTAATATAGGCAACTTTTATAGTAACTATAAACTACTTATTAAAGCTTTATAAGTACATATTTATTAAACCTAAATAGATTTTAATTCTAATAAATTTAAAGTATAATACATAGTACTCTCTTAACTAGAAGGTGTTATAGAAGCTAACTACATCTACTTACTTAGGTGTCCCCTGTATGCGCTAGACTATGCAGTGTAAAGGCATTAAAGCTTGCTAGTATATACATTCTAACTTACTACATATAACGCACACGCATGTTACAACTTACACATAAAAAATAATTATAAATAAAAAAGCTTTATTTAAGGTTCTTAAGACCTCTAGCTGCTTTAATAAGATAATAAAGTATTACTAAGTACTAAAAAAAATATAGGCTAAAAGGGGCTATTAGTAATAGTAACCTAATTATAAGTACTAATTAAAAAAGTAAAAAGAACTTATAAGTATATCTAATTTACTTAGGTTGTTTATACTAATAGGATTTAAGATGCCTATAGTTGCCCTTAATACTATATTAAGTGCTGTAATAGACGCGCTAATGTATTAATTTATAAAGACTATTTTTAGTAAAGTATTAATATAGTAATAATTAATTATAATTTATTACATAATTTAATTTAAAATAGATGTTCTTTAGACACACTAGCTAATTACTATATTATAAAGCTAGTTAGGTTAAACATAGCTTTCTATAGTAAGTCTGTCTTTTCTTATTCTCTTTTATATTGCGCTTATAATGTGTTTAAAAATAAATTATCTATAAAGCTAAAAAAAAATAGTACATTATAATAACTATAAGTGTAAGGTTGTAGTGTAAATACTTAATAACCTTATTATGTTACTTTATGTACTTATAACTTAAATTAAAACTTATTTCTATAGCCCTTTTACACTAAAGAAGACTCTTATTAAATATATAAAGTAGCTATTTACTATATACTGTAAGCTTCTTTACTTTAACCTTATACTTAGTAAGCTTATACTTTAAATTATTAAGAAAGCGTTTCTAATCTTATATAGCCTAGTTTAAAGCTAGCCTAGAGCTATAAAAGTAGTGCTACTAGCATTAAGCTTTAACCTCTAAAAAGGTGCATGCTAGCCTTAACAACCTATTACAAATACGCTAGTATATATAGAAAAAGAAGCTTCTACGCTAGCCTAATAAGTAAAGCCTTACTAGTATATTATTTAAATATAAGTAAAATTATAAAAGTAAACCTAATTTAGTATAAAACAGTATTAGATTTATTTTTATTATGCATACTAATAAGCTATTAAATAGGCATATATATAAGAGATTAAACACAGCAAGTTTAGCATTATAATATTCTACTTTTATAAAAAGTAAGCTAAAGTCTTCTTTAAATAAAAGACATTTAAGATAGACATATTACACAAGTGTGTGTATAACTTTTTCTTTAATAAAATTATTTTTATATATATACTACTAAAATATAGCAAAAGTAAGTTAATTAAAACTTTATAAAAACATATTACTAACATCCTTACAGTATTTACTCTTACTTAAGTGCTTATAAATGTTAATTACTATAAAATATACTAAATTATATTTAAAAGACTCTTTAAACTACTTAAGAAAATTATAAAGTGTAATATTAAATAAAAACACATTTATAAAAGCAGATTTGCAGCTGTAACTATAGATATAGATAAAAAGTAGATAGCTAGTAAGTAATCCTATTTAGCACTAGTCCTAGACTAGTCTCTAACGCAAGTATATAGGGTTTAGAATGTATCTAGCTAAGCTTAATTCTGTATAGAAGAATTAGCGCATTTATTACATAAGCTGCATGCTTTTCTACTATATACACTTTTATTAAAGCATCCCTTATGCAGCAAGAACTAAAGATAAGACTACTTACTATTAAATTATAATAGCAGACTTAATTACTACAGCAGATAAAGATAAATACATTAAGCTTTATACTAAACTTTAAAGTATCCCTTTTTTCTAAGCTTACTTTTACTATTTAATAGTAATTTAATAGTAGATAACACTTTACTTAGTATTACTTACTAGGCAAAGTATAAGAAGCACCTAGTAATTAGAGTAGGCATTAATAACACTTACTTTCTCTTTTTAATTACTTTTATAAAGGCTTTATAACATTATACTAATGCAGTAGAATAGATAAGCTTAAAGTTAAACTTATATAGTAAGTAACTTTATTTTTTACTAGCTATTTTTAGGTATGTTTTTTAATTACTTTTAATACACTTTATATACACTACTAATAATACTATAGTGCTATAGCGCTTAACGCTTATAATTCTTTATAATATTAGGCCTAATTAATCTTTAGTATTTTTTATACTAATAAAAATACTTCTAGTGCTGCCTATTAGTATAATTTTATAGTTTATAAAAGTTTTACTTTTTTTATATTAAGTTTTAAAGTAATTATAGTTTAATTTATATTAGATACTTTATAACATTAAATACTTAATAAAGTAGATATAATTAATTTTACTTAAAATAATAATATTATTTTTACTGTAAATACTACTAGGTATCTTTATTATAACCCTACTACATTAACTTTTTAAAGTTAAAAGAAGTAGTTAAACTTTTCTATATTATCTACTTCTTTTTCTAAAGTTATAAAGAGCTTTTTAAAAAAATAGTATACTGTCTAGCTTTTATTTAATTAATGTTTATAACTAATTTACTCTTATAATAGCTTTACTGCATCTTTAAAAGTTACACTAGCAGCACTAAAGTATACACTTTGCTTTATATACTTATAATAGCTATTTTAACATAATAAGTTTTTCTCTATTAACAGATATAAATATTGCTTAGTAAGAAAGAATTATTACTTTTTTAGTATAAAAAGTAGACCTACATTAGCAACTTTAAGATCTCTTATAAAAAAAAAGTTAGGCATTATTAAGCAAGGACTAGCAGTAGATAGGTAAATGTTACTTTTAATAGTGCTTTAATAGTGTTGCATTAGTGTTTAGCAGAAGTAAGATAGGTGCAGGACTAGTCCTAGACTTAATAATTATAAAAGGTTGTGTAATATTTAATTTAAAACTAGATAGGGAGCTTTTGTACACTAACTCTAGTTGTTCTTAGGCCGAGATGCACCAGTCACGACTTAAGCAGGGGGCATCGGAGTTCGTCGGGCTGGTGCAATGCCGAGCCTCCGATGGTGCACCTTTGGCGTTTTATCATGTCTGGGATCCGGGGAGGATACCGTGACAATGTTCTGCTATTATAAAAAGAAGTTTTTATTTTATTATATAAAGTAAGTTATTAAAGTTTTGTTTTATCTATTCTTTAAAATCCCCTTTAAAACTACTAGCATTATACTAACCTGTATGTATAAGCTTAATTATACAGGTTGTAAATGTAGTCTAGCGTATCTAAGAAGGTTTTGTAGACCTGCTAAGGTGGTCTACGTGCCAGCGCTCTAGGTTAACCTCTGTGCACATGATTATCTTAGAGAGGTAAGTTACTGCAACAATCTCTTCAATGTCTATTGTACAGGGGAGGGGATTCTTGTGTGGAGGGAGGGATCTCTTATGCGGTTAATTGTGGAGGAGGGAAGTTCTCGTGCAAACAGTAGTAAGACTAGGGCGCACAATAGTTCTTGTGCAGGTTGTTAACAGGTTGTTCTAGGTGCGCTAGCATGGTATCCAGAGTGTTGCAGAGACTAGCTTAGTCTCAATACAATACTAATTTCGTTCTGCTGTCTTACTTTGCAGTTCTCCCTAGTAGCTCCTCTATTCTACTATGCTCTCGCTCTCGCTCTTTCTAGAGCTTTGTGCCTTCTGGCTTGCGCTGAGATCTGAACGTCGTGTACACCGACTCGCAATGCAGTCTAGAATTCCCTTCCACTCCTCCTCTATGTCATGAAGCTTCGCTAATGTTTTCGCCTGCTCGCATTTCAACCCAGCAACTTCTGCCTCAAGGACACAGGTTCTTTCGTTTACAGTCTGAAACCTATCTCTCGGAACAATAATGTATCCAGGATCCTTAAAAAGTTAGCGATTATCGATGTGGAAGAATAATAACGCACCGACATCCTGCGTGTCTTTCTCAAAGGCTCATCGTCTGAATGTCCAGGTGAGGTCAATCTTCTTTTCCCCCTTGAAACCTCATCGTTGCTCTGCGGTGGGCAGGGCTACATGCTGCCATCTGGCTCTGGAAAGGTCGATACCACCTATTTCATGCTATCAGCTAAATGTGACCTAGCTAGCTCGTGCCATTACCTCCACCACTCAAATCGTCCGTACGAGCTTCAGGTAGATCAAATAAGCATATTCTAGATACCTAGGTGCATCCTCACCTTATCACAGCGTATGTCACCGTCTTCGATCGTAGAACTAGCTGCTGACGTTGGCGAGCTCTCCATATTCAAACACTCAGCGGGTGTAAAGGCCATAAACTGGACTAAAAACTGCCAGTTAAGTGCAGTTCCTTATCCGTTCCTCCTTTTACCCTGTTAGTTGCGGTACAAGGTAGACTGGAACAGGGCTCGACCTTCTTCTAACGCTTTAGGTTTTTAAGGCGCACTCTATGCCCGAGAACATGGAGCATGCGCGTCCCACGTCGTAGAGGTCAGCTGGATTGATTGACGTCTCCACAGCGTCTATTCCCGTCATTATACTGGCAGTCCATTACCCTTGTTTTATCCAACACGGACCTCCAAACAGGGAGGCGGCATAGTGCTGTCTCGTACAAGGAGTGGCATTAGCTTTAGTGGCAGCGACTCATATGAATGACCAATGAAGTGGCTTTTGGATGTTGAAAGGCTCATTCCTATACAGGTCTTTCGCAGGTAACGGAGTTGCTGACGTATGCAAGTCTCCATCTATTTCGACAACCTGGTCTGAAGGAGAAACGTGCCTTCATACAAGGTCGACCTGCTTGAGATAGGCCATTCATGCCTGCACGCCATTAGATTGATTCGTTACAGTGCCAAGCTCTCCTGTTTCCGTCACCCATACTGGAGGAATAGTGCGGCGGCAATCCATGCATACCATGGCATCATGTAGCTCTCTTTGTCTCGCCAGGCACTCAGCAGCCCCTACGTGGTTCAGCAGTGGAGGGTGTAGATAAAAGGTGGGTCTCTCTGGTCGAACATCAAGTTCTACACGCAAATTTGACATGGAGCGCGCACTTTTTGTTGGGTTTATATCTTGTTCCTTGTGTGGGATACTGCTTAGTATTCCTCTTCTTTATCTTGACGCTAAAAAGTCTAAATTGACACTAACCACAGTAAGAAACAGCCGCTTCGAGCGATACTCAGCCCTCGTCTTTGGCTTGATACAGATAGGCTTGCTTGCTGCTGTTTGTACTGCAGCTGTAACATCACTTAATAAGAGCCAGCAAGCTCGATGGATGGAAGCAGCGTGCTCCAGTACGCTCCAGATCTACGCGGGAGTTAACATAAGAGCCCTTATTTAGAACCCCTCAGCTTGAGCTTACGGACTAGATAATTTACTCGTCCTACACCACCTATCACTGCTTTCTTGGGCTGCACCTCTAGTATCTGCAATCTCCACAGTTTCTACTGTGCTCGACTTTGTATATCTGACGTAAGAACCCTGTCCACTAATGTTTCTATTCCTCTCACCTAGTTCAGAATACAAGGAAGACTTCCTGATTATCGGGTTTTCCTCTATATTACTATTCCCTCTCTTCTATCTTCGACTGTATCGTGCTGGCGAGCATACGAACACAAGAGTGCAGGAGGTAATAATCGGGGGTTCGTACGGTTCCTAATCTTGCTGGCTATTTCAAATGCAATATCAGCTCTGTCTCAATTCTGTGGAGCAATGATTATCTATAGCTTAGTACTCAGGGGTCGAGAGATCACGAGCAAAACTTATTCCGGCATTCTTCTGGTATGTATCGACCCTTTAATTTCTGTCAATCTAACCCATATAGAGTTGCACATTTATTTATCTCCTATGCCCTCTCCTTTTCTGCGTCAGCGGCGTGCGTCTATTCATTAAATGGGCATGGACTCAGATGCGGTCGCACCATTTGACCAGCACCAACACTGAGGGAGTTGTTAGGCTTGACATCCTAGGGGAAGCGGATTCGATACGTGATGAGAGTATTTAAGGGGCTGCTTTTTGAAATAGAAAGGCAGATATTTTTAGAATTTCGCGGAGTTTGATACTCTCTGGCAAAAAAAGTAAATTGCGCGTAATAACCTTTCACCCGTTGCTACTGAGCTGCTCTGTTCCCCTACACGACTCTCGATGTTCTGTCCACTGTTGCCCTCCCATCCACAACATGCAAAGATTATCGTACTCATAGGCGATGCACCAGTTACACCACGGCTGACTCCTCTAACATTGCCCGGTGAGAGTGCTCGCCGCAGGCCTAATGATGCATACATCTATTGGTTCTCTGCAAGCTAAGTTAAGCTCTGGGGTTTTGAGTTGGGTTGAACGAGCCCATGGCAGAGGGCGTTGCATGACTTGCTCCGCCTCTTGCTTCTCTACTTACATCTTAAATATAACGCCTAGGGTATCACTAAACGACCTAGTACCCCAGGCAAGGCAGACTTGAGCGCGCACCTTTGTTCAGGCCTAATCGTCTCGCCGTGAGCTGATGCTTTCGACATAATACAACACCCCAGAGAGTGTCGCACGTGTCTCACGCGATCCATTCACTCATTAGGACTAGCTCCTTTCTCGTACAGTATATAGTCAGCCCAGAGCTCTCTCGAGCTCCTTAGACCTTACAATACACTGGTACAATTCACCTTGTTTGGATCTCAATACCTTGTCGACTTGCTTACCATATGACCCCTTCTCAGTTCATGCAAGACTGCTATGTTAAACTTACTTAACCACTTTAGCCTTCACCGCAACACTCTTTGTGAATAGCATGCGATAGGGTGCGAAGAAATTGGACGATCTTACAGTGTCTTTTTAAGAATCCCTACTAGTAAATAAACAGCCGAGATGCTATTGGTCTGTACAAGCACTTACAGCATATCCCTGCTAGCAGCACATTTAGGGCAAAAAAAAAAATTACATACAACAGCGGGGATTCGCTGCTGGTCACCCACGCAACTACTAGTCCGCCGGTACACTGCTTATATCTGGCTGAGCGGACGGGAAGCCTAGTTTTCAGTGTCCTATGGTCATATGTGGGAAATTATCAATAAACGATAGTATATATCCTCCCGCGGAGTTGTAGCTATTGCTAGTTCTCTATGCATCGCCCCGCCATCAAGTTCGCTAGTTTAACTGTTCTCGGGAAACTGGAAGCAGAGCCCTGACTGCAACACCATCAAACAGTATGCTGCTTTTATGCGTTGCTGCCGGCCACGCCGCCGCAGGGCTAAAAGGGAGCTACGACTGTCGCAGTCGCGATGCGCACCTACGGCTCATCGCGGCCCATCACGACTTATCGCGACTCATCACGACTCATCGCGTTCACCACCACGGCTATGACTCTTAGAAGCTGGAGTGAGATTCATTCGTCTATATTCCTAGTTCCACGGTGTGCTCCTCATGTTATACAGACAACTGGAGATAGTTGATTCTTGGGTTTACGTGCAGCCGACTATTATATCTTATAACGTTATTCTTTATTTACAAATTTCTTGGAGTTAAGAGAACTCGTAAGTCTGTGTCTTTCTTGATATCAATCATCCCAAGCACCGGCCTCGTCTCATCAATCTGTGGAAAGGGCTGACTCTGATCCTCTAGGCGCATCTCGAATCGGTATAACATTTCCGCCACGAGGACCATCGCTGCCTGCGCTGAGAAATGCCGACCTGGACATTGTGTTGCTCCTCCTCCGAACGCCACAATGTTTCTCTTCAAAGCCGGGTTCTTCAGGAATCGCTCTACGTTGAACTCATTAGCATCCGTGCCAAATGTACTTTCATCAAAGGGCATCTGGCGATACGGCATCATGATACGGTTCCCTTTCTTCAGCGTCTTTCCACCGATAACCGTATCCTCCATGACAAGGCGCACAGACGAAGAGTACGACGCAGTGCGCAAGACCTCATTCCAAGTTGCGCGGAGAATAGGTGAGCGCTCATAGATGTACTCGAAATCCAAATTGTCATTTGCAAAAGCTAGCGCAATCTCCGTGAGGATGTTGTCGCGAAGCTTTGCGTCAAATAGAACATGGGAGAGAGTCCAAAACACACCACTGGAAGTATTCGTGTTAGCACTGTTCCAACGAGTTAGTTATTGTCTATCATGCACGGTTGAGGGTTTTGTATAACCTACCCCCAATAGATGGTCAGCAGCATAATAGCCATGTCGCGATTGGAGATGCCAACGTGCTGCATCTCAGCCTCGACGGCGGTGGTGTACCATACAGTATCCTTGTGGGACTCTACGGGGAGATCGAACCATTTCTCCACCGCATCAACAAGCTGTTTTAAGGGCTGGAACATCTTTTTCCCTAGGACTTCCGGGACAAGAAACAGAGCGCGCCACGAATGCTCCCAGAACTCAAGGCAGACTTTCACGGAATCAGGAGCAATGGTACGTAGCGATGCACCAAAGTAGCAGTCGGCAATCAACTCTGCAAGCATCTTGTCCGACCAGCGGTAAAGGTTCATGAGGATGTCATGCTCGCCAACTCGTGAGCAACTTTGGCCGACTAAAGCCAGATTCGCGACCGTAAGTTTGACCTCGAGGAAGGCATGGAACCTCCTGCTAATATCTCCTGGCTTGTTAGATGGATATAATTGGTAAATGTGGAAGTCGCGCGACATTCCGGCTAGACTTTTGCCACTTGGGTTGGGATGAAGGGCATCAACAGGATTGGACTTGCTGTGCATGGTAGGGTGTAGTCGCCGATGAGGCGCATTCCGGTCTGCTTTCCAATTTTGTGCTTACTCGTCGTGTTTACGGTCGACAGCAGATGCAAGTTTTCGTAAAGGGGGTATGTGGGCAGTTTAGAAATCGAGCCGAGAAGTTTTAGTGGAACTGTATCAACGTTTCGATACGTCTGATCTACTAGTCATCTTTACATGCCCGTGAAGCTGGCTACCCTGTAGATTTGGCATGAAAGTAGGTCGAATTTGCGGTGCTATTGCTGAAAATGGAGCGAAGCTCAGAATCAGAAGGGCACTCCCAAAAGGTCGTCCTTCTAAGCAAGGGTGGTGGTTGCAACGGGGAGCAAGACTGCCTCGCGAAGCCGCGCACCATGGTAATCTACAGCATTCACAGGTGTCTAAGAAGGAGACAGCACATTGATATGGGGCCTCAGCCGCATCAGCTGTCCCGGCTGATTTTACGCTGCGTTGGTGATGAAGTTGGTTGTCGCAACATTCGTGGAGGATTATAAGTGTGAGTTGCCACAGCCATGCGGAAAGAGGTCGTTCCAGTGGCGGTCCTCAATCATTCCGAGAAGGAGCGTTTTATTGAACGTACGGGACAGGCGCAATTTGAGTTTGACTTCTTCAAGCTAGACCTAGTTGGAATATTAGATGGTGGAGTTCGCGCTAATGGAATTCATTTTGGAGTATCAAATACAAGACAGCCGGAGTGGAATACGGCACATGATGTGAGATTTGGATAGCAGGATATATGACATCATTACAGTATTCTACGGCTTCTTCAGCTCGCCGAGGCCCCATTCCACCATTGGTTTGATTGCCTCGTCCTGCTCTGCCCCAGTCAAAGGCTCGTAACCTAGTCGCTCTTTCGCCTTCCCGAGCGACCAATTGCATCCCCGCTCGAAATGGCCCATGTTCTGTCGCCGCATCTCTGGGGTCTTGTGACCCAATGTGAAGATGGCGAAGAACCACTCGACCATAGAAGCCATGATCTGCATCACGCCCAGTGGAATAACCTTGATCTTCTCAGGCTTGACTGGCGCCCCTGCAGCGGCGTAGCATTTTCGAAAGAAATCCCAGTACGGAATCGCATGACCATCACTGATGAAGATGGCCTCGCCATCTACTTTCGGTACTTTCGTTGGACTGATCTCTCTACGTAGCACCGCCTTGGCCGCAAGGATGTGGGCCTCAGCTACTTTACGAACCTCGACAACTTCGAACACTCGTTTGTTATCGCCGATCTGCATCTTGTGTTGTCCTTTACGCACCGCATCCAGAAGCTGGGGTAGCATGCCCTTGTAGTCATAGGTACCGTACATACCAGGCACTCGAGCCGGTGAAGATAGATAAACAGACAGAATAAACTAACTAGACACTGCTAGAATACTTAAAGAAGTACATTAAGAAGTGCGTGTGCTAGCACAAGCGGCCGCGTGCTTCAAGAGGATCTCTGTGCCTTGTACATTGACACGTTCCTGCATCGCTTGCGGTGCAAGTGGGTGAGGAGAGGTAGTATGGATGACAACCTGTGGCTGAGTGCGCCTGAACAGTGCTTCGACTTGGGTTTCATTCGCAATATCGACCGACTCGTACATGACTGTAGGCTCTTGGTCGGGATGGCTTCTCGGATCACGGCTAGCAGAGTAGATCTTGCATCCGGGCTCCTTCACGAGCAGGCGGATGATATGGGAGCTCAGGAATCCGCCACCACCTGTGACTAGAACGCTCTTCAGAGACTCTGGAGAGGTGGACATGGCTGTGGTGGAGTTTTCTCTGCGTATGGCGAGAACAAGAGTGAAAGGCTTGTTGACAGTTTATGGAGAGCCGATGACATGGCACAGCAAGACTATCGGCCAAGCGGCAAACCTGAATGAGAGGGAAGATAAGAAGGGCCAGAATCCCGGTAATTCGGTAAGGCAGGAGAGAGTTCTTTCTGGCTTATTGCAGGTGCTGCAGGTGCCGCAGGCAGCACCCGTGGAGAAGGGAGCTATTTGACGAGAGCGTTGATGCTGGGCGGTTGCTTGTGACCTAGACCTAGAACTATTGTGTGCGTTAATCTGTGCAATGTCTTGGCATTCGCGTCGCGTCTTTTCCGCCTTACTAAATCTATAAGAACTTTAACTACGCAACAATTTGCCTCTATCTATGCCTAAATATCTGTTATTTTAGTTAGATCTTAAAGCTGTATGTACTTCCTAATTAGTATATGATTTTTAGCTAAAAAGCTATAGCTAGAGCAGCTACGCGTGTTTAAGTACTAGCGCCTAAATTTTTACTAAAATTAAGAAATGTTAGGTAGTTATAGGGTTTTATAGGCAAAATTTTAAATTCTTATACAAATTTAGTGGCGGAAAGCAATGTTTAAGGTGTTGTTAAGACATTGCACGGATTAACGCACACAATAGAACCGCGGCAATTTAGTCGCTTTTGAGCCCGCCAGGTTCTTATGATTGGATCGAATTTCAACTTGGCGCTAGTCCAAATATAAGCCTATATGCTTACGTACCGCACCGCCCAGGCGGGGTTCCCACCTAGTCCCTATTCTCCATTGCACCTGCAAAACGACTTGTCGCTGCATTTTTCGCGTCCTCGCCGGATGTCCCCTTTAGCGGTGCAGATGCATCAAAAACCTTTTCTCCAATTGCAGAGATCCTCGCGTCAGCCGTAGCATGGATATCGCGACACGCCGTTAGCGTTCCCCTCGAACCATGCAAATGTGCACTGCGGATCGGCATGGAATTCCTCAGCGATAACAACCTCACCGAGCAAACCGATTTCGAATACCAGCTCTCTCCTGATGTCCGGTCGCATAACCTGGAGGTCTCAGATTCCAAACAGGAAGTCCAAACCCTTAGTAGAATTGTAGCTGAGGTTAACAAATGCTCGATCTCAAGCCAATCGGATGAGAGCGTTGGAAGCGCATCCAATTACCATATAAGCAAGATCCCCCTTCTACTGCGGGAGTATGACTTGACCGCGCCATCCTCGCCTGTGTTTGGATTTGTGCATAATATTCCAGACCTCAATTTGCAAGGTTCCTCCAGAGCAAGCGAGGCGCAGAGTTTTCCCAGCGTTCTATACCCTCCGGCCCCACCTTCGATTCGATTATCGCCTTACGTTTTAATTCCACAACGCTCCGCTCCTCCACGTCCCTTTGAACAATCGAAGGCATCGATAGCAAACGCTTCTCGTAGCGCGTGGTTGGAATACCTGAACAGTCGGGGTCTGCTGGATAGCGAGTTCCATGAACGCGACTGGTCTGGGAAAGGCCAGCATGCGGAATATCAAGTGCATGAGATCCCTAGCATTCCGCTTGTTGTGGAGAACGTCCTTGGGCACACCGCTTCGGCATTGGTTGAGAGCGTGATTTGCCGGAATGTTCGCCTCGCACGAAAGACGGTCAGGTGCACGCGGAGAGTAAGACGAGAGGATGCGCTGAAGGAGGTCGAGCATCTGCAACGTCTCGAGCATTCGCACCTTGTCCGGGTTGTTGGAACCTACATTATTACTCCTAGGAAGGACCTTTCAATTCTTTTATATCCTGTGGCGGAATACAACCTTGAAACGTTCCTAGACTCCATCTCTGAGGATGTCGATTCCGACGACGTCCATCAGCTTGTGCTTGCCTCCCAAAAAGTGAGGAGTGTTGCTACATTCTTCGGGTGCCTTGCGCAGACGTTAGCATTTATACATGCCAACTTAATTAAGCATATGGATATCAAGCCTAAAAATATCCTCGTCCGGGATGTATCAAAAGAGCCGCCTTTGACTCCGCGCCACCCTGGTTCAAGGTCCGCAGTTAGATACAAAGTATACGTCGCGGATTTCGGCATCGCGCGGGCATATACTTCTGCTGAAGATGCAGAAACGGCAAACCCAACGGCATTTACTCGAGTCTACGCGGCGCCCGAAGTTGTCTCCCAAGACACCAGGGGTCTAAAAGCAGATGTCTTCTCCTTGGGTTGCGTATTTGCTGAAATGGTAGCAGCTCTGCTCGGAGAGCGTGACCACTTGGCAGACATCAGAGATCAAAACGAATTCGATTCCTCGTTTCAAGCAAATATACCGCAGGTACGGAAATGGGTTCAGGAGCTGCCTATATCCGATGCCATACCAATATTTCCAGATCAATTGTTTGCTATGCTTAGCAGAAACCCAGCGCACCGTCCACCGGCTGCAAGGCTTGCAAAGTTCTTAGGCTCGAGCCGCTGCTGTACTTCGGGGCCTGAGGAATTTATAGAGATTTCTGAGAAGGTTGCCAACTAACCGTAGAAGTAGCAGTTCCGCCCTGGAAAAGTGCAAAGCGCGCATACTATATTATTTAATAGAAAATTTTAGATCTAAAATATAATAAAAATCTATTTATTTCAAGGTCTATTTTTAGGCTAGTTTAGTTGTGAATTTTAGAAACCAGGAAGTATGAATGAGACAATATAGAGCGGTGCGGGAACTAGGCAAGAAAAGCTGCCGGGGCTGCAGGTGTTGGACTGGGCACTTTGGGTGCGAGTGACTCCATAAGCGGCGACAGAAACCCTCTAAAAAGAGAGTTAAAAGTCTGTAGACATAGAGTTAGTCTAGTAAAGTAAAGAATAAAGAGTAAAAGAAGGTTAAGTAGCTTATAAAGTTTCTTAAGGTTTTCTATTAAATAATAAAAAGACTTAAAAGCAACGCTAAGTTTACTTTACTCTAGATAACTATTATTAACTTATAGCTGCTGTGTATAAAGCTTCTAATTATAGATAAAAAATAAGATTAAGCTTAAGTTAAAAGATTATTACTTTAAAAGTAGTGTTAGTATAAGAGATATCTACAAGGCATATATACTGTTCTGTGCGTAAAATTAACTGTTAGTTGATTATTCGTACCTTTTTTAGTTGAGATGGAGGAGTAGTGTAGATCCCCGTCCCTACAGTATTAAGCAGGAAGTATAGGCACAGAGAGGGAATGCAGGATAGAGGGCAGAAAGAGAGAGAGAGATAGTAAACCTTAAAGTTAAAGGTAGAGGTACTAAGGCTAAGAAGCCTATATTGTCACGATTATGTTACAGCTATCCAACCCCTGAGTACCCTAGGCTTGGCACGGGGTATAGAGTGTTACAATCCTTACTCCGGCGAAATGGTATTTTCGGGAGTACTTCGGCCTATGGTGATGTGGTAGCGGAGGGGGGAGGACTTAGCTGGATCAGGTGTACAGTCCGTCGAGCAGAGTGTAGGGTAGATAGAGTAGAGAGAAGGCAGGTTGTAGTTTAACCTAGCAGCTGTATAGGGAGCTAGTAAACCTAATCTGTTAGGATAAGATTAGAGGTATATATAGTGCAGAATATATAAGGCAATAATATCCTCTTTGTAAAAGTTTTAACGTCTCTTAGTTTATTTAGTAAGTAAAGACTTAATAATAAACTAAACAGTAATTACAACTTTCTAACTATAGTTATAATTAAGGCTATATACATAGTGTTTACATGCGTTTGCATGCATTGCAGGTGTTACATGCATTGCCTGCAACCACCTGCAATACCTGCACTACCTGCAATGCTTAAATTTCTATTAGATAGTGCATTCTATAAGGCTTTTATCTAAAAGCTAAAGCTATTCTTTATTTGTCCTATTATGTAATTTGTTAAGCGCAGGGCTAAGTGTCTTCTATCTAACATTGTTTAGGCTATGTAGGACAGCTAGTTAGGTTATTATAGTCTAACTATTAGCTATAACACGTAGGCTTCTCTTCTAGTTAGTGTCCTTACTGTTATGTTTTTTCTATTATAAGTGTTAGATTTTTTTTTTAGCTAGTATGTTTTTGTTTTTAAAGGCTTGTTTAATACTAATCTTTTTTAACTATGCCTTATTAAGTTTCTTACACTTCTACTGTTGCCTGTTACTTTTGTACTATTACTTATCTTAATCCTCTTTATTATATAAAGATGTGTCTCTATAGTCTTTACTAGTCTTATAGTTTTTTTTACATAATGTTTTTGTTATTAGATAAGTATGTAAAATGTGTGTAAAAGAGTAGTTATTATAATGCTTTTATTTCTAATGCAGCTTAAAATTATTTAAAGTGTAAAAAAAAGAAACTACTTAGAAAGCTAAAGGCTGCTAAAGAGAAAGAGACAAAGGAAAAAAAAAGAAAGATAAAAGAATAAGCTAAATCCCTAAGGCGTCTTTAGTTCTTTATAGCTTAGCAGAAATAAGTTTAGAAATAGTTAAAAGTTCTAGTAAATTAAAAAGTAAAGTATTTAAAAGAAGACTTTTTATTACTAGACAAGCTTAAAGCGCTTAAAGTAAAAGTAGCTAGTCTTTTTTCTTCTTAACTTATGTTAAAAGGTTGCAGATTTCCTACATTATAGCTAGCTAATGCTGCTGTAGTTTTAACTAATAATAGTGCTTTCTAGTCTAGAGAGCTTTCTCTAGAGTAGTTTTGCTTAAAAGGGATTCTAGGTATTTGTAAAAAGCTTAAGAGGTGTTTAATAAGCTTTTAACAGGTTTTTAAGTATTTTTACTAGTAGGCTATCCCTTTTATTTTACTAAGTACTTGCTTTTTTTATAGTCTAGAATCTTTTTTACTTTATATTTCTTTTCTTTCTTTTTTTATTTTATAGTTGTAAGTAGAATAATCTTAGGCATAAGTTTAAGTTTAGAGACATAAAACTAAAGGTGTATTTACATTTTCTTTAGAAGTTTAAGCTTACAGATACTAGAGTGTGTTTATATTACTTAGTATAGTTCTATATGTTTCTCTACTAATTTCTTAGAAGGTCTTAGTGTTTTTAGGTCTTTTATGTCTAAATATATATAATTATTTAAGTGTATTTCTAGCATAGGTTTTTTTTTAATTTACTACCTTTTCTATAGCTTCCTAGGCTAATTAGGCTTCTTTAGTAAGTTTTTAATGTAGTTCTAGCAGTCTAGTTGTGTAATCTATTACCTCTAAAAGGTTAGTTAGTTATAAGCTATAAAGTTTATATTATAAGAGGTATCTAAAATTAGCTTTATATAGGGTTTCTTTAGTAGTAGCTAATTCTATAGTATTAATAACAAACTATGCTATTAGTAGCTATTTTGCCTAATTTGTTTGTTTATATAAAACATATTTTTATAAGAACTTTTTAACTTTTATGTTTACTTGTTCTGTTTGTCTGTCTATTTATAAGTAGTAAGTAGTAAAGAGTCTATAGTTAATTCTAAGGTGCTTAACTAAAGCTGTCTAGAACTTGCTAGTAAATAGTTTGTTATAGTTAAAGATAATAATTTTAGAGTAGCTATAAGTAGCAAAAACATTTTTTTTTAGTTTAAACATAAATTCTTTTACTATAATGCTTTTTTCTAATAGCTATAAGTAGATAAATTTAGTAGTTTTATTAATAACCTGTGTAATTATATTGCATAACCTTTTAGTGCTAGGTTCTTATAATAGTAGTAATCTAGTAATAAAATCTATAGTTATTATAGTCTATAGTTAGCTTAGTGCCTCTATTAGTTAGAGCAATCTATAAAGTTTATAGTGTTAGAAGTTGTTTTTATTGCAGGTGTTACATTTCTATAAGACTTTAGTGCACAAGTGTTTTAATTAAAGTATTTTTTTAAGTATAGTAATTTTAATCTTCTTTTATAGTAACTTAATTCCTAGGTGTCTAAACATAAAGGCTTTATAATATTCTTTTATTAAGTTTTTCTATCCTTACTTAACTACTATAAGGGAGCATAGTAATTCTTCTTAGTTTAGTCCTTTATAGACTAGTCCCTTAGGGGTTTCTTTAAAGATTATAAATTTCTCTAAGTTTTCTTTTTCTGCTTTAAAATAATTTACGCGCCTACTTAAAGTGTTAGCTTATTAGTTACTGCTTTCTGCTACATGTTTAATAATAAAATTAAATTAAGCAAGTTCTATAGCCTATTATACATGCATAGGCAAGAGTTTTTTAGTAGTAAGAAAAGTAATAAGGTTTACATAGTTAGTAAGGATTATAAATTACTAGCTTAATTTTTAAAGTTTAACCTCCTAGTACCTGCATGCATTTACTATAGCTTTTAGTTCTTTATTAGAAATAGTATATTTTTGCTCTAATAGCATAAATTTTACTAAGTAGTAAGCTACTAGGTGCTATTAGCTATTTTCCTACTTTTAGAAAAGTGCAGCTCTCTTAGCTCTTAAGGAAGCATTAGTGTTTACTTTTGTTTCTAGTGTAAGATTATATATTCTAAAAACAAGGTAGCTTATTACTATTTATTTTAGCTCTTAAAAGGCCTCTTTTATTTCTAGTGTCTATTAGAATTTCTAAGTAGCTCTCTCTTTTAAAGTAGCGTCTATAAGAGGAAGCGCTATCTTTAAATAGCTTTAGATTATTTTTTATACATATCTAGTAAGGCCTAGAAATCCCTTAATTTCTGTTACTGTTGTTAGTGTTAGCTATTTAAGTACTTTATTTACTTTAGTAAGGTCTATTTTTATTTCTTTACTATTAATAATAAATTCTAAATATTCTGTTTTTTATACATTAAACTTACATTTTTCTAGTTATAAATAAAGTCTATATTATTAGAGTTAATTAAGTATAAGTTTTACTTTAGATATATAGTCTACTTTGTCTTTTTTAGTATATATTAAAATGTTATCTAGGTATACAAGTATAAATATATCTAAATAGAGGTTAAGTGCAGTGTTAATAACTTATTAAAAAGTTACTAGGGCGTTAGTTAGTCTAAATAGCATAATAAGTAGTTTATATAGTCTTTTTAAAGTTTAGAAGGCTGTTATCTATTTATGTCCTTTTTTAATCCTTATTTTGTTAAATCTGTCTTAGACATTAAACTTAGTAAAGTGCTTAGTTCTTTTAAGTTAGTTTATAATGTTTTAGATAATTAGTAAAAGGTACTAGTCCTTTATAGTGTTGTTGTTTAGAGTTTAGTAGTCTTAACATACTCTTACCTTACTATTCTTTTTTTTAGCAAAGACTATAGCTAATGCTATTAGACTATTACTTTCTCTAATATGTTCTTAAGCTAGCATTTAGTCTACATACTCTTACAAGGCGTCTTTCTAAGCTTTTGTTAGGGGTTGTAGTTTGTAAGTTTTTAATTATAGGTTTAGTTTAAGGTTAATTACGTAGTCCTAAAGTTAGTGTAGTAGCAGTTCTTTTAAGTCTTCTAGGGTTTTAAACATATTTTTGTAATCCTAGTATTCTTCTAGTAGTCTGTTTACTTCTTAGGCTATTTAGTAGATTCTAACCTAGTTAAGGTCTTGTTTCTTTTTAAATTCTTTAAAAAAGATTTCTTCTAGTTCTTCTTTTATTAGGCGTACAGCCTAAGCTTTTAGTTCCTAATAAGGGAATTTTTTTAGTTTTTCTTATAGATAGTTCTTACTAACATTTTCTTAAGATATTAATTATGCTGCTTCTTTATAGCTTTAGCTAGTTAGCAACATAGTTTACTAGTTAATTATTAAGTTATGTTTATAAAGCTAGTTATAGCCTAGAATTACTTAGTATTTGCCTCTTAGTAGTAATATGTTAAAGGATATCTAGTTCTTAGTTCTTTTAGCTTTAGTAATAAGTTTCTCTGTTTTAAGTTAAATTTATCTTACTTTATACTTTATTAATAAAGTGTTAGCTAATAATACTCTAAAAAAGTTTTTTTTTCTTTAGAAGAGTATGTTGTTTTAGTTAACCTATCTTAAATTAATTACTATAAATGTACATCTACTGTTAATTAAAGCAAGTTCTTTCTATTTCTAGCCTAGTTATTAAAGAGTAATTTTTATTATTAAGCTTTAGCCTAGTCCTTATTTTACTGCAATAAGGATGTAAAGCTTATAAGGTGTTTCTTTATAGTCTATTCTGTTGTCTTTTTAGACAGCTTTAGCTGCGTCCTTATATTCTATAATTTAGTCTAATTATATTTTATATTTTTAATGTCCTAGTATTATGCATTCTATTGCAGTGCATTAGGTATCTTTTATTTTATAGTAGTATAGCATCTAATTATTTTGCTAGTGTGCCTTCTATTAGAAGTAGTAGAATGTGCACGTTGCCCTATTATTACACTCTGTCTATAATTCTTGTTTATAGACTAGACTGTTCTTATAATAGAGATAGTGTAGCATTTTACAGGTAGATGTTGTTCTAGTTAATGTATTAGTTTCTAATGCGCTTTCCTACATTTTATGTAGCCACTAGCTAGCCCTATGTTTAGTTAGCTAGTGTTTAATGCAATACTTGTTATTACATAAGTACTAGGTATAAGGACATTCCCTAAAGTTGTTTTGTACTAGTATTAGCTAAACTTATGTCTATCTAGAGTATTCCTTAGTTCTAATAATTTATAATAGGTAGCTTTAGTAAGTGCATTAAAACTTATTATGTTACTTACTTCTGCATAAAATGTAATATCTTTTATCTTATTAAGTCTTTAAGTCTTTGCAGGTAATAGCTAACGCAAGGGGAGGCGTGTTAGCCTATTTTTAACATAGTTTAAGTGTTATTAGTAGCATATACTACTAGTTAAGGCCTTTTTTTTTATTAAAAAATTTTTTAAACATTTTTTATTATTTTTCTTTATTTATAACTATATAATGTGTTTTAGCAATTTCTTTTAGTATACTATAAGTTTTAGTGTTGTTATTAATATGTACTTTATACATTAATTTTTTATAGTCTTTTTATCTATGTGTGTTACTACATTTCTAGCAGTCTTTATAAATAAATTAATATCTTAGCTCTTAGGCAGAGATTCCTGTTATTAGTTGCCTTAAAAGAAACTTTTCTTTCCCTTTTTTAATGTTCGCAATATATGTTGTAGCCTAAGTATAGCCTTACTATTCTTTGTAAGTAGCAGCTTGTTCTAGTGCCTTAAAGACTTTATTACTATTTTATACCTTAACTTTCTAGTACTCTATAGAGCATCCTTTAGATTTGTAATTATCTCTGCATTACTAGTAAAAGCGTTTATTAAGCTAGTCTAGAATCTCCTGTTCTATTAGGCCTTATTCTATATGCATTACTTTTATAGTTAGTCTGCTGTTTTTATTCTTTAGTTATTTAAAGTCTAAGCATTTTTAGTAAAAGTAGCTTACTTTTTTGCAGTTAAGGCACACCTTTTTTTTAAGCTATTTCTTTTATTCCTTATTTAGGGGTGGCCTTACACTTTTAGAGGTATTACTTTTTTTTTAGAAAAGCTACGCGTATGTTTAGTGTAGCTAAGGTCTATAAGTTTACTATTAATTTATAAAGTTTCTTTCTTCTTCTAGAACTAGTTAGGTTTTTTAGTTATTTAGCTTTTTTCTTTTTTACTATGTTGTTCTGCATGTCTTTTATTATATATAAGTGCTTTTTTAATGTAATTTTTAAAGCTCTTAAGCTTTTTTATATAAGTAAATTTATTTTTAATGTTATCTAAGAGCCCTTTATAAAACATTTATTTTATAGCTTTCTTATTTATCTATCTGCAGATAGCTAGCAGTTCTCTAAAGCAGGCTGCATATTATTAGACAGAGCTGTTGCCTTATTAGAGAGTGTTTATTTTATTAACTACTTATTTTTCTTTATTAACTAGCCTATAGATTGTAGTTAGAGCTGCTTTAAATAAATTAATATTATTAAAAATTTTCTATGTTTCTAGGGGTAAGAGTTTGCTGTTAGTCTTGTAGTCTATTTAGTTATTAGTGTGTAGTTAGAACTAGATAGTAAGCAATCTTTTTAAGTATAGGCTTATTTATAAGATTATTTCTTTGTCTATTTTAAAAGCGCCTTTATTATATTGTATGTAAAGGTAGCATTTAGTAAAAAAAAGTTTTAAGTTTTTAGCAAAGCTGTTAAATGCTTTAGAGGGGGCTAGGTATAGAGTCTTTTTAAATTTAATGCTAGTTTTTTCTTAAGTAATGTTTTTAAGGTTTGCTACTTCTAGCTAGAGGGCTTAGATCTAGTAAATGTTTAAAGGTCCTTATTATGCTTATAGCTAAAGGTGCTGTTTAAGCTGTTTAAGCTTGTTTTAAAGGTAAAGTATTTACTAATTCTATGCTTTTTTAGTTGCTGTAAGAGTCTAGCTAGTGCTAGTAGCTAAAGCACTTGTTATGCTAATGTCTAAGGTAGTAGTAGCTATACTTTACAGGTGGTAGTAATTACTGTTATAATCTTTACTCTAGTAAAATAGTATTTTTAGGAGTACTTTAGCCTATAGTAATGTAGTAGCGGAGGGGGGAGGACTTAGCTAGATTAGGTGTACAGTCTGTTAAGCAGAGTGTAGGGTAGATAGAGTAAAGAGAAGGCAGGTTGTAGTTTAACCTAGTAGCTGTATAGGGAGCTAGTAAACCTAATCTGTTAGGATAAGATTAGAGGTATATATAGTGCAGGATATACAAGGCAACAACATCCTTTTTATAAAAGTTTTAACATCTCTTAGTTTATTTAGTAGGTAAAGACTTAATAATAAACTAAATAGGAATTACAACCTTCTAACTATAGTTGTAATTAAGGCTATATACATAGTGTTTACATGCGTTTGCATGCATTGCAGGTGTTGCATGCATTGCCTGCAACCACCTGCAATACCTGCACTGCCTGCAATGCTTAAATTCCTATTAGACAGTGCATTCTGCAAGGCTTTTATCTAAAAGCTAAAGCTATTCCTTATTTGTCCTGTCACGTGATTTGTTAAGCGCAGGGCTAAGCGTCTTCTATCCGACATCGTTCGGGCTGTGTGGGACAGTTGGGTTATTACGGTCTGACTGTTGGCCGTAACATAGAGGCGCTTCGGCCTCCATACCTCTGCCTCCGACCCTAAGGTTTACTCCCGTTACCCCCCCCTATCCTGCATTCCATCTCTGTGCCTCGTACTTCCTGCTCGATACCTCTTGTATATATACTCTATGCTAAGCTATTAAAGTACTTAGGGGTTTCATAGCTGTAACATACCTATAAAAGTTACTTTTAGCACTAAGAAACTACTAACTTACTAGAAGCAGACTATTTTTAATCTACTTATATTTTATTACACTATTATAATAATCTTTAGCCTATAACTTATCTACTTTATTATAAAAACTACTAGAGAAAATATCTACCTTAGTATAAAAAAGTAGAGGCTTTTATAAAAGTAGTTTTTTAGCACTATGTTAATGTAAAAAAAAAAGAAAATAAAACAAAGCCTAAGCACGTTTTATAACATAAAGTACCTACTTACAACTCTTTTTACTAGTGATAGATTATATAAAAAAGTAAAATAAAAATAACAAAGTTATAATAATACTATGAAAGCTTTATAGAAACCTAAATAAAGCTAATAGAATAGCTTATTATTTAGTACCTTGTTAGACTAGTAGCTTTAAACTAGCTATTTTATTCATTTTACTTTATTTAAAATAGCTTTTAATTTCTTTTTAGTCTTTTATACTTCTGTTAAGTGTAAGAGAGCTTTTAGTAGAAGTAAAGAACCTATTACTTTTAATAAAAACTAGCTTTGTTGCTAAGTTGTTTAAAGTAAATTAAAAAAGCTTATAGTTAGACTATGTTAAAAAGACCTAAACTTCTAGCACTCTAACTAGTACAAAGAGGCGTTTATAAAATGTATTACCTGTAGAGATAAATTTAAACGTACTTGTTACGCTTAGTCGAACCCCCTCTCGTTAACTGTAAAGTATAACTGTACTAATAATGTAAGACGTAGGTTGGTAAAACGGCCTAAGTGAAAGGTACTACACCCTGTTGAACACCCTGAGGAGGAGAAGGATTTAACTCATTCAATAGATTATAGAGAGATTTTAAGAAGGTCCTGTTTTTGTATCCATGGGGATCTTAGTCTAGGCGAATGGCGATTTGCGGCCATTTCACCGGCTGTTGGCTTCTCAACGGTATCGAGGGAAAGGTGCCTAATAACTTGGGTAAAGCTGGATATACGTGTGTGGATGGAAATCCTTGTAACTCGTCTTTGTTTATTATTTCATGGTGTTGAAGTATTCTAACAGTTCTACAAAATTCTATGAAAACTGCGTAAAGCCTCAGGAGGCTTTATATGGACACACGTGTCGATGCGGGGTGCAACCAATCTGTGGCTCATTCGCTGAGCCCGTTTATGATGACTCATCCTTTCTTTCTTTCTTTTGCTCGTACAAGTCCCACGAGTACCTTGGTAGGCACCGCCGTCCCAAACATCTTCTCGGACTCTGCTGAAAGCTTCTTTATAAAATACCATTGGTTGTAGGTACGTCAACAAACCTTGTCTCATCTTTACTTCAACAACACCGACGACGGAGGACGCCCCATCACATTCTACTGTCAAGGGATCTGTTCCTCACAGAAATGGGCAAGCATCGCTCGAATCGTAAGCCAGGGAATAAGAATTCCAGAATTCACCAGCCTTCTGGCACCTCCCGTTCTCGACGTAAAGTCTCGGCGCTCCTCCAGCTTCCTGGCGAGATTAGGAATAAGATCTACGAATTCGCATTGTACGAACCCGCTGGAATTCAATACAGATATTGGACGAACAGAACCCACAAGAAGCCAATCTTCTTCGTAGATCAAAAGACCAGCACAGAACCGCAGGAATTTAACCAGCTTAAGTATGTCTGCGGCAAGCTACACACTGAGACCGCCGGAATTGAGATCAAGTTCAACAACCTCATTTTCTTACAGCAGGCAACCTGGCAGAATGACGCGATGCAGCAGTGTTTGAATTTTTTACGCTCTGGCTCTCCGACTAAATTAACTTGGCTGAGAAATCTCACGGCGATGACGAATCCCAAAACATCCTGGCCATGGGCTCCGTTCTACGTATCTCGGGCTCTAGATTCTATCACTAAACTCAGCGATTTCGCCTTCTGCCATCCTTCCATCAGCATTAAAATCATCGTCCCAAATTTCTCCTTCACCAGCAATCCCCGACATCATCCGGACGACAATGGACAATTGGCAGAAGACTTCATTGACGATGGGGTCTACCTCAAGCGCATTCTCCGCGAAACCGAAGTCGGATGGTTAATTTCGGAGCGTTTAAGCCTTATGGGTTATTACGGTGGGGAGGCGGAAGTTCTGCGCCGAGGGAGAGATTGGAAGCGGTGGCAGGCGCCGAATATCAAGGTCTTTCCAATGGATCGTAGTTTTGATGAGGAAGTGTTTAGAAAAAGTGCAATGACATCAGAACACTTGTGGGGGACGAGAGATAAACTTTTAGAGGATTGGATAAAGCATGCGAGGGACTGGGTTGAGAATGGAATTTGAGGTTGTGTGATTGAGTTTTGGGGGAGATTGAGGAAGCGATGAGCTTGGGCGTCTTTATATCGACAATAAGTGGCTGAAATTATTATTTTTTTAGAGGCTTTCCGTGCTAAGACTCAGTTGTGTTTCGGTAGGTTACCATATCAAGTCGAGAAAGGGGAGTGTCTCATGTGATAGAACAGCGAGATCTACTTTAGTGTGCTTGTGCAAAACTGAAACCACAGTCAAAGGCAGGAAGGTGCCGTGCATGGTGGTTACTCCAGCGACGCAAGAATATCCGCCACCGCCAGACTGGTAAAAGAAATTGTCTCACGTTTTCATCTACCTCTCAGTTCCCGCAACCTTGGACCATTGGGGCGAGACACGTAAATGTAACGCCTAGACGCGGGAACAAACGCTCGCTACCACCCAACAACCAACAAGCCAGATATATTCAACCCACGTTCGTTACCTCATTATTCCTCAGTCCCCTTCTCAGAAGCGATGGTGTCGACCCGAAAACGAGACTACGACCACACCGATATGGCTCCCAAATTCATCGCCCGCCTCAAGCCCTGCAAGACCCGCAAGCCTAATCCACGCAAACCACCCGCCGACGGTAGCTGTCCATTTCTCTCTCTCCCAGGAGAAATACGCAATCATATCTATAAGTTTGCATTAACCGAGCCAGGAGGCCTTCATTTCAACCGGCGCGGAGGCCGGGAGATGCTGACCGCAAAGGGCCGGTGTTGGCATTCGAACAAGCTGCAATTCGTCAACAAGCAGATTCGAGGTGAGGTCAAAGGCCTTGGCCTCAAACACAATGATCTGAATTTTACGACCAAGAAAGAGGCCGATGAAGCGCCGATGACGACTGCCGTTACCTTCCTCCTGCAGGTCCAGCCGAGTTGGTTCAAACACATGCGCACCATCATCATTTGCCGGAAAGAGCCCATTGACTACATCTTCCGGGAGCTATATCAGCGCGAAGATACCTACTTCTCATTGAACTCCCGCGACAAGCTCATGGACATCTGTCGCTCAAACCCCAACATCACCATCAAGATGATGTTGCCTGGTTGGCAGCTTAACGGAACTTGGTGCTTCTTCATGCTGATGAGCATCCTGCTTACGCGCGTGTATCGCGGAGAAGATATCCGCCATCTCGACACGTGGGGCGAAGATCCGGAATTTGTGCTCGCGCTGTACGGGTATGAGAAGGGTTATTTCCTGAACGGGGTGGATAGAGACGCGTGGGACGCATTGTGTGTGCCGAACTTCAAGATCTTTCCGCTGGATGCAGGTATTTCAGATGAGCAGCTGGAGCAAAAAATTATGCTGGCGAACGATAGATGTCGTGGTCATGTCGCATATCGCGCGGATTTAACGGTTTGGGCGGAGAAGGCGAAGGAGTGGTACGCGAATGGGATTTAGGAGTGGGGGAGGGAAGGGTGTTCATGGAGCGTATTGAGGGGCTTAAGATTTAATGAGCATGATCGCTCAGCCTTTTCCTGGATTGATGGAGATTTGTTCAGAGTCGAAGGGATATCCTCTTCTGGCCTTTTCTGGATTTGCAAGAGAGGCAAATTGGGGTGTACGAATGTACTGTGTATTTTCGGCCGCTCGTAGGTTCATTTTGCCTAGCCTTAGCTAAGTAATATGGTACTGAGGAATGGATATTGATACCCGAGACATTGAGAGGCGCGATCTTCTAAGGCTGCCGTGAAGCCACATGACAACGGACGTACCCACGTATGATAGTAAACGAAAGCAGGTAGCCTATTTAAAGTTGTGAGCTACTAAGAATTTTATCCTCCTCTCCAAGACATAATGCACAGATATACGAAAAAAGTGCTGCCCAGATGTAAAAATTTCAACGTTGGAATGCTACCTTGCGGCTTTACGCTATGCCGACGGCCTGTCATCTTCATTCCGTAGATTGAGAGCCCCACTAAACTCTACTCCTTTGTACTTCATCTCTTTCACAAGTGCCAACAATTTTGCTCAATTTGTAACTCGAGTCTTTCGTAAGATAGCTTTCGAGAGCCCGAGCTCGAAAGGGGTAGTTTTCAAGGGAAATCGGACAGGTGATACGAACTCGCGTTGCCCAGCTGGACGCACACATTACTAGTCTGTTTGCCGATTTTAACCCCGATGGTTCTACGATGAGCCCCCGAATCAATCGTGGGCTTGACACCCCACAATATTATGTAGTACCTCTAACCCTCAGTCCACAATACATCACTACTCTCATAGTTCATGCCCCCCTGCGAGGCTACACTGATTTTCTCAGCCCCTAGGAGATCTGAGAAACAAAATCTATGAATACGCCCTCTCTGAGTCAGAAGATCTGTTCTGTTATCAGGACAAGGCTGTTTCGAAACTCTCTGCCTCTGCCATGTAAAGTATGAGTTCCATCCGCTGAAGTATAGGTATCGGCAACTTACCACGAAACCGCAGGCTTAACTAGCGTTGAAATGCAACGATTATCTAATGTTCATTGCGCCACACGAGTCTATTGAGACCGATTCGAACGTTATGATTCTTGACTTCCCGAAACTCTGCACTCCACTTGGGTCAGACTAAAATGTAACTCATCTCACTACAATTTCCTAATTATCAGGGTAATCCACGGAATTAGAAAGATATACATTTAAACAAACAAATCCCATACATGCCCCTCCTTACAACTTCGGCTAGCTCCCTAGAGAAACTACGTAGTAAGATTTATAGTTTCCTACTTCATGCCCGAACCATCTTCACTAGTTTCAATCAGTCGCAAATCAATACCATGATTGGGCTATTTAGTCTAGCCAATAACCAAATCGAGTTTAATCACATGAAACATGTTTGTCGGCTGTCCTTCGATGGAACTGAGGATCTAGGAATAGAACATCTTCACCGCTGGATTATCCTCTGCAGCTGTACCACTTCGCTAACTCGCATCTCCACCCGTACCCTGATGCTCACATCGACGAGCACCACAACGCCAGGCGAACTCTCAATGCCCCATTGCGCTAACTCCCTAGCGAACCTTGAAATCTTTTCTACGAATTCACGGTTCCGAACTCCTCCAGCACACATCACTAGCGAGAGCCGTGTTAGATCCTGTGGGAGTAACAGCGAATTTCGATGAAAAGGCATTTTGCCACAAGGTGGCGAAAACTCATATTCCTTCCAAGATGAATGAAGATTTTATTAGCTTGGGGAGGGGCTCATTGGGTTGGCTTTGTGGGAGTGGTACAGGAATGAGATCTAGGAGGGAATGGGTACTTGTATCTATTAGGGCTATTAGCTTTGATTCTCTTGACGTTATGCGTAAATAGTGGTCGTGTGTGATATGCACAGGATGAGTGTATAAATACTTCAACCAGAAAGATGATGCTTGGGAAGCAGAGAAATGAGACACTGAGGAAGCCATGGAATGATAATTCTAGGCCTATTCTACGCTAACAATAATCCCTTGAATAGCATCCGCCATGATACATTTTCGAGCGGTTGACATCTTGTACCGTTATTTATACTATCTTGCCACCCAGAGAGGAACTTGACCGGGGGGTTTAAAGCAGGGATTTGCTCCTCATTAACTTTCTCCCCGCTAATATTCCGTGGTAGTAGGCGTAGAGAACGTCTTCTGCCTAAATCACTCGCTGATCTGGAAGATTCGGTCAAGATTTGCATCATATATCAAGCAATTTTCTACCCTTGTATTAGTCAGAAGTTATTTAACTTCCTAGCTAAAGTCAAATCGCACCTCAGAATCGTGTTGAGTCATTGCATCGATTCCACTCTCAAATTCCGTTTTCGAACCAGTCTCGCGCATGGCTCACCCACGTATCTATCCCGCCTTCAACCTGAGGATGTATCACAACCTCCCCGGCATCTTTAGAGTGTCGGAAATCGTGCTCATCAAAAGATCCGTGGGGGAAGAATTTTACATTCGCCGGCGACTTCCGGAAAGCTGGAATTAGGGCCTGTCCTAGTACTCCGTCCATATCCATTTGGAGGTATACCCGGATCCTTGGCACGAGATATGTGATATCGGCATTGCGTGCTAACATTTTGAGAAAGATTCCATGGCAGATGAAATTTTCGTTGTCCGAGTTGAGGCGAAACCAACGGAAGATGATCCTCACCATTGCCTTTGGGTTGTACTTTGCGAATGTGTGTATGAAATGCATGTACAAATATGCTGTGAACTGTTTCAGGGGGCCATCCTCAATAGTAACGCTTCGAATCCAGGATTGGTGGATAGGGGAGCAGATATCCCGGAAAGAGAGGAACATATGCACTCCGTGGAGACTGCGCTCTTGGTCGAAAGGAAAGTGCAGGTCGTTGTACCTCAACTCCAACCCCGCAGTTTCCATGTACATCTGCCGAGACACAAACTTCAGTTGATTGAATTCGTCGGCAGCGTTTTGAGAGGCGTACAACTTCGCACGGGTCACTAGGTGCTTGTCGTGGTGGTATCGAAGACTACCTGGTTCCGAGAGCGCAAATTGATAAATTAAGTTTCGAAGTTCGGGAGGAAGACGTAGAAGAGGGAATGGGTTGGTCTCTGGCATTTCTGAGGGAGCCGGTGGTGAAGTTCCGATTTGGAGCGCTCCAAGCGAGAAACCCGAAATAGGGTCGCGGCAACGCACATGACTCTTTGAAATGACCGAGGGACTGAGCTTGGAACAACGATATTGTAGGCTTTTAGGTGGAGGGTCTTGATCTTGGAGGCAGAACATGGTAGGGCGATGGAGAAGTTTTGGCGAAATTCTCGAGATGAAGAGTCCTCGGATTGAGCGACTTCTAAAGTTGTATGATTTAGTCGCTTTCTATTGCTCTAGAATCTGTATTAGAGCCGGAACTTCTCACGGTTGAAGCCCAAATTATGAATGTTTGCTCCGGGTGTGCTACTCGTCAATCCGCGGAAGAAATTCTTACCGGTCCAAGGTTCTCGCAGTCCGCCATCTAAGCATTGTGGGCCCCTAAACTTTCGGATTCAACAGCTTTAAAGAGTGTTCCCCTTCGATAAAAGGTGCAACGCGCGGGTGACGGCGTCTGATGCGCTTTTCTTGTCCTCGCAATTTCTTCGCCACCATGGCATCGGGCATTACCTCTCAAGCCACATCAAGTCACTCCGGAGGTAGCGTTCATTGTTAACACAATTGCTTCCTCTAGATATTTTTGATTTAGCGACGAATCAATTTCAAAAGAGACGGAGTGCGACACTCCCTTGGACTCTACTTTGGCCTTATCATTCCAAGGTTACAGGATCGACATGCATGTAGATGCCGTGAAGTGAAGCAGTTGATTCAGCTAATCTTAATAACTTCCTTTGCTCTCTTTGGAAGTAAACTCTAACTAAGCCAAATTTTCAAAACTCTCAGCCCCCCCCTCTGTTTCCTAGTTCTTTGCCTACGGGTATGTAGGTATATTAATTAGATCTAGAAAAAAAAATTCAACGACGGGATTCTCGGATTGAAAGTTGGCAGATACTAAGTTCAACAAATCGCTACCCAGAATCCAGAAACTTTAGGAACATTGACTTTGTCTATTGCCTTCCTTACCCTCCAAAGTAATTTCAGATCCTTATGGCGGATGCTTCGAAAATTCATGCAGTGCCTTCAGTGCTTGATCTTTTTCCGTTAGCCTTTGCGCTTCCGTGATTTTGGATTTCTTTGGTTAGGCTGTTTTCTGGCCAAATTAGGAGACCTACGTCTAGCTCCTAGCCATTTTTAGGGATCCACTGAACGAAAAAGTGGGGAAGCAAATAATTCTCACTCACTAATCTCTGAAGAGTGCCACTATCTCGTTCATCTCGTCGTACATTCAAATTCCCTCTCATAAGACAAGTTCGTACTACTATTTTTAGCAGAGAGAAGAATAATTTCTAAGCATGAGGGCTTCTAGGGCATATTTCTTCCCTTACTACTAATTAGTATCTTTACTGTAAAACCTCCTGTGCAGCAGTTGCCTATACAGAGGTCCAAGGCCTTTGATAGCCCTCATATCCACCCTGTAGCAGCAGCCCTTAGGATTAAGACAATTTTAGCATCGTTGTCCTCTTACAGTTCTAACATAGTCTTCGTGGTAGCTGAAAGTGATAGATTGGTTAGCTGTCTAAACCATAAGTTATACAATATGTAGTTATATCTTATATCATCTAGAGGGAATAACTCGCCTGTTCTGTTATCTTCCAGATCGCTCCTTCACTGTAGAATGCATGAGAATCTCACAAGATCTATGGATATCTTCGAAGGACCCATTATAATCCTCCTAGGTCCCGTCGAGGATTACTTCCGGCCGCTAGTGGGATTGCCCCTGGTGAAGTCGATAAGTGAACCTCACCGCCGAAACTGATACGCCTTCGTAACTCGAAGTCCCTATAAGACGCTTGCAAAGCCACATTAACCTCTAGTCGATCTATAGCGTCTTCAAAATATACAACGCGACCCCTTTGGCATCCTCTAGTTCTTCAAAGTCTCCAATCAAACCTGACCCATGCGAAAACATGCCTATCTACTGCTAGATATAGCCTGCCCCTCATTTACCTACAGCAGCTCAAGAAATTCTGCGCTCGGAAAAGCAACCTCAAAATATTTCTCATTATAGAGAATGTTAAATCTCCGCCCCTACAATTGGCCTGATTACATTCTTCGCCTACTGTCGGTTGCTTCTATCGACACGAAAACAGTTACGAACACACAAATTGTCCTTCCCGTTGTATACTTTTTAGAACCTTCAGCACCCGTACTTTCTTACACTTTCCTTGTGAGTGTTAGAGCGATATTATGCCATGTCGGGCCAGATATTAACAGACATCCACTATTGGAGTCACTTCAACACGCTGAACAAGCACAAAAAGTTGCTAATTCCCCAAGATCGCAAGAGAGAGTCCTCCAGCTTGTAACCTTGTACCCGTATTCTCAAATCTGTACCCCCACGAAATCTATCGCAATTGCCCGACGAAATCGAGGAAAGCGGTTATCTCACGTCATCTTGAATAAAACGGACGATTTTATATTTGATGACAGGCTTTGTAGGTCCCCAATTAGGGCTGGCAGCAAACATGTTCGAGCATAACCAGCTCCAATACATCATCTCGTTCGAGAAAAACTTCGTTGGGGGCTCCCTATTCCCGATAGCCTTAGGCCTGCGGGGCTAGAGGGCCAGTGAGGAGCCTAGCTAGGTTTAGGTCAATGCAACCTCAGATTTCATCGTTGAGCTCTCGGGAACGTAGGTTGGTTGGGTGGTAAACCCTACCTAAAGATAGGGCATTGGGATCCATCACTTGGGAAGGGGTAATTGGTTGGCACTGAAGAGCGAATATAATACTTACAAGGAACAGGTATTAGACTTCTTTCCACTCAAGTGTTTCTGTAAGCAAAGGGAATGCAAAATAAATATCCTTCGGAGCTTGCCCCGCGCTAAGCTACTTTCTGGGAGTTACACACCACAGCAAAATTTCCCTGTCAGCGAGGAATTACATATGGAACATGTTCCAGTCAGACGAAGGCCTCCGCGGCCAAGTGCCTCAACATTGAAAAAATCCTTCGTTTTGTGGTTTATCCGCAGTAGGTATATTCTCAGATAGGTTCCGATTATTCAACAACCTGGCACAGCTACATATAACCCAAATGATAACCCTTCGCCGGCTGATAGGCCGAATAGAAGAAGCCGCTCGCTTCACGTTGAAATCAGGAAGGTTCTTACGAATCGGCATAGCTCTAGGGCAATATGCAATGAGACTGAACAATCCTCTCGCTCTCCATGCTCAGTACTGGTGTCTAATGTATCGAAGAGACACGCTAGTGGTCTAGATTCAAGAATCTAGATGCTGTGAACCGGGGAGTAGCGCTGGCATCTTCGAACCCGCGACAGACGTTGGGCTGCGCTATAACACCGTTGTTCCCGAGTATCACTATCTTACTAGATGGTCCCACAATACTGTAGAGGCCACGCAGTCTGAGTCACGGAAGCTCTAACCATGGCTCTCATTTCCCACACCCGCACGGCCCGATGAAGCCACTTCCTATGAATGTGCGCTGTTATTCACTAAGTCCGAATTTGGAATTTCTCCATGAATGTCAGGTTGCTAGGCATTTTTAACGGAAAATTTCTTTTTTGCGTTCTTAACCCTCCTTCCCCCATGACGTCCGGGTGTTGTCATTCATGCCAAGACTCTGAGACCAGTTGTGCGACAGCTGTAATGAGAAACACGCGGAAAGTGGTTCCATAGATAACCGGAGGAGAGCTGGCCGGAAATATGGTCCGTCATGTATAATCGACTCTCCCCAGCTTTGGACCAGACTTCGCTGAATATCAGGCCACTTCAACACTCTCTTCGGAGCAGTTCTATGTTTAGATCATTTAACACGATGTTTTGAACCTCTAAGCGCATCTTTATATATATATGTTACTCGAAAACGACATTCGACGGGGACCTAAGCCCAACACTTCAAGGTCCGACGAATGTTGACCACTTGGCAATGGTTAAGTACCAGAAAAGCCCAACTTAGGTGGTCTTTAGAATAAGGGAAACCTGGGCTACAAATCTAACTACTGTCAAACCACTCTTGAATCAGACCAACAATAGTAACTAGTCCCTTTGCATAACTACCGACCGAATGAGGTCGTAATGCGTGCCTCGGGAGTAACCGTGCCATCCTCCGATATGTGAAAAAAGTGCCATGGAGAAAACACTCTCCAGGGGCAATTTCACCTGGAGCTCAGCCAAATTCTTTCACCCATCACCGATAATGCTTCTCGCTAGAGATGATACTTCTTTTGGATCGAGCGCCAAGAAATATGGCTGGATTATCGAAACGTGCACAAGTGATTCGCGGTAGGTCTTTCATGTCAACGGCTAACGGGTTAGAAGCGTGGAACAGTCGTAAAATATATGTTTTTTGCTACGTTACCGCTGAAGGACTCCGCCCGAAGGATGCAATAAGCTGAATCCGACGTTAAGGGTGATGCAGGTCTCCATGTTGATTCGAATCCAAGTTGTCAGCGTAGTTGTCGACATTGGGGATACATCCTAGTCATCGAGATAGAACGAAGTGAGAAGAAGGCGCGCAAATTTGCTAAAATGCGCAAATAAGTATGTATTGATCAAAGTAGGCAGGACCGATGTTTCGGAACCCCTGAGGGAGTGTTGCATATCCATGGAACTCGTGGCCGGAATCGCGGAGAATTTGAACATGGAGACTAGCGGAACAAGCGTGGAAACAGACGAATTATACCAAAGCTAAGGAAGATGAGAGAGGAGAGCTAGGCTAAACTTTTAATGTTAATAGAATAGTTACAGAGAAAAGGCCCGTAGTAAATTAGGTAAGGTGAGGGGTAAGGAGTGATAAAAGTTGAAGCAAAAGATAATGTATTGTATAAGGAGCGCAGCTCCGGCTATATTCCCTCTAGTACCTAATAGCTCCTGCATCAGTTGAAGATGTAAACATCTTCAACTGATGCTACCTCTTTAATCCAATCCTGCCAACCTCACTTCAACAAGCAGAACAAGCCTCTTGAGGAATTCGAAATTGACAGCGCGCGCAGCAAATACAAACATAATCAATGGCTCCCCACCTTTCTGTGGTGACGACAATGGCGATGGTGGGGTGTTGATGGATCCTGGCACCCTGGCTGAGGGGTAGATTTGGTGTAGAGACAGCAAAACGGGCTTAGCGCAAAGTCTCATCGCACTAACCACAACAAATAGGGCGGTGGCAGAAAACGCTCATGCGTCATCGGATCGCGACTTCGGATGGATGACAAAAGCTTGTGTGATAGTGCCTCATCGCGGGGCAGCCGTATCACCCCCCACTCCTGCAGTTTTCTTCACCGGAATTGATCACGAGAGCTTCTAACCGGGTCATGTTCTGCCCCCTCAGCTTAAATGACTGAGCCTCCTTTTTGTTTTCAACAGTCTCAACTTGAATCACCATCACCAATAGCTACCTTAACTGTATATCCTGGAAACACTCACTCAACCCCTCGAGTTCTCACTCACATCCTCCAAACATGGGCTCAGTAGAAGTCAGCAAGCGGGGAATCCGCATCGCCATAGATGTAAGTTCAGCTCTCGCACTTAATTAGCCCATATTAATTCACGCAGAGAGGCGGTACATTCACGGACTGCGTCGGCAACCCAGGAACCGGGAAGATGTCTGATGACGTCCTCATCAAACTTCTCTCTGTAGATCCCTCCAACTATGACGATGCTCCACTAGAAGGCATCCGACGTCTTCTTTCTAAATTCACTGGCAAGGAAATCCCCCGTGGCGAACCTCTCGACACCTCAGATATCGAGAGCATACGTATGGGGACTACGGTAGCAACGAATGCGTTGTTAGAGCGTAAAGGTGAGGATATTGCAATGGTGGTTACAAAGGGGTTTAAAGATTGCTTGGCTATTGGCAATCAATCACGGCCGAATATTTTTGCCCTGGATATTCGGAAGCCAGAGGTACTGTATAAGAAAGTAGTGGAGATAGACGAGCGCGTGACCCTGGAAGACTACGCTGAGGATCCGGAGAGGAATCGTACTCAGGCGGATTCCATCGATGAGGCTGGCCCCGATGCGGAGCTCGTTCGGGGATTGTCTGGGGAAACTGTACGCATCCTACAACGACCGTCAGATGAGACGATAAGGAAGCAATTACAGGAGGTATTTGATGGTGGGCTCCGGAGTATTGCTGTGTGTTTGATGCATGGCTATACATATCCAAACCACGAAGCACTGGTTGGCAAGATCGCAAAAGAGATTGGGTTTGAGCATGTAAGCTTGAGCCACGAGCTCATGCCAATGATCAAATTAGTTCCGCGAGCAACGTCGGCATGCGCAGATGCCTACCTCACTCCCGCGATTCGGAAATACATTGAAGGCTTCTCAAAAGGGTTCGAGGGTGGACTCGGCACCAAGAGCGTGAAACGTGAAGGAGGATCCAAGGGCGCTCGATGTGAATTCATGCAGTCCGACGGCGGCTTAGTAGATGTCGACATTTTCTCCGGACTCAAGGCGATTCTCTCTGGTCCGGCTGGAGGTGTGGTAGGCTACGCGTTGACATCGTACGACCCCCAAACAAAGATCCCGGTGATAGGTTTCGACATGGGGGGTACTAGCACGGATGTAAGTCGATACGGCGCGGGAAGATATGATCATGTGTTCGAAACCACCACAGCAGGAGTCACAATCCAGTCTCCACAGCTAGATATCAACACTGTAGCAGCGGGTGGAGGCTCACGCCTCTTCTGGAAGAACGGACTTTTTGTAGTCGGGCCAGAATCAGCTAGCGCACACCCAGGACCTGCGTGCTATAGAAAAGGAGGTCCTTTGACCATCACCGATGCCAACTTGCTGCTGGGTCGACTCCTGCCAGACTTCTTTCCTAAGATTTTTGGGAAGAACGAAGACGAAGGACTCGATGCAGAAGCTAGTGAGAAGCTCTTCAAGGAGCTGGCTGAGCAGATCAACAAAGAGGTGGCTGGTGGGAATAAGGAGAAAGAGATGTCATTGGATGAAGTGGCCAGTGGCTTCATCAAGATTGCGAACGAGACAATGACCCGTCCGATTCGAAGCTTGACTGAAGCGCGAGGTCACGACACATCGAAACATCGACTTGCGACATTTGGAGGCGCTGGAGGTCAACATGCGGTTGCGATTGCGGAAGCTCTTGGCGTCTCGCAGATCCTAATTCATAGATACTCATCGGTACTTTCGGCGTATGGTATGGCATTAGCGGACGTGGTAGACGAGCGCCAGGAGCCAGAGTCAAAGGTGTGGTCTGACGATAAGGATGTGCGAGAGTATTTGCAAAAGAAGATGAAGGAACTCAAGTCGAAATCAGCGGCAAGATTAAACGACCAGGGGTTTTCGGCGAACGATATACACTTCGAAGAATACCTCAATCTTCGATATCGTGGAACGGAGTCCGCGTTGATGATCATCAAGCCCACGAAAGAGGACGCCGAGAAGGAGTATGATGGAGATGAGTGGGCATTTGGAAAGGCGTTCGTAAAGCAACATGAGCAGGAATTTGGGTTCACTCTTCCAGACCGAGACATCATTGTAGATGACGTCCGAGCTCGAGGGATTGGCAAGACTTTCGAAGGTCTAGAGAAGACCGTAGACCAACAGTTGAAAGAAATCAAGCCTAAGGACTTGGATAAAGGCGAGAAGCAGTACGCTACACGAAGCGTATACTTTGAAGGTGGTCGACAAGGAACCTCAATCTACAAGCTCGAGGACCTATCAGTGGGTGATCGCATTAAAGGACCAGCCATTATCGCAGATGGAACCCAGACTATCGTTGTCACCCCGACTGCATCTGCACTCGTCATCAACACACACGTCATCATCAATATTGGGGAGAGCAATGAGCAGGACAAGCAGATTGATACCAAAGAGGTGGATCCGATTCTGCTCAGTATATTTGCTCATCGCTTCATGGCCATTGCCGAGCAAATGGGACGAGCATTGCAGAAGACGAGCGTAAGCACCAACGTGAAGGAGCGTCTGGACTACTCTTGCGCTCTATTTGATTCTGAAGGCGGCCTCGTTGCGAACGGTAAGCACACAACTCCATACATTCGCCGGATTATTAACGCTATATTATAGCTCCTCATCTTCCTGTTCACCTAGGCAGCATGTCCACTTGTGTCCGCAAACAAGCCTCCATCTGGAAAAACAAGCTTAAAAAAGGCGATGTGCTCGTCTCTAACCACCCAATGTTTGGCGGGACCCACCTCCCTGACATTACAGTCATCACACCCGCCTTTTCTAACTCCAAGATAATCTTCTATGTCGCCTCGCGCGCCCACCACGCCGATATAGGCGGCATACTTCCCGGCTCTATGCCGCCCCATTCCCGAGAACTCTACCAAGAAGGCGCGGCTATCAAGTCCGAGAAATTAGTATCAGAGGGGCACTTCAACGAGAAACGTATCACGGAGTTACTGCTTGACGAACCAGGACAATATCCTGGGTGTAGCGGAACGAGGTGTCTATCCGACAACATCAACGACCTAAAAGCACAAGTCGCCGCGAACCAAAAAGGTATCAATCTTATCTCAACGCTGATGTCAGACTACGGGGAAGACGTTGTGAAGTTCTATATGACATCCATCCAAGCAAACGCCGAGTCTTCTGTGCGGTCTCTGCTGAAGGGAGTGTATAAGCGTTTCAAAGGTCAAGACCTCTCCGCCACAGATTTCATGGACGACGGATCCCCCATCAGTCTACGTGTCTCCATAGACCCTGATAAAGGGGAGGCGGTATTCGATTTCTCTGGCACGGGGCCAGAGGTCTATGGTAACATCAACGCGCCTGAAGCGGTGACCTATTCCGCGATAATCTACTGCTTGCGTTGTCTTATCTCGGAAGATATCCCACTGAATCAGGGCTGCTTGAAACCGATACGTGTCGTTATTCCGAAGAAATCGTTCCTAAGCCCGTCGGATAATGCGGCAGTGGTGGGCGGGAACGTGTTGACTAGCCAACGGGTCACAGACGTGGTGCTTAAGGTGTTTAGAGCCGCTGCGGCGAGCCAGGGCGATACGAATAATCTAACGTTTGGGTTTGGAGGAACGAGTTTCGCGAACGGGGCGGGGGCTGAGAGGACGGAAACGAAAGGCTTTGGATATTACGAAACTATTGCTGGGGGCTCGGGCGCGGGTCCCACATGGGAGGGAACTTCAGGTGTGCATACACATATGACGAATACCCGGATTACAGACTCGGAGGTGTTTGAACGCAGGTATCCTGTCTTACTCCGTAAATTCGGTCTCAGGATAGGGAGTGCGGGGAAGGGTATGCATAGTGGTGGGGAGGGCGTAGTCAGAGATATTGAGTTTAGGATTCCGGTGCAAGTTTCGATTTTGAGTGAACGCAGGGTGTATCATCCGTATGGGCTTGAGGGTGGAGAGGATGCTGCTTGTGGACTTAATATTTGGGTTAGGAAGGTTGATAAGAAGGTAGTAGATCAGAAACTGGATTCGAAGGCTCCGGTAGAGGGGGAGAGGGAGGGGGTGGAATCAAAGACAAATGGTGCGGTAGAGGTGTTGGAGAAGGAGATGCTTGTACCGGAGGCCGCGAAAGAGAAGGAAGAAGAAGCGGAATATCGGTATATTAACTTGGGTGCTAAGAACACCGCGAGTATGAAGCCTGGAGAGCGAATTATTATATACACTCCTGGTGGCGGCGGATGGGGAAAGGAAGGAGAGGAAAGTAAGGTGGTGAAGAGTCAGAATCCGAAGGAAGCGTGGAGACAGGGGAGTATTGCCTCGAGGCAGCAGACGGCTGAAGCTAGTGCGTGAGGAGGTTGGCTGAAGGAACGGGCTGAATGTGGTAGATCTATCCATCTGTGGCTCTTAGCCCGTATGACGGAGCTTTAGCTGAGACATCAGATAGCTGTCCATATTAGGTATCTAGATAGAGTTATGAACCCGTCATCACCATTCATTCACATACTCACTCACTCACTCATTATTCTATTCCACTGCTTCTTCAACCACGATCCTCCTCAAAAGCTCCTTCGCCAGCTTCTATGAGTGTCCTTTACCTCCCAAATCTTTTATAATTCAGATTAACAAGAGCCAGGTTCGTTGGCGCAATTGGTTAGCGCGTGGTGCTAATAACAAATAACAGATTACGCCAAGGCTGCGAGTTAGTCTCGTACGAACCATTGTTAACATTCTTTTTGTCCGTTTTGGCCAACTTGCATAGCCTTCTTTGATTATAAAAGCAGAACTTCCCTCCTAGCAAGCATGATAGATGGGAGAGAAAGGAGTTTAGATATGTGCTGTGCATGGGCGTGAAGGACGCTGTAAATTGTTCCAGAAACGACACAAACTTAATTAGTGAGAGACTAAATCCGCCTTTTATTTATCTAGAAGGCACGTATCATGAGTGGTATGTTGCAGCAAAGGCAAGCAGCATATTAATTTCTACTCATCGGTCTTCCCTGGTCAAGTGATACAGCTAGTATTAATAACGAGACTCACCACCTCGACATTGAGATCATCATTCTACCAATACCCCTCACCTTCACATCGCCCAAGGTATTTGAGAAACGCCGCAAATCGTCGCAAAAAAATTCACGACCTCTAACTGATAGTTTCCACATTAAAGCTCTTTCCTTCCAATCTTCAGATAGCATATTTCCCAATTCCAAAACCTTCCTCCCAATCTCGCCACGCCTTTTCAAACCTAAGCTACTGCATTACGCTCAAGGCCCTCGCCACCTTTCCCAACACCTCAGTAATATTATTTCCATACCCTCGATCCAGGCTAAGCGCGAACGGATTCCCATTGACACAAACATGGACCCAAGTCCCCAGTGTGGATTAGTATTCCCAAATATCATCTGCTGTGTGCCTGTACGGGCCACCCGCATAAGGCAATTGTTGCGTCCAGAAAAGCTCCCTATGTACACAGGAAACAGCGGAGATTGCGAAGCAGGCAGGATGATTCAGACGCTGTAGACAGAAGGCTGTGGAGACACGTTGGAGACGTAGGGCTTTCAGTTAAAAAAGGATAGCTTTCAGTGACCCTCTAATCAAGAAAGTCTGTGAAGATGAATGGATATAAGACGAAGGTGCTTCTGGGTGAGTGCTGAAACCCTCCTTTCTTTGCACGGTGTATGAATAAATCTAGATGGGTGAGGTTGATGAATTGCGCTGTTTTCGCGAGATTGGATATCAGCCTCGCGGATGGTAGCGTGTCATCAAACCCAAGGGCTAGCGCACGTAGGCTCGGGGGTGTGAGGAACGTGTCCAACTGTTGTAGGATGGCTCTGCATGAATCCCAGCAGCATCATATCAAGGCTATGCCCTTGACGCCTGTCTACGTGCACTGTCATCTTGCGGAGCTAAAATTCGCTTTGAATCAAGGATCTACGATTGCCTGCCGAAATGACGCAAATCCGACTGACTCCAAAAGGAAGGAGTCACCCATGTTCACGATCCAGCCTTCCTTACGCGGCAATAGGACTTGTGGGATTGCTCCTGTTGTTCCTCTCTGAGTTATCTTAATACTCCATGAGCCGGCTGCTAACTTCCCCTCGATGGCTTCTGAGCTGCATTTATCGTGAATAGAATCCTGAACAGTTACTAGTTCACAACAAATAGAGCCTTGGAACTGAACCAAGCACAAGTCACAGGAAAGAGAAAAGTGATTACACATAAATGAAGAAGCACCATAGTCATATATTTCTCAAAAAGCAGATAGTAAGCATAAGAGAGTCGTGGAATACCCAATCTTTTGTACGCCAAACGCCGCCCGCCGCCCGCTAAGTGCACATAAAATCAAGCTCACCGATACTGCAGCACTTCGACCTCCTTCACCTGTCTGGCCGCTGATGAAGGAGGCGAAGGCACAGGGGGTGGTAGAGCCAATGGAAATGGCCTCTCTCGTAGATCACGCTCTTTCTCGAGTTCTATCAGGTCGTGGAACCTGCCAACGTGATTCACCAGTGCCTCTGGAGTCCGGCAGAGCGCATCTACGTCTCGATGCTTGTTGCAGAGCACGCATGCGTATTCGCCGTCGACCGTATGACATTTTAAGATGAATCGTTGGCCAAGGTGGAATTCTCGTGTCTCCATCACTTCCTTCTCGTAGCCGCCTTCTGAGATGAGTATCGGTGTGCGTTTGCCAATCTGCCAGAAGTCATCCGAGTCGACGGGCAGCCGTACGCCACAGTCCGGGCATCTACAGTCTCCCCCAGGGGCAAAAGACGCGGCCAAAGGCTTCTTCGGTATATATTGGAGGTCGAGGCTGTAGCGGCAAAAGAGAGGATCCGCCTCGACGACGGTAGAGGCACGCTTCGGGGGTGGCAAGGCTCGCTGCGGAGGAGCTTCGATAGCTAGTCGTTGCTGTTGTCCACGGAGGGCATCGAGCGAACCGTCCCTGGCGGCGTTGGAGGCGGCGACGAGCTTCGCTATGTCGGCGCGTGAGAGCTGTCGATCGTTGTAAAGAGCATCCTGGAGGACCTGAATGACCGTCTGCTGGAGCGTGATGATCTGGGCCTGGAGCTGGTTCTCCGTGACGTCTATGAAGTGATTAGCTGTGGTGTAGACTGTCAAGTCTCGGGCAGCGCTCACGATCTCCGACGGCGAACTTCCGACCTAGCCGCTCGTATCCTTCATCATACTGCCGGCGTATGAGAGCGCCAGACCGCTCGAACGAGTCGCCCACGTCGTCCTGCGCCGGGCGCTTCTTCCGGTCGTCCTCGCGCTCCTTGCTCTCCTTATCTTTCTTCTCGATCTCCTCGCGGAGTAGCTTTATCTCGCTGTCCTGCTTGCTATCCCTCTTTTTCTGCCGCCGTTTCTCGTTGACGCGGTCCCAGAGACCCATGGACGAGGTGAAGGTTCCGACGAGCGTGGAGCACAGCGTGGCTATTATAAAGGTTTTCTTGCCCATAGTCAGCCTAACTCATGCAACGTCGCGAAAGTACGTACTTTGAGGTTCTTCTCCTCGATCATATTGGAGTAGTTCATAGCGGCAGGGGTGAAGGTGAGCTGGGCGGCTCACACGCAGTGTCGAAGGTGCGAGGCTGGGGGGGACCTGAGTCGTGTGCGTTGTGTTGTCGAGTCGGGCAAGTGAGGTTGAGAATCAAAGGAAGGAGAGTCGAGGAAGGAAGCAGGTGCGATGATGGCATTCAAGTAGCGGCACATGCATCAGGCGACCCGGCGTGGGCTATGAGTCCGGAATAATAGGAGTCTGTGATTGCTCAATTGGCGCTGGTGGTGAGAGTCCCGACATTTGCTGACCGCAACTTCGCGACAGGTATATGGTCGAGTTTCGGACATCTGGCGTTACGTCACTGTGCCGCTCTGCTGCGCGAAATCCTGCAGCTAATCCCGTTCGGCATCGGGAGCTCGACGCTGCGACCTTTGTCGCATACTCGATGGTAGAGTCTTACTGCGGAGAGGTGCTATCATTGACGCAAGCATCACAGTCGGCGGGTGGTGAATTACACCTCCACCTGGACAGGGCAGGCGAGGCTGCCCAAGATCACGTGCCGTCTCCCCTCCCGCTGGTTCTACCAACCGGAAGGGTTGGTGGAGGCATTTGCGACAAGGATAGCATGGGTGGGACTGTCCGCCCGCTCCTATTTCTGAGTATCCGCTAATAGACCCTTGCAATCTTTCAATAAAGTATTGGATCATCAAAGAAGCCACGATGTACCCAACCACGGGACGTGGCCGCGGAACACCATAAACGATAGCTGACGGAACAAATATTGGCCAGTGTAGCTTCTACAACGACATATTCTAAGCTAAATGCAAACATGGAGCTATTTCATAATGGTCAGTCCAGGCTTGTGGTGCCAAGAGCGCAATGCGACAAGCTATACAAGCCAAGTTGTGCCAGGCTTCACTCATTCCGCCTCCACCTCGTTGCCGTTTCGGTGTGTCGGCATCATCATCTTGGTTTCTGTAAATGTACGCTTGTTTGGACTCGTCTCAATTGCTATGGCTCGACTTCATATACTTCTTAAATCCAGAAGACAGTTTCACCACCTGTGCAAAGGTGCTTTGCTTTGATCTTGGGAAAGGCACTCATCGTTGGCTGACTTCTTCTCGTTTGCCTCTTTGCTGTCGTTTAGTGCGAGGGCAATTGCCGTCCGGAAAGCTGAACTTTGAGTCTCTTGTCGGAATCGCCGGGCATAATAGAGCCCTAGCAATGCAACTTACCGTTACATGTCTCTCGTCCATTCCACTGCAGGTTTCTGACATCTTCATTCTTTTTGACATATTGCCTCGCATCTTATTCATTCTCGATGATCGGGCTGCCCTGCCTGTAACCGTTCTTCAACTTGACGAATGATTTATCCCACATCTGCGCCGGAGTACTATCATGAAGACGCTCGTAAACGATGGACACATGTATCCGGGACAAGGAAGCTTCATCAATTGACCCACTTAGCTAGTCGTAAGAAATAGTATACCTCGGAAGTAGTTGAGGGTACTAAGGTAAACTGTTGGGGTAGTTCAGAAAATGAGTAGTGGGGTAGAGAGGGGCTTCCTCGTGACAACACTATTCCGTTTGAGGTTTTTAATAGAGCAGGCTTCAAGATAGACATCGGCCTCGTTGATCAGCGCAACCCCATCCCAATCGTTAACGTACTTGACAAAAATCCATTATGCCGTTCTCTAAATCTTTAGGCTTATGGCATAGATCCGCCGTGGCGAGGTGAAGGCGAGGTGGTCCAGCGAATTCCGCAAACCTACCTGTTTTCCCAGTTCCTAGTGACCCATGAAACAAAAGGAGTTGTCCTTCACTTCTCTCATGATGGAATCAGCACTAAAGAAGAGTCCCCCTTCGTTGTCGGTATATGTTTTTGCAATTGCCTTGATGACGCTCGTCTTTGTTTCGTCCATGATAAGCCGATTGGTTGTATCCTTAGCAATCACCAGCTCATTCAAACCTTCGACCCCAACGATATCTATGCTAAACACCAGCGCCAATGGTAGGATAGATAGCCAAAAAAAACCCCTAGTGCAGAAGCATCGTAACGCGCCGTAGTCACAGCCCTTTAAATAAACCCGTACATGTGTAATACAAGGAGAAGGTATTTGGTAGTCTATTGGATCTTTTCTTTCTTTTAGAATAATATTATTATGGCTAATAAATTTAGTCACCTTGTTTACTTAGTCTAGAGAATAGGATTTCGCCAATTTGCTGCATTCGCCCTTAGAGACCCTTAGATCCTCCCTAAGACTTTCTCTAACAACAGACTAGAAAAGATCCCAACCAAGACCCTGGACGTTCGGGTCAGCGCCTAAGCGCCGACTTCGTGGCCTACTGTCAATGCGGAACATGACTGGAGTAGAGTCTGCCCATCAAATCTGTAGCTAGAATTGGGAGGAGCGTCGAGCAGGGTGCCAATATATATCCTAAATTACCCCTGCTATGTTCCACATTAGGTCCCAGGGCGCATCACATGGACAAACGTGCGACCTAGGCGTGAATTACATCAGAACGTTTGAGAAGTGATTGTACCGAAGTCGCAGCGTTTGATGGCACTGACTGCGCAAATGAGTGAGTATCGTGAGAAGCTATGAGTATAACAGGATTACGAGGCTAAAACTATCCCCTTATATCAGCTTGGAAGGGGGTAAAAGAGCATTTGTGAAGCAATGTATTGTGTTGTGATGAGACTGAGGGGCCATGTAGTATATATACAGGCGAGAGGATCCAGGTCTTGAGTTAACCGGAGAGCCTTCCGGGTTACATCTAATGTAGAGAGGAGAGAACGAACGTAACTAGGCAGCAAGCCTGGGAGCAGCCTATCCCCAGGCGAGTAGTGATGCTGACTAACCAAAAGTACCAAGGCCCTAGGTATTCACTGTCCGAAGATAAGTAAACCTTAGAGTGACCAAGTCGGCTATCTTGATTCATATATTGTATACCTCCCCAAAATCCCTCCCAAAATTCCCGCTTTCATCCACTGCACACAACTTCGCCCAAGGTAGAAATGACTCCGGCAGGAGCTTGTATACATACAGATTCCCCTCCCAACCCTATCAAACAAGGTTACCAGCCAAGCCTTGCCATTCAACCCGCAACTAAACATTCGTCTCTTGCTTCCTCAAAACCTCTGTTGCTCCGTCCTCGATCGGCCAGCCTGTCTTACTCAGGTGCTTCGCCAAGCCCACCTCACCACCCGCATTAACCGCATTCCCCTTTCCAATTTTCTTCAAGCTATCTCTCATAAGAAATTCATAGTACGCCGTCGCAAAGAAGGTCGCTGGGATATTCACAAGCATAGCGATCCAGCTATAGTTCTTGTAAGAGAAGGCTTCACCGCCAAACCAGATAGCAGCTACGATTCGAGTGCCGAGATCACGAGCAAGATTGGTTGAAATGTATATATTTGCGAAGCCCCATATCATACTACCGAATGTCAGCGGACGGTCAGCTATAGGGGGAGGATGGCGTACTTCGCATATGCAAGACCAATAACAAAGGGCGCTGAATGTGGGGATACGAATGGATTGGCTGGGTCAAGTGAGGCCCAAATTACGATGCCCTAATCAACTCTCAGTCTCTGGGTGGCCAAGAATATCTGAATACATATACGGGTGGACTTACGATGAAGCTATCAACGAACCATTCGATAAGGAAGAGATATCCAAGGTTATTCTGAGTTTCCCCAGGAAAGGTACAGAGAATACTCGCTGGACCACCGTTGTAGACAGTTCCCTTTCCTGCGGCGATAGATCTCGTAGTAAAAGCCGAAATTTGTTCGTGGTATTGGCCCATCAGGACCAATCCAGCCATGAAGGCCCCGAAAATTTGCGCAAAGAGATAATACAGGACCTTCTTCCATGGAAAGCCTTGCCAGAAGGCAAAGCAAAGCGTGATGGCGGGATTGAAATGCCCACCCGAAGTAGGTGCGCAGGTAATGATGGCGAAAGCAATGCCGAATGCATATGCCTATTAGGATTCAATACACTGCGCAGAAGGAGTTCTAACTGCATTTATTTACCAAACCTATCTGGAGGAGCGATCCGAAAGCCGGTTCCGTTTCGTTCAAAAAGAAGGATGCCGTCGAAGCGATACCGGGATACACTATACGATATGTCAACACTCCTGATGATTAACGGCAAACGCTTTGTCGTCTTCAGGAGTTTTCCTTCTGGAAAAGGCCCGGAAGAACTGTTTCGACTTGTAAGGCGCCCACACCTTTCAGAGAGTGCAAGACCTCAATGAAGCTCCTTAAGAAAGCTTGAATGAACTACCGATCGACTATGCATACGGGACGTGGCGGGACGGATATCGATCCCTCGGGTGCTGCTTCTAGCTTCGCATCGTGATTTATAAGTTGATATCGTACGAGTGTGGCATGAAGATAAGCACGGGCAGGATTTTAATGAACTCTAGACTAAGATGCAGGAAGATCTAGGACGGGGAGCATAACATCGGCAACTCGCAGTCGTCATCATGACAAGTGTCGTCCCCACACTTAGCTAAACTGTTCATGGAAACTAACATATTTGGAAACGGGAAGCCCGAGGGCAGCGGTTTCGAGTTATTTCCATGGTTGACATTGTTAACAACCCACTAATGACGGATGGTGTGAGGTTGGGCGATCTCAGTGAACAACCGAGGCAGTATGAAGACAGGGAAAGAAACCCCTGAGGAGTGGAGATTGACGCACTGAACGGGCCACTGACGCGGGTGAGAGAAATTTGATGAGGAAGGTCTTGAAGAGAATTGATAGTCCTAATGCACAGCTAGGATGCGCGGAACGCGATGGAGAGGTGTGAAGGGTCGCGGAACTATCGTCTTCTAAATAGATCCGTTCGGAGATCTTAAGTCCGAAGGCTCGTGCGTAGCCTTCCCGAATCTCCTCCCATTCTCTTCTCCTTTCTCTCAACAACTATGCCTCCGCTTCATACGTTATATCCAAAATTTCCATACTATGGGTCTAATCGCATTGTTTGATCTCACCTTCAGTCTCTCACTCTATCATCTACCTCATAGTTCCGTATTCCATGCAAAGCAATATTTTCTGTTGTTTTGTGGGAGTCTTATCATCTCAAAGCCGCTACAAGTCTGTCCCATGGAGAGGCTACCTATAAGTAGGTTGCGCTCTTCACATATCGACTAGACTTTCCTTTATAGAAATCTAGTTTCTTGTTCGAGCTGCTACATGTCGGCTCACATGGGAGGGTCTGATGGTAGGAGCTTGTATGCTTCTAAAATATCTCTCTGGTTTCCGTAACTTTTTAGCAGGCTGTAGAATTCCTTACCAATGAGCAGCTCAAGGCGGTAACGTGCAGTCCACGTAACGCCGCCAAGGGTTTAGAAACCGTGCTCCTACCACTATGGCAATCCCTCCTAAACCCGTATCGCAACGCACTCATTATCTCATAGGTTTTAACTGGTCTCTCCGGCCAAGGATCTTAAGACAGTCCGGTGGCGTCATGACCATGATGCAGCTGAGGATATGATCTGCTCAATTTTGCGAAACCCAGCCATCCAGTTACAAGGATAAGTCTGAATATTGACGCACCGGATTACCATCAGGAGATCTCGGACCTGAAATCTCCCGTTTAGGCGAATCTGTGGTTTTTCTTTCGACCCCCGGCTTGTGACCGGTCTGTGGCTTTCGAGGCTTGAATCCTTCAGTTTTGCCAACCAATCCATACGCGCTGTGGAGACGTGCATATGTCGACGGCGACAACAATAAGATGGAATAACTAAAGCTGCATTCAGCTCGTTGCCTGCATACCCCTGAGGCTGTGGAACTTCACGATGTTAAACCCTACCCAATTTCCAGTACAACACACATTCCCACCGACGTTCATTTACTCATCTTCACATTCTTTTGTACTTGACGTGTTACCACAAACATGGTTCGCTTCGAAAGCCATTCCCTTGCAAGTCTCGTTATTTTCGCATGTCTCTCGTTTTTATCATCTGCGAATGATTTGAATCCCAGCAGCGAATGTGACAGTGCTGCTCAAATCACGGTCCTTGTCACGGAAACTGTATATGGGTCTATGGGAGAAGCTACTCACGAACCAAGTCCATATGGATATTCAGTCCACAGCGCTGCGGTTTCTGAGCACCCGTTCCCAATCCCAAGCGAGTACTCCTCGTGCTTTGATCGGAGCAACAAGCCATACGAATATACGTACAGCTCTGGCTACCACTTCTCTGGCGAAACGAAATGCACCAAGACAACGAGTGTTACGAAGACTGGGAATAGCTATGCTCATAGTACTCCCATCTACGGCATGCACAATACCACATTGTCAGGAATATACCCTACCGGAACTGGACCGCCAAAGAATTCGACAAACCCGACTCCCGCCCCATGTGAACCCAAGATTCAATTGAAGGGGGTCTCAGAGTACACCTTCAACAAAAAGAATTCACCGTTCTCAATTGACATAGTCTCCTGCTCCAAATTCAACCAGAACCAAACTGCAGCCTTTGCAAACTTCGAGCCTGTGGTGGAGGGTATCACTGTTAGCCCTGATAGAGTCTCGTTCACCGGATTCTCGAAAGACTACCTTCTTCTCTCAATATTTGCTCTCGATACTTATGGCTCACCTATTATCAAGTCCTATGAGCTGCATTTTGGTAGCGTTGATATGCCCATTCTGGTTCTCAACCCAGATGATAGTCCAGCCAGCGGGGTTCACGTTGAAGCCAATGCAACTATATACCCAGGCCTTACCGGATCCTGCACCACAGATGCCTCCGGCAAATGTACGCTGCCAAACCTCCCTGGAACAACTATTAGTCTTGTGGCTAGGACCGGCGATAATTCCATCGCAGTCAACGGGGTTGCACCAACCGCCGTGCAGGTCACCCTGAAGCTCATCCCATATATCACTCCCAAGCCTGGTGCGAGCCTCGAAGTTGCTAATGGCACTGAAGGGTGGACTGGTGGAACTCTACAACAGTCCGTAAAGATCAAGCGTGATACGACATTAGTTGTCAACACCAACGGTCAATTCTTGATCCAAAAAGCCAGCAACAGCTTCCCTGTGCGCCCATCCACCAAGAACGTGTATATCAAATACCGCTTCATCACCTCGGAAGTCCCAGGTGGTTTCTTCGGGTGCGCTACAGTATCCTAACATGCTCCTTTGCACCCATGCTAATCTTTCCCAGAACCCAGTTCAACGACTACTACTCCATAACCATCCGCTCCGACACGGGCGCCTTTGTCACAATCACTAACAGCATGAACGCCCTCGGTCTCGGCGCCTTCGATGCGAGCGGTGCCACCGACATATTCACTCTCTCCCTCCAAGTCCCCACAAATACTAAAAGCGTCTCCTACGACATTGGCGTCTCGAATGTCGCAGACAACCTCTATGACTCGTCACTCGTCGTCGAGAAAGTCGGTGACGCTGACTGCGACAAATGCGGGGACTGCGAATCCTGTCCTACTGATCCGATGTGCCAACCATCTTGCAAGAATCCCCCACCAAAGAGTTGTGACTTCTATACTACGTGTGCAGAAGCCCAGTTAGGATGTGGGGCAGAGGGATATCCGGTTAGGTACGGTAGGAAGAATTGTCTTGCGTTTGATAGAAATCGAGCGTTTTTCACGCCCGCAGGTCAGAGCTTTATATGGGGTACTATGAGCTGTCTCCAGCGCGCACTCGTTCCGGCACTAGAAACCTGCAAGGAGTCGTGCGACTCGCTGGCCGCCAAGGCATTTGCCTCGCATGCGGGTTGTTATGTTGATAATGGGTTTTGTGGGCTTGGCTGTGGGGATATTCTCGCGGTGTTGATTACGGTGAACACGGATTTGGTGTCGAAGGAAAGTGGGTCGCAGGTTTTGGATACGATGGGGCTTTGCATCGGGAAGGCTCTGGAAACACTGACGGGATGCACAGGGGAGGTGGCATTTGGAGCTGTGATGGGGTTGACGGCGGAGGTGAGTGTGCCGTTGGCTATTGCTGTTACGGTTGCGACGAGGTATTTGGGGTCCATTGCTGCGGGGTTGATCTGAGAAGGTTGATACCCCCCATACATATTGGCATTGCGGCGGAATGTAGTAATACGATTTGGGACAGGATTTTAGCATCCTTGCAACCCTCTTCTTAATTCAAGGACGAGTTGAAAGCCGCGGTATCCCTGTCAATGTTCTTTTGTAGGCCCTCCGATTCTACAGTCAAAATCAGTATCCCTCCTGGAGCTAGCCTATCAACTTCACTACGTTCAATTTTATATACAATGCCTATATTAACTTCTATTCATCGTGGCTCACTTCCTAATTGCCGAAACTTTAAGTTCCAAGACCTATCATTCAGTACATAAACTCAAACTAGATCCCCTAAATACTTCTCCCTTCCCATTCCTACCGAAGGAGCCGGATAGTAGGGAATAAAAACTCCTTCGAGAACCGTGCATGTGACTCCACTCCTGAACTTGAAAAGGGTGTGTACAGCACACATCACGAAAAGAGCGATGCAGTCTACCCATGGCTTCTAGGGAGTCCTATCGTGTCCCGCAAATCGATTGCTCTAACGGTTTATAAGCTTTCTGGGTGGTCTCTGGTATTTGAAATCCTAACCATGATGACGAGTGTTAATCCGAGGTTCTAAATGCAAGGGGGGGCTACCTCATGGGTTGAAAGGGACCGATTTTTGCTTCATGCCACCAGACCTGTTCACCGCTCTGGTTATTTAATTCCTTTCATGCGGGATTCTTCCCTCAGGTCACTAATTGGAATGCTGTATGCGCGGAAATACTGGAGAAGATGTCGTAGTTGAGTACGTGGAAATCTCTTCCCAGAAACATAAGTTCCAAGTTCATATGACGGCTCTTTTTGGAAAATGAGTTGAGGGTTGCCAGAATTAGAAATTGAAATTATCAGGACACATGGCTTCCTCATGAACCTGGCGAACCTCTCGGCGCGAGGAGAATAAGCCTGCAATCTAGTAGTGCCCTGCGCGGGTGATGTGTTGAATTGAACTGATAAATGGAAGGGTGAGTTAGTCATGGAGAGCACCCACTCTATCATACTTGGGAAATTATAAAGTTAAGGTTGCGGAGAATATAAGTGAACAAGTGCATCCATGAAACGGAGAGACGTAGAGGACGTCGTCTTGATACGGATGAGAAAGAAGCCTTACAAGTCGTGGGATGCCACCCAAAACTTGCACTGCAGGATTGAGAGAATACATCCATTGAAGTAGCCGTATCTTGAAACCCACCGGTATACCCATAATATATAACTCAGCACCTACCGGACCGATAACGCCATCATTGTACTATTTATACAGCGTCGCCTCATTGTTTCACCCTTCCTCATCTTCAACTTCGTCGTCTTTTTCCACTAGCTTCTCATCCTCCTTATCCCGCTTTTCCTCATCCTCATCATCAGCCGTCGCTGCATCAGGCACACCACTATAATCCGGCCGGACAATTATCTCCCCCTGTTTAGCCAGAAGAGATTCAAGAAGCGGTGCCGCAGCCAAGAGGGCATTATACTGGTCAATCGAGAGCGCAATCCCCTGTAGAAGTCAGCTATCTTCTTCCTCAAAGATAGGTATTAAACACCCTAACCTTTTTCCCCGGCAACATCACCCCCACATCATTTTCCCAGAACTCGCGAATGTTAACAAACGTCTTCTTCTTAAACTCACTGACGGTAGCTCGGCGGGTGCCTCTAGCGTTCAACTAATCCGCTTGTTAGCCAGCCCAGCCAACTAGTCAATTATGAAATCTTCCAGGTGGTACAACATAAGGTGCTGTACATACAGGAACATATTGGTTGCCATCGTCATCTTCTTCGAGCTTTGGCACGAGGGATCCAGTCTCGGTTTCTCCGTCCTCTTCTGCCTTCACTTTCTTGGAGCGGTGGGAAGCGGGGTCGTCGCGTTCGGCGTAGGAGCGTTTCCTTGCTCCGAACTTAGGTGCTCCACCTTTCTGAAAGCCGCCTCGCTTGGAGCCGCTGCCAGCCATTGCGGTTGAATTAGACGGTTGGAGTTGTTGTGTGAGACAATGTGGTTGCGTTGAGTCGATGCGATGAGGCATGAGGATGACGCGATGGAGGCAGGACGCGGAAACGCGCTAAGGGAATAGTCACGTGCCGTATTAGCCGGATACGGCTAGCGTTGGAGGTTTGTCTCCCTCTTCGTTTTCGAGGTTTAGTCTGTGGTAATAATCCTACTTCTTGTCAATAGTAAAATATCTTACTGAAATTAGCTCTAGTAAAACCCTCTTATCGTTCCCCTGAGGAACTCGACATTCACGCGTCAACCCCACTCCCAACACCATAAAATCATGCCTCTCCTCGCGCAAAAAGACATAGATCTCTCTACCGAATACTACTCTCGAAGCGCCTACTCTACGAACCTCGCCTACGGCCCTCCCAAATCCCTCCGTCGTCCTACCCTGCCACGCCTTCGAGCCCCCTAAGGCCTCACGCAAGAGAACCTATCCTCTTTCCACTTACCGCACAATCGTGGGATGGCATCCCCATAGGTTCCGCCTAGGTATAACATCGAAACTCAACACAACGGCACCGAACATCTCGCCATCAACAACACTTTTGTTCGCCGGTTCTTGACACGACTAGCGTTGCATCCTACGGCGAAGTTCTATTCACGGGATGGACTCTGCGTCCCAATCTCGAAACACAAAATTGTGAAGACGGGCCGTCGAGTCCACCTGACGGAAGGTGTCGCAATCAAATACCTAGCTGGAAACACTGCCATTCCCGTCCCAAAGGTCCATTGCTCCTTTTTGCACAAGAACAGAGCGTACATTGTTATGGAGAGGATCCAAGGCGAGGAACTGTCAAAAGCGTGGAACAGCATGTCTAAAGAATCAGTCGAGGGTGTTTTCGCGCAGTTGAGAAAGATCTTCCAAGAGTTACGCGCCCTAACACCTCCAGGCACGGGTGTGGAAAGCTATATTAAAGGCTCCTTATATGACTCTCGCAACCGCGTGGAAATCCACGTTTTGGTCCGTTCGAGACAATCCAAGAATTTCAATTCTGGCTTAGACGAGACTTGAAACCCGAAGATCTCAAAGATCGGGAAAAGGATCAGGATTGGCACGACCTCCAGGACATGATGAGCAAACCAGATGGGCCATGACCTCCGCTAGTTTTTACTCACGGTGATCTAAATCCGATCAATGTTCTCGTTTGTGGGGGCAATGTGGTGGGAATCATTGGTTGGGAGTTCTCCAGATGGTATCCGCATTATTGGGATTATACATCGGCCTGGTTTGGCAATGTTACGAGAACGGAATGGCAAGGCATGCTTGACAAGGTTCTCGACCGACCGCGTCCTGAGGAACTCAGGATGGAGGAAGTTCGCAATAAATGGTGGGACGAATGATCGCTCATTGAATGGCGCTTGATGTGCGGTTACTTTAAGAGGGTGTTCGCACTACTCGCAATATCATTGCATAAACCGGAAACAACCAGAATGTAAATGCGTTATAAAATTACAGGTTAATGACCTTTCTCTTGCGACAGCTCAAGGTTGCTAGTTTCTACGGCACACTTTCCTTGTTTTCAAGCATGTCCCAGGTTGGCTTCGGTTTCGACAAATCAGCAGCTGATCGATAGCGACCACTAGCAGTCTTGTCTCCTACGTATCGTCTCGCACATGCCTCGATCTTCTGCCAGTCTAGCTCGGCGGTACCAACACACTTCCCGTCCTTCGCAATCTCGGCCAAGGCACTCGCGACCCAAGTACGACATCTCCAGTTTGAATCACCCTGCACAACTGGAAGCCGTCGAAGAAGGGTAATGAGACGTTGTTCATCTTCGATCTTGGCGATGAGAATGCGTGCTAAGAGTCTGATGGTGGTTTGGACATTCTCTAATGGGATTTCTTCATAGGTCCAGCCGAAAGGGGAGTTTTTGACGTGGTAACTTGCGCCTGGTATTACGTCTTTCCCCTCTGCTTTGGGTCCAATCAGAAAGCCCCAGTGGTATCTAAAGGGGTCAATATGTGTTAAGAAAACTTAAAAGTGCAGCTAGCTCACTTGCGCTCCTCGTTGTTTGCGACACCGCTAGGATATAAGGTAATGTACAAACGATTTTTGTTAGAAGGCATGCTGAATGTGGCGCAGACCCGGAAACGAATGAATAGGCAACGTGAATGGGCTGCGCAGAATGAAGTTGAGGCAATTAATCTGCAGTTGAAATATGGGATATCTTGACCAGCATGAGGGAATGGTGTTGGTTGTAGGTGGCATCTACATTTTGTTCCTGTTCTTATACCTTTTTTATTATTTAATATCATGAAAATAGAACGAAATACCTAAACGCCATCTTTGTAGAGTTTGAATTATGCATAAAATATCTACTTCGATTGGCCTAGAGGCATTGAATTTGTACATCTACGTCTGCTTCTATTTTGGAGTGCGGCACAGCTTTGGTACCCTTTGACGATATAGGTGCCTCCACATTTAAGGACCACATTGCGCCGGGCCTAGCTCTTAGCGCTACCTCGCCGCACAGCATCTGAAGGCGTAGCCTCCATTATCCATAACTGTAATTATCATGAAGAGTGTTGTTTTCACACCAGCAGATGGCCTACAGCTGCAAACTTTAGCCAACGAAGTGCTCTGGCTATTCCCCAAGGCTTACAAATGTTCAAGTTGACGAGCTCGAATCCTACACAACTTCTTCACACACTGGTAATCAGATGAGCTTCCTACTGTTAACTTCCTCGGCGAACTCGGACTCGCGCAACGACTACAGGTGTTGAAGGTTGTACTCGGGCGGATGGTCCGCGTCGTTATCGAGGAGCTATGCCGCTTCCTCAATCTCCCCGCACCCGTCCATGGCCTCACCACGATATGTGTCAACGTCTGTCAGGTTGGTCTCGCTGCAGGCATCATCGCCGGCCTCGAACTCGCTATCGATGGTGCAGCCGACGAGGAGCCGTCGCTGCTGCGTACGCGGAGAGTTATGCCGGCTGAACCAGTTGACAGACGGCAGGCGGAGGCCAATTAGGACAGAGAGTGGCGGAGAATGAGCACACTCGCTCCAAGGACAGGCAAGCAGGAAGCAGTGGGCGGCGCCGAGCGAGTCTTGAGAGGTTGATAGGCTAGGAGCGCTTGCGGAAGGTAAGGGACGGAAGCTGTTCGCAGCTGCCGGGGGGGCAGCATGAAGCTATCTTTTTAGAGAGGTGTGGCCCCTTCGCAAATGGACAGGTCCAGTTCTGGCTCCTGGAGCACAGAATTGTGAGGTGAGTCGTGGGGTTACATAAACAAGGAAGCCGTTTTGGGCCCTGGCTCTGGGCGGTTCACGCCAAGATTGCACCAAGCCAGAGCCGGCTAGACGCGACCAGGGTGGCCCGGCCCGGATCGGATTTTGGGGTTTATGCGAGGGACTACACTAAACCTGAAACGGGAGTCCCCGCATAGAAATTACTGAAAAAGGAACTTAATGCCATGCCGCAAGGGCTGAGCAAAACGGCTCAGTGAAGCGAACTGGATTTAGCGAGCAATGTGCAGCAGTTAATACATCTTGCTCATGAGGTTGCGAAGCCTCTTGTCAGGGCATCGTAGTCTATATGTAGCTTGACGAGTCCCAAGACGACAGATACCTCAGTAGGGTTCCGCATTGCCGGGTGAGAGCAGGGAAAGCGAGGGTGATTCTACGTTAGACCAGAGATACGGGCCACCCAGTCTGGAGACAGGATTACAGAGAGACGTTGATTTGCGGAAGCTGAAGAAAGAGTTACAAGGCTTGCGGCGGGCGTTGAGGAACGAAACAGGAGGCTAGCGCCAAGACGTGTTCAGTCTCGCGAACCCTTTACAGTTCTGAGTGGAAGGCATATGGATTATATGATTTAACAGCGCGTGCTGTGACTGACCAATGCAGCTAGCGATGCTTCATCAACCCAACACGCCCGCCTTTTCTCCTAACATGGATCCCACACCTTCTAAAGTTTCGTGTCTCGCATTCCCTTCCGTGTTTATTCATTGACCCCCGCCCATGTTACCTCACGTGACGGCGCGATACTGCCGTATATGGGCTCGACACGTACCCCGCTCCATATCCAAATCACCCCTCTCCTCCCTCCCTCAAACATGTCTACATTCAAGCAATCCACCGCCTGCTGCACCGTCCCTCCCATTGATCCCAAAGAAGTAACCTACAGCCCAAAAGGCAATTACCAAAACGTCGGTGGATTACGGACGTGTATTCTCCCCTTCTCATTCTCAGCGCGGGTATCGCAAGTTACCCTACAAGTCTGCCATGCTAACGACTTCTACTACCACACAGACATCACAGGCGATGACTTTTCTCATCCTCCAACGCACGCCCTAGTAGTTCTCTACGACATCTTCGCCTTCCATTCAAACACCCTGCGTGGCGCTGACATCCTCGCTACATCAGGGGATCGGTCTTACCTCGTCCTGATGCCTGATTTCTTCGAAGGTAAGGTCGCGGATTGGGATTGGTATCCGGACGACACTCCCGAGAAGACTGAGAAGCTAGAGGGGTTTTTGAGTGGTCCGGGCAATACTGAGAAGACGGTTGAGAAGGTGATGATGGTGCAGAAGGAGGCGAGTGAAAAGTGGAAGGGGGTGCAGAAATGGGGGGTTTTAGGTAAGCCGCCGGCCACAAATATCTCCCACGCTTCAGTTATCCCTAGAGGTGGTGCGGCCACTGATGGATGTTGCAGGATACTGTTGGGGAGGTTGGGTAGTGTCCTATTGCTCCGGACCATCGACTCCCTTCTCTGCTGTCGCGCAACTGCATCCCGGATTCGTCGGTAAGAACATAGCAGAGAAAATAATCATTCCGGTGCTTGCTATTGCATCGAAAGATGAACCGGAAGAACGCGTAAAGCGCTTTATGAATGAACTCAACCCAAACATTTCATATAAGAACTATGCGATATTTCCGAAAATGGAGCATGGATGGCTCAGCGCACGAGGTGACTTAGAAAAGGAAGAAGTAAAGGAGGCCTATGAAGAAGGCTATAAGATGATGCTAGATTTCTTTGGAGAATGGATGTAGCCGCACTGATGCATCTTGCGTCATTATTTCTTTCTTTGTATATCTAGTCTCGCATCCTTACCCCATCTTCGTGAGTGTCCTAGTATTCGAATTAATGTAGAAAAACCCGTCTATGGCGTGCTGATCGATGTCAACTAGCAAACGTGTCAAACAAGGCTACATCTGCAGAGTAAGAGTTCTTGTCAATGCTGACGGCTCACCCCGCACTTGACATGGGGTGGATGCTAGTCCAATCAGTACGCCTCATAGCCACCCGCCATCACCAAGGTGGTTCGCCGCTCAGTAGCGATCGACTCGATGCTTATGTGTTGTTTCGTATAAAAGGTGTCCGGAGCCCAGAGTTGCAGACGAGCCTCGGGATGACCACAAATCTTGGCCTATTCCCATTTATAATTGTCTCGCCCTCCCACCATCCCCCGAGGTTCACTCTTTATCAGCCCAATATCCAAAACAAATGCCCATCATGACTGAACCTTTAAACCTACCTGAGACTTTTTATTGCACTCCAAAAATCGACTTCACCAAGAGGGTCGACACAAGCAATGTCAAAGGGAAAAGTGTGATCGTGACTGGAGGTGCTAATGGCATAGGAGCGGGCTGTGCCACGGCCCTCGCAGAAGCAGGGTAATTCGACTTCCTCCGTCAGGTGTTATACAACTGATAGTATTCCCCGGCAGAGCATACGTCACGATCCTCGACATCAATGAAGATCAAGGAAACGCAATCGCTAAAGACCTGCAAAGTAAAGGACACCAGTACGTCCAACCTCGCCGCATCCCACCCTAGTAAACCCCTAACCGCCCCTCCTAGTGTCCAGTTCATAAAAACGGACATAACATCCTTCTCCTCCCAGACCACCGGCTTCAAATCCGCAATCTCCTTTTCCCCTAACTCCACTATTGACATTGTTCTCGCCGCCGCCGGTCTCACTGGACATAACATCCAATCCTGGCTCGATGAAGCCACAGCCGCAGATTCCGCCGACGATCCTAGTCCGCCAATGACTGCGACTATCGATGTAAACCTCACTGGTTTGTTTTATAACGCGCATCTTGCGCTTTACTATTTTCGCAAAACTTCAACACCAGGGAACAGGGGAACGAAACAGCTAATCTTGGTATCCAGCCTCGCAGGTTACGTCACACTATCCCAAATCCCAGATTACCTCGCGTCCAAATTTGGGGTCCGTGGGATGTGGAAATCTCTACGGCATGCTATACACATACTAAGCCCCTCATCCCAACCTTCATCCCAATACCCCCTCTTCCGCACAAACCTCATAGCCCCCACCTTTATCCAGACCAACATGACCGCCGCCATCGAACCCGTTCTGCAAGCCATGAACATCGAGCTCGGAAACATCGCCGATGTAGTCGCTGGTGTCATGCGTGTAGCGTGCGATGAACAGGTGTTCGGACGCGCGGTTGCAATTGCCGCGAGTGTGAAGGAGGCAGGGGATCGGAATTTCGATCTTGGAGATGATTGGGAGGGGAAGGATGCAGGGGAAGGGGTTCTGGAGGGGATCATAGGAGGGAGGATTCGCGGGTTGGAGATTGTGGGGTTGCCGGAGTATAGGCATAGGGCAGAGGGAAAGGAAGAGGGAAAGGAAGAGGGAAAGGAAGAGGGAAAGGAAGAGGGAAAGGCGTGGAATAAGAGGATAAATGTTGAATAAGAGGATATAGGAGGGAGGTGGGTAGTGTGGATAGAGTCTTGGTCTGTGAACAGCTTTAACCCTTTTTGGGAGGCTGCCTGAGATACTGTTCTGGTTTCAAGCAGGAGCCTTGTATCCCGAATTGAGAGCATGCAGTCATTATGGTCTGATGGCCACGTACCATCATAGAGTAAGTCTTCCAGTACCTTCCCATCCTGCCCAAACTCCTCCAAGCTCTTTTGCCAAATCCTCTGCCGACTTCCCATCCGCATCCTTCAGACTTCGGATATCTGTCTTGCCCTCCACGTCTCCCCTCATAATCCCCAACGTCTCTGCCTCTTGAAACACCTCAGCCGGAAACTGCATCAGGTCCAGATTACTTGCAAGTAGTAGAAGCAACCACGCGACCTCCCTACTACCCGCCTGCACCGCAGCATGCAAGCCGGACTGCATGTCACCAATTGGATCCTGGTATCTTAGCAGTTCATCCGGACCAATTGTCCGCCCTTGTAGTTGGCCTTCTTCCATGTCCTCATCATCGTGCTCACCATCTTCATCCTCGCCATCATCTTGTAACATGCTAATGATAGCTCTAACATCCCCTTCACGACAGAACTCGAGGAAGGCGCGACATTTGCGATCTTCGGGATATGCTTTGAGATAACTCTCTTCAGTGAGCAGTGGGAGTATGTCAAGCTTCTTTTGTAGCCCTCCTTCGTTGTGTAGGTCGCAGAAGACTTGCTGGGTTCCATTGGAAGAGATGGTCGCGATGTTCTTGCCGCAGTTGGGGCATTCGGTTACTTGGTAGGCTTCGAGGAGGCATTGCCTAGGATTGAATTATGGGAAGGGCTTTGAGAGAAGGGGGGCATAGGAGTGTACCAGTGAAAGTGGCATCCGCAATTGAGATGCAGGTCATCGGGGACGGTTTGCGGAGCTGCAGCGGGCGCCTTCCCCGATGATGAAGTTCCCATCTCGACATCCTCATCTTCGTCGGGTTCAAGCTCGAGCACCAGAGGTTGCTGGCAAGCAACGCAAGCAGCCATAATCGTGCTGTATTAGGGGTCGTGGGGGGTTCATGGTGAGAGATGCTGTTCAGAGGGGTTGACGCCCCGCGGGGTCGTTGGAGAAATTTACTGCCAAGACTTTTGTCTTTCCCGTGTCGCCTCCTGCGAAACACACAGACGGATTGATTTACTTCTTGTCAGGAACATAGTCCTAACATATATGCATATTGCGTGGGCAGTTGGGAAAATCCCAAATTTGCAAAGCACCCTTTCATATCTCTCGTGACGTTGTCCTGCCTCTCTACCTTCTATTGAGTCCCCCTCGTCCTAAATATATCCTCTGTTGCCATCTCTCCTTCCTCACCCCTCTAGAGTCCCTAGGACTTCCCTACAACCCCGAATAAATCCCCTTTCTTCGTCTCACCAAGTGGCGCATTGTCGCGATTAAGTGTTGCCTCCAAGGAATAACCCGTCCGCGACCCCATTTATCTAAGTTTTCTTTTGCTCGGAGACACCTGCTCCACTCCTGAAATAGTTCCTTCCAGTCGATTATTAGTATCACCCTAACGCCATCATATCTCTTTACGGATTTCGGCCTGATGGAAGTCAGACGCTCCTGGTGGCATAGACAGATCATCCATCGAGTAATTTTGGACATCCGCATGACTTGCCAATGGTCCTCCCACACCCACGCCGGGTGACCAAGCCAGCTCCTAGGCCCATATTCATTGCATTGGGCAAGGTCTTGGTAAGGTTGAATGGGGGTGAACCAATCGGCAACCTCACCTCCTTTGATTCGTTTTCGTTCCTGTTGCAACGCCATCTTCTTGATTACTGGGCGGTATTGCAAACCCTCATCCTCATGTTTTGCTCGCAAGACTTCATAGTCAGCCAATGGTACTCTGGAAAACACAGCAAATCTTGAATTCTTGGATTCCAGGCCTTTGAAGTACAAGGCGCATAACTTTGGCGGCTCCCCGTCCCAAGTGTCGTCCATTTCCCAAGTACCCAACCTGGTGTCTGGGAGGTATTGGTGCTGGGCAACGTTTTCGGCCCAATTACGGAATGAGTGAGATACGTAGCGGCAAGAGAGCCACACCGTAGGAAGCGGGACATTTTCCAGGATTTTGAGCCATATCTCTGGAGGCAGAAAGAATTCTGCGGTCCTCGGAGGCTTCGAAGGCTTACGAAAGCGCCGCCAAGTCTTGCTTTGGAAAAAGCTTAATGCGTCGGTTGGATCGAACATCGCGGATATGCTCCACTGAATACTTTGGGGGGGCTCCTTCCAGAAGGAGAGAGCATATGTGCTAGCAGGTGCGTTTGGTGACGAAGTACGGGATGGTGGAAAGTTTCGTGATGTGTACGAGAATATAGCTGCCACTCTGGCTTTCTAAACCCCTCGAGCGATTGTTGGGAGACACACCCACCGTGGAACCACAGTTAAAGACCAAGCCAAATTTTTAACCACTAATAACTCAACACCGCAATGTCTCAGAATGGCTAGGTATCAGCATATCTAGATATACAGCCCCAAATTCTAAACCCTCCATTACCGGCCCCCTTTGACTTTATTTTAATAGTCTACCCCCACCTATTTATTCAAATAAACCACCCCAAATCAACCGGAATCCGATGCCGAATCTCCTGCCTAATCTGCCACTTCAAGATTTCTATCTTCTCGAAATAATCACCGAACAAGACCTTCCGTCTTACTCCAGCAATCAATTTGTTCATATTTTAGAAGTGGGGTTTATCCCTATCCCTGACCACAAAGAGAAATCCCTTCGCAAAAACCCTGCATCAAAGCTCGCCGTACAGTTCCTCAACTGCTGAAAGCATATGGCTATCCCAAGCTAGTGCATCCGGAATGAGCAAAGCAATGGCACTTTTCGTAAGGCTCATACATTAGAACTTGAGTTCATGGCGCTTCTTCTTGCCCTCTTTGCTTTGTGGCGGCATGCCAAAGTCGAATCCTAGTTGCGCGTATTGTAGCTGGAATCTCAGCATGATTTCCTAGCTCAATTGTCCGAGCCCGGGCTGTGAACAACGACACTTCGTCCGCTGCCGGATCGGACTCAAGCGCTCGACGATATTCAGCACTAACTGGTTCGGCAGATCCTGCATGCACTGGCTCTAGACCAACTCTCGTTCTTTTGGTACAGGGCAGTTCATATCTTAGCAGGAGTCACGCTCAAGGACTAGGTCTTCTTCGAGGGTAAGCATCGGTTGCGAACTGAGTGTCCTCCGAAGCGAATCTCCTTTTCCATAATGAGCATGGTAAATACCGTAGTCATTCAGGGAGACGGCATATCGGCAGAAGGTTATTTTATGCAGGTGGACAATCGCTCTCAAGTTGACACCCAACATGCCTAGATTCGCGTATGCCGGGCCGATACTAGGACAATATGTACGAGTTACATTTCCCTAGTAAGCAGAGGCTGGGGTGTTTATGCCGCGGATGACTCCGACAAGGCGGCGTATCGCTCTGAGAAAGATTTTGATATTTTGGTATTCGGTGGTTAGTTTGACAAGTTGACGTTGATGAGGTCATGTAGGGGGGTTGCAGAAGACGTGGGAGAAGGCTTCATGGAGTGGGTTTTCTATGTTTGGCGCTTCTCCCATTTTTCGTTTCGCTTTTCGGCTTTCAACTTTACTTCCCTCTCGCCCAGTTGCTCCATCCTATTTCATGACACTATTTCACTCGTGCACTACGATTCCTGGGAGCGGACCGTGTAACTTTTCCCATTGGGAAGGTGCTGTGAGAATTCAGATGCAAAGAATAAGCACAGCTTGGGGAACGAACATACGAGTTACGAACCTCCGCGATCTTACCCTATGGCTCCGGCTTCGAAGTGCCCCCACTACTGCGTGAATGATAGCGTACCGTTTAAAATCGATCGAGCATTTATCACAGCCTAGACCCATTCATACCTGGAACGTTTTCTGCTTTCCAATCACACGCGACACTTCCTTACCCAAGAGAAGCACATCATCCCTAATCCCAAGATGTACAGATAGCCCCATATACTTAAATTGCTCTGGTACTCCCGATCCGGCTTTACCCAGCTCCGGGACCCATAATTTTCGTTGAGAAAAGTCTCGTCAACTGAGCAAGATTAGATGACTACAGTTACCCCAGGTCGTGATACAATGTACCCTGGGTCGGAAATCGTGTCACCCGTGGCGACATGTAACAATCGGAGATAATTTTCCATTAATAATATTCCAGATTATGAAAATAGGGGAAAGGTGAAATGGAGATGAGTAGTTTTCTATTTTAACGCTGCACCAAATGTAGGAAAAGACTTTCTGCCAAGACCTAGCGAAAGGCAATAGTCACCTGATACTACACGTGACTGAAACTAGGCTGACCGAGGCACTCCCCTCTTATCCCTCAAGTCTAAATGTTTTGATTTGTCGGTAACCAGAATCTTCTATCCATTGTCCAAATATAGTTAAGCGTTAAATGCTCCATCGAGCCAATAAGAATGACACGCCAGTCCTCTTGTAAAATGCACTTCTCATGTTGTCTTCGTTTAAGGAGATAGACTCCGATGGCCGCACAATAATGCACGCAAGCGTCTGAGTGATAAACGTTGAGAACCTAATCCAAAGATGCCGGTGATTTAAGAAGTCAAGATAAGGAGTAGTGAATGAGATGCGAAGCCTCCTGCGCTCGTGCGCCGGCGCAAGCGTTCGCTTATATAATTGGCTGAGGCAATCGTCGCAGCAGTCACTCTACTTAGGACTTAGGCAGCCTATTTCACTTCGTGCGACTCCAACAACCACCCCTCCAACATCAAGATGTCTATCCAAGAACAATTTATATCCACCACTCGCCTATGTACTTCCTGCTATACGGTCTCTTCCCAAAACCTTGACACCCTCCTCGCTAAACCAGGGGATGGTCGTCGAGGCTACTCATGGACCACGACTCGCAAACGTCTCCATGCCTCAAGCGCTCTTGGTTGTCCCCTTTGCACGATTATCTTCAATCATACTCTTAAATCACATTACTACGGTGTCCCTGACAGTTGGGCGAATGCCGAGTTGATTGAGAGGTGGAAGGCGGGGGATGAGGAGATGCCGCTTACGTTTTTCTACAGTCAACATTGGGAGGTGGAAGATGGGAGTAGGGTGTTTGACAAGATTGTTGTTCAGCCAGATGAGGAGAGAGGAGGTAAAGGGAGTGGGATTGTAAGTTTTAAGGGCTCGTACTTGTTGTTTTGTGCTTCGCGGTTTTGAGATTGTGTAATACTCTCAGTCACTTTCTTGGATAATAAAAGGCTGACTCTATGGTGCTGTAGTGGCTTGATGTTGCGGCAGAAAAAGGTAATGCAGATTTTTACGTTTATAAATTATTTTTTTGAACACTCTTCCAAGAGCTTCCAGTATATTGGCATGTAGTCACAATTCCGGAACGTACTGGGTGACATACATGATATTGTCGTACCGGGCTCTGTGAAGAGTTTCGTGCTTTGAACTTCCCACAGTACTCGAGGCACCCTATTTTAATATCTCATATTGGTGAGAGATTCAAAGTTAAATCACTCGCACTACTCGAGATATTAAGGGGGCATTTACGCCAAAGAAAATGGAAATCTATTGTGACTCCTTAAGTTGGTGCTTTATATGAGAATCTTGCTAATGCATGACAGACGAACCAGCCTCTTCGTTCGTGAAAATCAGACCCGAGAATCCAGATGTGAATTCAAAAGACGCATTTGATCTTGCTAAATCATGGATTTCCACCTGCTTAGGCTCCCACGATAAATGCTCGAACACGTCAGTACCATTACCAACTCGTGTTCTCGACCTTCGAACAGTTGAAAGCGACGGATTAATAAAACTATGTATATCACAAGGAAAATTGGCTCCTTACGTAGCTCTCAGCTATTGTTGGGGTGGTCCTCAGCCAGCAGTTTTAACAACCGCAACTCTGGAAACCTATATTCTCGGAGTACCACTGGCTTCAACCCCCCAAACAATTAAAGACGCTATTCTAGCTTGCCGCAAGTTGGGGTTCCAGTATCTTTGGATCGACGCTCTATGCATTATCCAAGATTCATCGGAAGATAAAGCGCGCGAGATTCAGAAAATGGGGTTTATTTACTCTAACGCCATTCTTACAATCTCAGCTAGTTCGGCAAAAAGTGTCAAGGACGGTTTTCTTAAAAAGAGAATTCGACGGGACGAGGAACCCCAGTGGTTTTTACTACCATTTTACTTAGGTGAGGATAATTCAAGAAGCAAAATCTCTGCTAGGCGATTCACGACGTATCGCACTTCCTCTGAACCGCTCAATACAAGAGCCTGGGCTTTGCAAGAAGATATTTTATCGCCACGGGTGCTGGCATATGATTCGTATCGTATACGATGGCAATGTAAAACCACCTATTACGCTGATGGAGGGAAAGTCGATGATCTGGGTCTGGACCTTAATCAGAGTCAGAAGCTAGTACCGTTTAGCGAGGTAAAATGGAAGGAAGGTACTTTTCCGGATGCGCTGAAGGCTTGGATTAAGGTTGTTGAGACTTATTCGATGCGAACGGCTACATTTCGCTCTGATACTCTGCCGGCTGTTTCTGCTGTCGCGGAATACTTCGGCCGTGTTCTGGGAGACGAATACCTTGCTGGGCTTTGGAAGGCATATCTTCCTCAGTGTCTAATATGGTTTCCTCATCGCTCGGACGATTACGATTTTTCTCAATTCAGCGAAACGAATCAATACATAGCTCCGTCTTGGTCCTGGGCTAGCTTTAATGGCCCAACCTGGTTCGGACATCGGTTTGGGATGCCTGACGATATTGAGATACATGTCAAGGTTGAAGAATGCTCCGTAAGGAGAGCGTTAGAAGACATGCGATTTGGGGAGGTAATTGCAGGACACCTTACCATTTCTGGATTTCTGCAGCCAGCGATTTGTTCAACTCGCAAGCAGAAGCATCAGTCCATGGCGTTTAGGATGGTATTCGGTGTTAAAGAGCTAGAACCAGTACCTCTTTCTCACTCAACCCCAAGACCGTCTACAGAAATGCCGCCACATCCAAGTCCAGAGACATTCATCTTCTACCCCGATGATCCAAAAGACTTTCTGCGAAAAGAGGTACATTTGCATGCTCTTTTGCTCTGTTCATTTGATTCACTTGGCGGTGGCGTTAGGCTCATTGCTGGTTTAGTAGTAAGTAAAATTACCTTGGGAGAAAAGGAAGGAAAGCAGCTGTGGGTACGTAGAGGCTTGTTCCACGGTTCTGATAGAAATGACAACTTCAAGGGGAGTAAGAAGGTGAGTATTACTATTGTATAATGCGACTTAGGCCTTGTATTAGATTTTTAACTTGTTTTGGTTGATACGGTCGATATATTGTAAAGAATATAAATAAGTGTTGTGCTACGGAGTAATCTGTGAGAGTATACGGAATAAGCACTAGGCTTGTAGCAAACACTAGAGGGAAGAACCTCGTACTAGGGGTGCTTAAAAGAATGCTTAGGAAGGGTGCCTTCTGAAGTCTATCGAAACCCTAGCGTAAATATACCTGAAATGCACGTAACTTAGCCTCAGATCTGCCGATTCGCGACACAGGTCTAGCCAAACACTATATGGATCTACTTGTATAACATCGGTAAAGTACCTACAGAGATACACAGGTCAGTAGAATGAACGGTGCAGCGTGATGGGCACGAGGATTTGGGGGAAAGGGCGCTTACGATTTCTAGCTCGCTATGCTACGATGACGATAGCCGTCTATCACTGGCCCAATCATTAGGCAGTTATCCAGCGGCTAGAACTTGTATGATATTAAAGCAGACAGCGCCCTCTCCCTTTTCACCTCCAAGTCGTCAGAGAAATAGCGCTAGGCTTTAAAGGCCCCTGTATCCTCCTACTTTCTAAGCAAACCAAAACCAACGGCGGTTGTAGCGGCGGATGTAGAATCCGTCGCAGAACGACCGTCACCACATCGTTCACGACCCTTATTTGTACAGGAAATACCGCCTTCTGTCTCTTAGATAGAGTGTGGCGCGGAAATTGAGTAGTTTTATTAACAACAGCGTATTTTTTTTTTTTTGGGGGGGGGGGGGGCGGTAACTTGTCGCGAAAGCGAGCGAGTGGGTTATCCGTTCGAATGTCAGGATCGAGGGAAGGGGTGAGGATAGAAGAGAACGAGATCAGCGCTTTCTAAAAGTTGCGGGAGAGACACGGGGGAGTTGAGAGCTACTTATGTGTGCTGATGAGGAAGTCGAAGGGGCCCAAAAGGGTCACCCTGTTGCGCTCCAACGTACCAACCCACTAGCTATTAACATCAAAATCCCACAAAGCACCTTCCTAGGCCTCTGAGCGCAACAATACCTACCACCGCCTCTCGCCCCATTTCCACGATTAGTCCGAAGACACCCTCATCCATGACGCTCTCTCAAAACTCTATATGGAGGTCAGTCAACCAATCAGAGGAGGCTAGCGGCAGGTTAGTGGTGTGTTAGTGGGAGGCGCTAACAATTCACTAACCCGTCCTCTTATATATAAACAGGAACTTAACAAAACCGCGTAGAATAGTTTGTAAGCAACCACAGGTCACCTGACCACATATGAGCTTAGCATCTCATGCACTATTTATTCAGCTCGAACACAGAGCACCAACCTACACTTATACAACACAATAAAATCCGTTGCAACCCAATTCTGCTTACATTGTCTCTTCTCTTTCCCTTCTCTAGTATTCAATGAATAAGAATCCTTATCTTTTGGAATACCTTCTTGTCCATACCCGCACCAGCGTGTCGGTGATTAAGGCTACGATTCATCACGTGATCTTATTCGTACTCCCTTCGGGTAGCCCTGCTTATTCCCTCATTGACTAAATCTCACACCTTGTCCTGTAAAGGAACTCGAGATATAACAAGTAATTGAAAGGATACTTTTCCTCCAGTGTACCCGAGGGCTGGCTGAGGGTCAGTCGAGCGGGGATCGTTTGGGTGTATACGGCACTTGCAGCTTTGACCCTGAGAACTCCTCAAGCTCTAGTCTGTCTGTCTGTTCACTACCCATTTAATGCATCTATTGAGTCCTTTCGTGGCATCCCAACGCTCCCTGCTCGAATACCTTACAGTAATTTGCTTGCGTTATGCTTTATAGCTCGTTTCGCTAACGTCTCGTTCTTATATCTTTTCTTACATTATACTACTCCTTAAGTCTTCTTAGTAATAACTAGTGTTAGGGGTAGTATTTACAACCCTTATAATAGGCCCCAGCTGCCCCCTAGGCTAGCGCACGGCTGGGGCTCGGAACCCATACGGTGGACTTAAGGACCACATCACATGTATATACGTATATAGTCTTTCGTCTAATCTTTGATCATAACTAAGGATTCGTCTCTTAATACATTTGAACATTTATTTACTATTGTCCCACTACATGTTGTATCATTTACCCCTCACATCTGGCTTCCTCTGTCCTTTTAATCTCTCCGCATCCATACCTCCTCTACGTCCCACTGCGCCGCTCTCGAAATCTTATTCTCTCACTATCGTCGCCCTCCTCCCCTTCCATGGGTTCTATACTTTACTTTCTGGGCTCGAGCTTGCAAGAAGTCTTAAATTATGCCGACACACCGTGCCACATTACTCTCGGGGTATGCAGACACGCGCTGGCTGGCAAACACGGTTAAAGTAAATAGTCTCACAGAAGGGGAGGAGTGGTTTACTGAGCGCCGATGCAGAATTTGCGAAGTTACTGTACTCGGAGTTTAAAGCGTGGCGTCTATATCTATCGTGAAGTTCTTTGTACCGAAGAAGACTCGCTAATCGCGGATCTATTAGCTCGCTCTTGTGAGCATCTTCTTACGCTACTTCATCGCTATCCAGAGTATGAAACAGGTTCCATGATTTAGCAACGCGCTTTGTAGTTATTTTACACTATCATACAACAATTCGACATAGCTATATTATTGATATGTGAGAGCTGAGTCCTCAAACAACGTACAACACATATCCTTTATCCAGATCCTCCGGGATATGTTCACACGTACGTCGATGCCCAATGACCAACCACAGCAAAACAGCAGGCAGACTCCGACGTGTAAACCAACCATAAAATACTCTCAACAGTCTTCCTTCATGCCCTCCCTAGTACAGGCCATGTTCAGCCCACACCTCAGATGTCGTCATCTGCTTCCATTTAGCAAGGTTCTGCACATCTTCTTCCGTCTTGCAGAAGAAATCTCCAATCATCTCCTGCCACTCTATAGTAACCTCTCTTTTTTCCTGATTAAACTTCATGTATTTGCGCTTCGCTGTCGCGGTGAGCTTTGCCTTGAAGTCCATCTTGTACCCTATCTCTGGCATTGGAAGCGCCTCTAGCCGTTTCCCCTCCGCCACTTTACGCTTAGCGTAATCTCCCAGTGGGCATCGAGTCTTGATTGTAACGGCTAACCGTTCTTTGAAGATGGCGTAAGGAGTAATGCCGTCCTTATCTTTGACAAACTCTTGGAATTCGAAAGATGTGGCTGAGGGCAACTTCTGGTTGTTCGGATGGTGTCGCAGCGTCAGGCGTGGAACATAGGCTGTAATAGCAAGGTAGGCCAACCTGTGGTATTTCTCACTTTCGCAGGTGAAGATCTGCCAGAGCTCGTAGAGAGGAAGTTGAGGGAAAATGATATCCCAGATCTCGTTAGGGATGTCGTAGAACTTCGACATTTTAAGTATTTCGGCAATGGTAGGAGGGGGTTCTCGATCCCAGGTACCGACAACGTAGACGGGGGCTGCAGTGAAGGTTTTGTATTCGATTTCGAGTTGCAATGTGGCATGTTGATTTCGGGATATGCGAGACCACCTAGATCTCAACGGCGGCACAGTGCTTGCCTACTTAAACGCAAATCGGCAGTAAACACGGAAGGAGTCTGCAAAAAGTTAGGAGGAAAGGACGGCGATACTAACACTCTTGGCTCTCAACGGTGGGGGATCGAGGAAACTACGATTTCGATAAGAGATGGAAAATTGTTCTGGATTTTTTTCTTGAAATACTCTGCCCACTACTAGCGAAATATTTAAGAGATACTTTAGCAAAGTGTGGCTTGTTGCTCTAAGGAGGGAATGGTAACGGAAGACAGTTCAACCGCTGGTTACGTGAGGAAATATTCACCTAAGGTACATCACAGACACGTTGCGGAATCCAATAATTAGACCAAAACCTCCAAGGCCGCTCCGTGAGGGAGCTTGATGCAGAGGGCGAAGAATTCAAGAGCGAAAGAAAAGTAGAAAATCACTTGAAAGTCGAGGTTGAGTGTGGGACAAAAGCAAACCATTATACGATACCGATTAAGTACCAAGGCCGCATTCTCCTGTAATTTTGCCAATAGAGCTACAAGCTGGGACCGGAGAATCCTTACATAAAGTCCCCATCTAGTCTGGCCCGGGGTCAGTTTCTAATGGGCGTCAATCTGACCATCAAAGGATTCTTGTCCCAAAGGACAAAGACCTGCTGGTCTAGCCACCCTTCCGAGCTTTCGCAAAGCTCCATGTCGAAATTCCAGAGGACACTAGCGAGAATTAGGCGCATTTCGTGATAGGCCAAGCTACGATTATCAGCGCGAATCCCTTAATACCATGAGGAAAGGACAAAAACTTACTTCTTCCCTAGGCAGTTTCTTGGACCGTACGAAAATGGATTCAGGACCTCCTTCTTATCTGATGCATATTCCTTTTCACCTTCAGGAAGCCATCGTTCGGGAATAAAGTCATCAGGGTTCTTGAAGTTCAATAGAGAATGGTAGGCCGCATATTGCGCCAGCTGAACAGTCATCTGAAATCGTTAGCATTCTACATGATGGAAGGAGGGCTAGTGTTACTCACGCCTCCAGGGACCCAATGTCCACCAACTCTCGCGCCGCTGGATGGGGTTCTCCTCTCTAAGCCTAATGGAACAGGAGGGTAAATCCTCAATCCTTCCTCCAAACAAGCACCCAAATACGTTAGCTGCGATAGTCTCACCATTGTCATATCGTCATATGTAGGAAACGCTTCTCGAACCTCCTTCGTCAGTCTTGCGAGCCGTTCCGGACTCTTCAGCAACCGGTAGGTTACACCACTGAGTCCAGTTGCTGTCGTCTCAGTTCCAGCCAGCATAAACAACGCAGCGTCTGAATGCATTTCAGTCGTCTCAAGACCCTTTCCTTTGTTCTCCTCGCTTTCGGAGTACCGCATTACGTAAGTCCAGATATCCGGTCGATCTGTCTTACGCGCCAAACGCTTCTCAACTCGGTCAATTGAATGTCGCATATGCAGTTTCCATTTCTCTTTGATAGACTTCGGTATCAGGGCGTTCAGGCAAGTTTCCATCCCAGGCCACGCGCGCAAGATCTGGATCATCAGGATCATTTTCAAGCTTGCAAAAAGGGAGCGGACCCAGGGTGAATAATCTGAGCCATCGAGAAGCTTGAGGGGTTCCCCAAAGGTAAGGTCCGCCATGATGTCGAAGGTGGTGAAGTTGAACCAATCCACCAGGTTAACTGCCCTATTGTCGGGTTTTCTTTCTGCCTCTCGCAGCTTCTGAATCAACAACTCCACATACCATTTCAGTAAACTCTCCTGCTCTCGCAGTGCCTTGTCGCTGAAGGCATGCGATACCAATTTGCGCTGTCGGGCATGAGCCACGGCATCCGCCCTGGTGAGACCCGGAGGCGAACCGAATACGTCTGGGCCGTAGAACTTGGGCTCTTTCACGAAGGATCCTGCGCCATAAGATCCTTTATGACCATATACGTCTTTCCAAACTTCCGGGTCGATGAAGGACAGCTCGTCAGGTTTCAAGCGTACGACAGGTCCGTATTTCTTGTGCAGTTCGTGGAGCCAAAAGGGGCTGCGGCCCTTCAGTGCTTGATTTTGGGCAACTAAGACGGTGAAACGGGCTAAGAGGGGTCCAGGGTATGAGTGTAGAGGGTGAAGGAAAACATTGTAGAAGCCTTTGAGGATAGCGTAGGCGACCTGTCATTGTTAAGAATAGAGTCAATATAAGGAGTGAGAACACATACGAGAACTGATAGAAATAAGAGCAAAAGCTTTAAAAGGCGCGCTAGTGAACTCAACGGCTCGATATCCATGATGAAGATATTAGCAGCAAAGGTACGAGAATGAAGGATTAAGGAAATTCCGAGATGGTGGTGAAGCGCTTAGGACAAGAAGAATAATTCTCCATAGGGTTTAGCCCTTCATAAGAGCAGTGTGGAGCTCCAGAATGTGTGGTTTCCTGTATCCGTGATTTTTCCGTAGTGCCTACCACGACTTCGTGGCTTCCTTGGTGAGGAAGTACGCAATCCGACTCCACCTCGCCCCTAGTCAGGATCCTTTCGGGGGGTACTGGAGGAGCCATGCTGTCTGAAATGGGCAAGCGGCTAATCTTGAGATAGACCAGTTGTCATTAAGGAAAGCTAAGGGTGTCATTGCATGGTCGCATAGGTATGGTGCTAATTTAATGAGGGGGTAGTGCGAGTAAATAAAAAGGTCGGAATTTAATCCGCCGAATCATTGTTTCCTTTCTACGTTGTTGGGTACGAGAGAAGATATGGAATGCACAGAATGTCAAGGGTTGCTCTTTCTGTGGAGTGATCCATGCGGGTGCCAAAAAAAAAAGCTGCACACCAAATCACGCAAACCTATCAAGATTGGATGTAACCTCTAGTTCTTTGTGGAGGCAATGTTTCCTCTAGGAAAGCAGAGAGAGATGCAGAGAAGTTTGGTGAGTAAGAGAGATAGCTGAGCTTCTTCTCCAGAGGATTGTTTGGTTCCTGATCTGGTAGCTTTCGGTTTAACTAAGATACGCGGCGTTGAAGAAATTAAGTTTTGCGTGTGCCGCTTTTTAGCACCCTAATGTGGTGCTCATCTTGTCAGTGGTGGCGTGTAGATTGGCATTTCGGAGGTTTTACTTACATCGAAGGCATGCGAGACGCCTCGGTGTCCGTCACCCCCAATCACAAGGATCTGCACCCCGCTCGATCCCTCGGCCGAGGCGTGTCCTGAAAGGCGACCTCGGACAGCCTTTGAAGCGAAAGCGAAATCTTGACCTGATTGCAAAAAAAAAAAGGACGAATGCAGTGACGAAGACTTTCACTATGGAACATTGACAAGGAGAATTCGGTTTGTCAATCTACTTGCTAGAATGAAAGGAGCTAAAGAGATGGACATTTTCACCTCGAACTAGACCCTATTATTTTCCGTCCTGTACCAGCACCAATAAATCGCCCCCCTTAGTGATTCACTCGAAAATCATTTTGTCCCATAGCTCATTCGAATACCTGTTCTTCAATTGCGCCAGCGTCCACCCATGTTGCTTTCCAATCTCCTCCAGAGCATTCTTGAACTCAGGAATCTGATCCTTGTATGCTACTTCTTTCAAATACCTCCACGACTCCTGGCCCTTGAATGAGAACCTCTCCCACTCTTTAGCCCAATGCGGCCTAACGTTACCGCCATAGCTCATCCACTTGTCAATAACCTTCTGGGCAAACCCAGCCCACTCACCGTCCGCAACAGCATCAGGAAGGGTGAGTATCTCAATGGACAGCGTGCCGAGGTTGTTGTCCTTCTGAGGGGCCATAAGGATGTCGCTGCTGCTCATGAGACGCATCTCCAAGGCCAGACGCATGGGTGATGAAGGGTCGCCCTTAGTATCAGCGGCTTGGTAGACAAGATTGATAACATCCCACCAAGCACGTTGGACAATGCTGAAGTCTGCCTTTGTTGGGTCATCCTTCCTTGATGGCAGCGGAAGCTGGAGTTCGATATCTCTAACTCTCATATTCTGCACACCACGACGGAAATGCAAGGCATCGGGGAGCAGCGTCTTGTAGGTCGGGGTAGCGTTCTCACTGAGGGTTGGCGGGAGGGCTGCCATTCCCATTGTCGCAATCAGCTGCGCTTGCCAGTAGCCAGGGATGGCGTTGAAGAAGGGAACTGAAGTAATAACACCACCCAACCAGCCTTGGACCCATTGGAGAAAGACATTGGCCGAGTTAGGATAGTGGATTGCTCCCGTGGGATCGGCGGTAGTGTTGAAGGTGTTCGTCCAGATTTTCTTCTGATAAGCGAACCAGAACCATCTAAAAAGGTGAGAACCTGCTTCCATTTCTATTAAATGTTGATGGAGCTTACTCGCTATAGTAGTCATTGGCGGCACGCTGCTCAAACTCTGCCGTAGCCTTTGCAATTTGCTCGGATGCGTCTGGTGAGTTGTACCAGTTAGACCTCAGTGCCACTGGAATTTCTTCCTTTGCGATAGGTGGGATGCCCAGACCAACATCCTCTTTTACGGGTTTCTGCGCGAGAGTCAGAAGATGCGTCTAGATCAAGACCACGTATTGTAGCCTTACCATTACCGCGTAAGTCATTGCGTCCAGTTCGAAAGTGATATGTGTCACGACCCCGAGCAAACCAAGCGCTCCAGCCGCAGCTTTAATGAGATATGGATCGTCCACAACCTGCAGCTTGCTATTGCAGTCGACATACTCGATCCGACGGACATAGTCCGAAAGTGTCTTGTGAGAGATACCTGCTCCGTGGCATATGGGTCCATTCACGCCTCCGATGGTTACCTCGACAAGAATAACGTCGACTGGAAGTGACCAAGCTTTCCCAGCAACAGCCCAGCGTCTAAATTCCTCATTGGTGACTGCCACTCCAATCCGACACAGTCTCTTCTTTCCCGGAACGGTTTCCTCCTTTAGTTCAATTGTCTTCAGCTCTGGCACTGTGGAAGGATCATACTCTCCAGGAATGAGAGACATGGGGTCTGGTAGCGTCGTGACTGTATGGATGTTGACGAAAGACAGGAAGATCTCGTTATCCTGGGAGAATACCGAAGACCAGCTATGCCTGTATCCCGCACATCGCACTCTGTACTTATTGTTTAGGGCGAATTGGACGATATTCTGGACACCCTTGACCGTAGTTGGCAAGAAAGTGTATTTTGGCGTGTTCTGTACCGTCGTTCCCCAATTCTCGAAGGGTACCTCACTATAGCACTATTATCGCTTGGTTAGCAAAATGCTTCCGTAACTGGGGCCAGGTACGCATGATTACCTCAACAACTTTAGTATCTGCGGCATCCTCATATAGGATGGGAAGACTCTTCACGTGCTTGTGCTTGGGATGAAACACATCTTTGACGGCAGCTTTCCATTCCAGTCCATTGATAACTAGCTTCTTCAGCTCCTCTAGGAGCGAGAAATGGTGCACGACAGGGGGGCTCTTGTGGGACACGAGATGAAATTCCTTATCACCGACAACCTCTTTCGCTTGTTTGCCCTCTATGAAATCGCTGATTTGATCCTTCAGCTCTGGACTCTGGATCTTAGCGAATGCCGTCTTGTATACTAGAGTATGCTGAAAGGCTTTGAGGAATCCACGAATCTGAGTCTCGGGGTTGAACTCCTCGGCGATGACAGGCTTTAACACGTCGTTCTTCAGGGCCGAGTAATCGACCTTGTCGTATTCTCCGGAATACTCTTCGACATGCTCAAGAATTTCTTGGAGGATATGATCCCGCTCGAGAACATTTCCACTAAGGAATGCCTGTGAAATCGAGCCCATCGGGTGCTATTAAGAGGTGTAATAACAGGATAAGACAAAGTATTTGCAAGCGTAGAGCTTTACCAAGAGGTGCAAGGAAATGTAAGCAGCCGGGCTTGTAGAGAATAAACGGCTCTTTTGTACTGATTTAAAATATTGGTGATGTCCACCGGATCGGTCTCAGCGATGCGAACGGTCTACGTCTTCACACTCGTGTGTTCCTCATTGCTAGGCAGCTGAGTTCAGACCGACTATTTCCGTTTGCAGACAGCAAGTGGTGGCTAGCAGGGAGTGTAAGACGCTCGTCCTGACTGGGACAATGCCCAGAGAGGAACGCCAATTGACAAAAAAAGCGCACGTGCTATCGCTGCTCACGTCACCTTGGAGCTTACGGCTATTGACAAATGGTGTTTTCTAGCCGATGGAGGGAACCACCAGAGACGATGTAAGAACAGCGAGGGGTATTAGAGTCGCGAGCGAAACAGGCTTCCGTTCGAGTGCAGCCGCACCAGCGTTCTACTGTACCCGACTTGCGGGTGAAAGTCTTAGCACCCTACCTGACTACCTATGCGAGTATGGTCGCCAGGCAAGTAATCGTGGGAGTGTTAATATGTACTATTTCGAAAGAACGAAAATGAGGGTCAACGAGCTAATCCAGCCAACCTCTGACAGGAATATCTACTTCAACACGCTGTCAAGCTACTAACATGACTTTCCCCTTCGACTATTGTACATATCTAGTAAGGCGCCATTCGCTTTGGCACTTGGTTTACCATGGTACAATTTGGTGCAGCCAGTGCGTGGTGGCTGCCTCTAGCTGGTCCGCCACAGAAAGCATTCCAAGGCCGGCTGACCTGCTGACGCACAGGCGGGGCCACCCTTGTTACCACGACACCAGCTGAGACTGCAACACATTACCTATCAAGACAATGGAGTTAGCCTTGTTCGAGTGATGTGCCTGTAACTCTGGATACCCGTCATCAACTACACGTTGCTTCGCTAACTATGCATCCTCTGTATAACCCTTGGCTACTGATGAATCTGACCTAGTTGTGCTTTGAGGCTGTATTGCATTTCGCTGATTGGTTCATTTACGGCTTAAAAAGAAAGGAAGATGGAAGCAGACAATCGAGCACAGCCTTACGCCCACTTCCATCCCATCGTCTTTAGTAATTTGTGTCGTCTAGAGCCTAACTTGATACCCCGAGTACTAGAGTAGACCCCACTTTGCGTGTTCTCAGGTTCCTGCACCAACCCTCTCTCTCTCAAAGCATTAAGTTTGCCTCTTTCCTTGCTTAAAGCAGCAAGATTGCTACGCAGAGCCTGGCAGCGCGGACGATCATCTCCAATTGCTTGTAGTCGGATAGAGCTTCTGAATACATGGTCCTAGCATCCTCTATTTTACCTTGTCGGTCAAAGAGAGAAGCAACGGACCACTTCGTATAAAACCCTAGGATAAAAGTCGAGATATTTTCCTGACTGATTGCCCTCTTGTATCCTTGCAGCCCACCCATTAGCATCTTCTCTGCCTTTCAATCTTTCCTAGGTTCTTGTAGAGGCTACCTAAATTGTTAACTGTGTCAAGTGTTGATGTATGCTCTAGACCCCATGCCTTCTCCTTTCCTTTCAGTGCGCGCATTAACATATTCTCTGCCTTGTCAAGCCTTCCTAGATTCTTGTAGAGGGCGCCTAAGTTATTGACTATGTCAAGTGTTGATGTATGCTCTGGACCCCATACCTTCGCCTTTCCTTGCAGTGCACGCTGATAAATCTCCTCTGCTTCATTAAGCCTCCCTAGATCCGCGTAGAGGATTCCTAAGTTGTTGACTGTGTCAAGTGTTGATGTATGTTCTAGATCTAATGCCTTCTCCTTCCTTTGCAGTGCACGCTGATACATCTTCTCTGCCTTGTCAAGCCTTCCTAGATTCTTGTAGAGGTTGCCTAAGTTGTTGTCTGTGTCAAGTGTTGATGTATGCTCTAGACCTAATGCCTTCTCCTTTCCCTGCAGTGCCTGCTAGTACATCTTCTCTGCATCCTTTAGTTTTTCTTCTTTTGCAAGTAAATAACCTAGGCGGTGAAACATTATTAGGTGTATAGACGCTCTAGCATTGTCTCTTGCATTAGATAAAGAATATTCTTCTATCTATCCGCTAACTCTTATGGCGTGGCCCAGCACTCGTTTCCACTTTGTCCATGGCTGCACCTCTGATTCCGATGCGACGTTTAACGCGACTAGCGCTGCCGCTATGCAACAAAGGCTGTACCCCCCCTCGCCTCTCGCCAGCTGGTGGCACCATCTATGCAATACTGAGTGCATTGAGTAGCTATTGGTGTCTTCCTTTGCATTAACAAGCAAGTAGCGAGACAAAAGCTCTACTGCGTTAGCAAACTCCAACTCATTAGCAATTTTATGCAGCCACTTTAGGATGTCTCTCTCTTTTGCTAAATCTAAGCCGGCCGCAACCAGTTCATACCAGAGCTCTCCGCAATCTAGGTATCCCCAAAGCTTGAGCAGGCAAGCAGCTTCCTTGCTCTGCTTCTCGACCTGCTCGTACGACATGGTCCATGTCGTTAAGATACTCCAGTCGCCGTATTCTTGTAGTGGAATCCGCCCCTGCTTATTCATGAGATGCTCCCAGGTGCTATCGTAGTGCGTCGCGTAGCTTAATGCGGACATGTTCGTCTGTCGCATATACAAACCAGCTTGGGTGAGAGCCAGAGGCAGGCCGTGAAGACGCTCAAGAATCATGTCCGCGTCTGTTCACAGTTGTTAGTAATAGTGTTCTTGCCTTCGCAAATAGGACCGTTGACTAACCCTTAACCCCCTTTCCAACATTGTTTTCCAGAATATCTCTTGCTTGCTCTGCAGTGACCGTTCCTACCTTGAGTCCCAGCCCGTTGACTCCGTGCTCCTGAAGGTTTGCTAGCCGACTCGTAATAAGAATTGACCCGCGGTTGACAGGAGGAAAATAGTCTTTTACATCGTACGCTTGAGAATCGTCTTTGTTGTGTCACGATCAACGTTGTCGAAGATCAAGAGCGAGTGATGATTTACGGGGAGCGATAACCACCGGAGACACTCACGCACCCCCACGTTGATATCGAGGATAGATTGCTTGAGCACCTCCACGCCGTCTGCTGCCAGTTCGTCCTGTGGTAGCCTTTGCGCCATACCTAGAAATGACTGCTGCAGACTGGCCTTCGAGGATCCGTCCACCCAAAATATCCCGCTGAGTCTACGCCAGTGCTCCCGTGCAAACTCAACTGCGATTGTGTCTTACCTATACCGCCAAGGCCATAGATAGTGAATATTTTTGGTCGTTCGGTTATGGGCGATTCGTGTAGGAAGAATTCCTTGAGCTGTTGCATCTCAGAGTGGCGTGGGACGAATTGACTCACTACGGGGACGCCTTTGAGATTAAATTCGACCTTGTATTTTCCGAAGTCTGTCACCTCTAGTCAACGCTCTACAGATATGACCTGCTATGAAGGAGCATAACTACACAGAGATCGAGCCTCCACGAGCCCTTGAGATGCCTCAACCATGTCCTTAACCACATCCCTCACCGTCTAAAAGTCTTCCTCATCGTCATCTTCCTCCTTGCGGTTGCTGAACTTGTTCATGTTAAAGTGGCTACGCGAGAGCGAGAACTTGCTAGTCGAGTCGGAAAGGTCGAGGCAGCCAGAGCTCTGGCTCACAACAAATCTCTGTGGAAATGATCAGCGTTGGTGTGACACACGGCTTTCCCGACACCATCCGATCTTCCTTCCCCACAATCAATCCCACATTGCTTGCATTAAGCTCATAGAAGCATACAACCTGGGTCTTGTTCGCCTGCCTCTTCCTCTTCTTTAAGAAGCCGTCAACTACATCCTGAAGGTGCATGTTCCCTGGCTGCAGTATGTCCATAGCCTGAGGCTGCGCCTCATCCTCCTAGTATTCCCTCCGCGCCGCCTCAAGCATCTCCATTTGCTTCATTCCACCCGCCCCTCGAAAAGGCGTGCCAAAGAAGATTAAGCCGGTGGTTGATACGAATATTCCAGGCCATTCGTTCTCGTCTTGTTCGGCTTCCAGTAATGCCTGGAAGCCCCTTAGTCACGAGCGCTTTCCGCTTTAGCTTACTTCCTTACCTTTAGCACAACCGGCCCGCCAAAGCAGTGCGCTATAAAGAGCAGGGGGCGGAACGGAAACCCCTAGCGGGTCTTAGCAAAGAAATGACTTCTCATACAGAGGGTCTCCACCTCTCTTTTCCGCCGCAAGGCTCGCAGCAACCGATCAGCCACTGTTGTTACACTCTGCTGCATCGGCTCTTTCCCAAACCACTGCGACTGGTATCCATATCGCATGATGCGCGCATTGGGTGCTACAGCATATCGTCCTTGACAAGCCAGTTAACCCACTCCGGCTTCTCCAAGGTGCCGTCATTTTTACACCAGACATCATCTGGATGGGGTCCGAGGCCATGGATCGCGACAATGCTGATACATTTCAATATGTTGTCATGAAGATAAAAGTCACAACACGGAAAGAAGGACATACTCAATGCTCTGCGCTTCTTCCGCTGGTGCCTTGCGGAGCACTTTCAGCCCGGTGTCCCTTTCTGTGACCGGCCGAACCTAGTTTTGCGTTGGTCTTGGCGCGTTTCGCCGTTACCCAACTACATACCATATCTTTTCGGTATTGCTCGAATGGGGCAGTGCGACTGCTCGAGCTGGCACAAAGGATCAGGATGAGGAGATGCGCAGATAAAACACCAAGTTGCTATATGCCAGGCTGGAGCGGTCTCCGTTTTGCCTGCAGTGAGGCCGAGCTGGGCTGAGCAGGGCTGAAAGGGAGCAATGGCTGCCTCAGGCACGATACCTGTGCTGGGACTGACGTTGCGAACTTCGAGCTTCGAAGATTTCAGTGCTTCGCGAGTTCGTAGCACACACAGAGACGAATTATCCCAGCGTTATTCTACCATACAGCCATGCCTCCTTTTTCTAAGGCAAACCAGCTCATTCACGATCTTGATCCTGGGGCAGGACCACCCCCAATGACTGCTTTGCCTGGCCAACCTTCGGTTTCGCTCAAAGACGTCGCCGGTATGAGACAATTCCTTGAAAAGGAGTTTTGGGCCAAAGATCTCGAATTAATGGCGCCGCGTCTCTGGATGATGACAACGTTGTCCAGCGGAAACATTAACCCTTTACATCGACAGCGGGTTAAAGGTCGCGAAATCATCCTTACAGAAGAGCCTCGACTGCATCTGGTGTGGATACACCACCGTATATTCATCAAACCTCTTCCACGATATTTGCTATCGCATAGGTTCTGGGAAACATTCCTTGCTGAAAGCTCAGACCGACTCGGAGAAAGTAAAAGCAATATCCGCAACGCTGCAACTGGGTTCCTGAGGACATATCGCTACTTGATCCAGCACGAATCGGACTTCAACATCGCTCAGCAAGATAACCTTCGTCTTGTCCCAAAAGATGTGGATTGGGCATCATTCTGCAGATTCATCTCAGATGTCAACCACATCGAGGATGCGGTGGTGTCGGGGAGGTACTGCTACGGCGAACTAAGACTGACGCGGCTTAACTTTTATGCCCCACTGTTCCTACGTAAATTTCACTTTGAACAAGTGCATGGCCAATATGGAGATTACTTTGGACGGCTATATGGACCAATACTCTTCGTGTTTGCCCTAGTGTCTACCATTTTGAATTCAATGCAGGTTGCGCTTGCAGTCGAGCAGTTGGTGGCCGCGCACTGGGAGTCAGTCTGGTATCTCTGCCGTGGGTTTAGCATGGTAAGCATGGTGGGAGCAGCTCTTGTCTCGATGTGGTTCATCTTGCTTTGGCTATGGATATTTCTAGATGAGTGGATCTATACTGTAAGACGCAAGATGGAGAAGAGGCGAGAGACTCGTAAAACATCGGCATGTTAGCTGTACCGGTTACGACGGATAAGGGCCAACCGCAGCTTCCTGCGATACAAATACTTGCTACAAAGATAAAAGTGTTGAGCTAGCACAATTTCAGCAAGTGCGGGTAGTAAAAGTAATCAAGTAATGATATAGTTATATCAATAGTATAACCAGGCCAAGCCACTATCTGGTGCCTGTACCTCTCTATATACCATGGCTGCCCTAGAGTCACCACCACTCAGGGTTACAAAACACATGTAATTGCCTGTTCCTGAGGGGCCTACACTCTTGCTAAGTGGTATAAAGCTCGTTCGCGAACTTACCTCCTACACAACGTATATGGTTGACGATGATCCAGTAGTATTAAAGGAATCGCATAGGCTAAATTAACTGGCCTTAAGTTCAGAATAGCCATAAGATGAGAATGGTGTTGTTCTAGTTAAGAAATATTGTTTGCGACATTGAGGCTCACAACGCAGGAGTTAAGCAACAATGACAACTATAGTTGTGCAAATTTAGTAGGAAGAATATTTTGTATTGACTCACTATAGAGCACAATAACCCATGGACTACAAAAAAGATGTGCGCGCAGAGTTCGAGCCGCTCACAATTCAAAGTACCGCGGAACCTCGGAGCACAAGGTCGTTTCGTTTTGCGAGAATTGAATTAAGTAGACCACTGTCGGCTCTACCTTCGAACCCGTCCCGTCTACGTTACACTTTGCATAGAATACAAGTATACAATCTACGACATAGGTTGCTCTAAAATGTAGCTTCATTCTGCTGGGACATTCGCATAGGGAGAGCCTTAGGTGATGACGACATTCAAAGATGCCAAGGCCGAGGACTAGTATTAGCAACTGAAAGAATTTCTTCCTCAATGAAATAGCCTTGTCGTGGAGACCTTAGATAGAAATACTACCGAAACTTAATGGGAACATTTTTTTAGCTACATCAACAGGATCGAGATCCTTCAAAATGGAGACTAGAGCATCGGCCCGCTGGTGCACGGCAGGAGGAGGGGCACCCTTGCCGGCACCAGCACGGCTGACATGCACAGAACACCCCCACCTGCTCTCAGCGTTGTTCAAAAAATGCCTCCTTGTGCACGCAGCAATTGGCGAAGGTGCTGAAATTCGGCCCCCTCCCTGCGGCCAAGCGCGAGGCTGAGCTTGACGTTGCCTGGTTTCCGCCTCGCCGCACCTTGGAAGATGTTCTCCTCCAATCAATCTTTCCGCGGTGTACATATACTACGAACCCTACAAAGGGCACGCTCAACTCTGTGCTTTTCCGTCGCTTCAAGACGAAGTAGCCTAGACCTGCTGCAGCTATGGTAACTATCTACCGTGACGGCCTCTCAAGGCTCTCGCGTGGAGAGGAGAGCGACGAGCAGTTTAATTTGAAGTTAGATAATATTACATGCATTTTACTGCGCTTTACTGACTCTCTACAGTATAATACTCGTCCACGGCCTTCGCGGACATCCTCGAGAAACCTGGGAAGCCACACCAGCGGCCAGTGCCGAGGACACCGCCAAGAAACCCAAAGGCTTCATGTCCTTGTTTAAGCATCGAGTGGTCAATCCTCCCTCGACAAGCACGGGACAAGCACATGTCTCCTTACCACCGCCATCTAATGTCTTCTGGTCAGAAGAGTGCCTCGCGTCGGATATACCTCAGGCTAGAGTGTGGACGTATGGGTACAACACAGATGTTATAGGCGGCCTTTTCCAGGCGAACAATAAGAACACCATTTCCCAGCATGGGCGAGATTCGTCAGTTAGACTCGAAAGAGAGTTCAACGATGGAGTACGGTAATCACAGTCTGTGGCCTAAATTAGTTTCTTTAACAGTCTTGGTGGCATTATTATTAAAGATGTAAATGCTTTACAATCCTTAGTTTACATGTATCCCTGATCCTGGCTTACTTATTATAGGCCATTAATCGATCAGACAAAATCCGAGAATGGACAAAGCTCATCATTTTCCTCGGGACCCCACACCAGGGCAGCGCAATTGCTGGCTGGGGTCAGGTCGCCTCTAATCTTGCTCGCGTCACCCTCCAGGACTCGAACAAGAAGTTGCTAGAGACGTTAGAAGTAAATAGTGAAGTTCTCGATAATATCCATGAGCAGTTCAAGGCAATTGTGTTTAAGAGCGGAATCAAGGTTCATTCATTCCAGGAAGCACGAGGCATGATAAGACTAGGCGAGAAGGTATGCTTTTTATTAATGCTGGATACTATATGCCGCAATCTACTTATTTAACGCTAACAAGTAAAGGTTGTGGATGACTTCTCATCAAAGCTTGATCTCCCATAAACATTAGAAACAGTTGAGATCATTGATGCAAATCACATACAGATGGCTAGATACAGTAGTAAAGATGATTACAGGCACCGTGCCATCTGCGGTATTCTCAAGACCTTTATCCAACAAGACCTGGAGAATCAAAGAATAACCCCCTCTAACGTGGCAAATAATTGTTGTACGTAAATGCGTAGACTATTGAGTATGGTAGCAGGGAATCTTATATGTGTTCTTACCAGTGACTAATGCGCTGTTCATAGTCCCTTTTGCAAAGGACGAGTTTTTTGTCGAAGATATCAGCAAGAAACGAATAGCCTCAAAGAGCCATACCCGCATTGCTCTTGTTGGGCCAGGGGCGTAGGGTAGGCAATTTTTTGAGGTATTCTTTTGGATGACTGGTTAACATATCGTAGGAAGTCGCAGATCGCAATTGAGTATGCGTATAGAACCCAACAGGCGGAGCCATGTGCCCTAGTAGTTTAGATTCACGCAAGCAATCGTACTAGATTCGAGCAAAGGTTTCGAGAGCTAGCTGACAGCATTCCACTACCCGGGCGAGAAGACACAGAGGCGGATATCTTGGAACTCGTATACGCTTGGCTGTCAGTTAGGAAGAATGGGCATTGGCTTATGATACTGGACAATGCTAGTGATGATAGGGTGTTTTTTGACGACGATGAAAATATCGCAGACGCCGCTCAGATAAGAGACATCATGAGCCATAGGAGGCCTCTCGAAGGCTTCCTCCCTCAAACCCCGAATGGAACAATCCTCATTACCTCTAGGAACAATATTGCAGCGATGAGCCTCATTGGGACGCAGGGTAGCATTATCCAGGTTGAGCCGATGAAAGAAGAGGACGCACTAGCGCTATTTCAGACCAGAGTGCCATTTGACGAGTCCAGCGAAGCCGACGCAAAAGCCTTAGTCCAGGCTCTAGAGTGCATTCCACTTGCCATCACCCACGCCACAGGGTACATCAAGACAAGAGCACCTATGACAACCATATCGGATTACCTTAAGCTGTTCCGCGAGAGCGAAGCTAATCAGGTGCGCCTCCTTGGCAAGAAAGGGCTGGGAGACCTCCGGCGGGATCACAGCATACGACACGCGGTGATTGCGACATGGCAGGTTTCGTTTACGCAGATCCAGAAGACAAAGCAGCCAGCCGCAGAGCTGCTTGCACTCATGAGTATGTTCGATAAACAGGGGATTCCGAAGTCCTTGTTGCAATACGACACCAACCAGCTAGACTTTGACGATGCTCTAGCGCCTCTGCTTAGCTTCTCCCTTGTACGGGTTGAGATCGGAAAGCAGTCGTTTAACATGCACCCTCTCGTGCAGGTATCAATGAGGACGTGGCCTGAGGCAGATAAACAGTTAAATGGGTGAAGGAGTCAATTAGAGTTCTAAGCGCAGTATTCCCGAGTGGCGACTATAAAACATGGGCCGACTGCGACGTACTCCTTCCTTATGCGAGAGAGGCTATAAGCCATGTGACGGCTGACAAGGAGGACATTTTGAATCAAGCAGATATTGGACTAAGCGTAGGATGGTATCTACACCTTAGAGGCGAGTACAGGTCTGCAGAGAGAGCTTCTCGAATGTCAACGGAAAGAAAAGAGGAGGTCCTGGGGCTGGAGCACCTAGACACGCTCATTAGCGTGAGCCAGCTTGGGTCGGTGTTGGAGGGGCAGGCCAAGTATGAAGAGGCGGAAGCGATGCACCGGCGAGCACTGGAAGGATATGAGAAGCTCGGGCGGGAGCACCCAGACACGCTCACCAGTGTCAGCCAGCTTGGATCGGTGTTGTCAATGCAGGGCAAGGATGAAGAGGCAGAAGCGATGTACCGGCGAGCGCTAGAAGGATATGAGAAAGTCCTCAGGCTAGAGCACTCAGACACGCTGACCAGTGTCAGCCAGCTTAGGTCAGCGTTGGAGAGGCAGGGCAAGTCTGAAGAGGCGGAAGCGATGGACCGGCGAGCACAAGAAGGAAGAAAGAAGTCCCTTGGGCTGGAGCACCCAGACACTCTCACCGGCGTCAGCTAGCTTGAGTCGGTGTTGGAGAAGTAGAGCAAGTATGAAGAGGCGGGAGCAATGCACTGGCGAGTACTAAAAGGATATGAGAGGGCCATTGTGCCGAAACACCCCTGCATTCTTATAAGCATAGCCCATCTAGTATCGACGTTCTGGAGACAAAGGCGGTGGAAGAAGGGCGAAGACCTAGAAGTGCGAGCGCTGGTAACAAGAAAGAGAATACTTGGAGAGGAGCATCTAGCCACGCTGGCGGTATATATAATCTCTCATTCACGCTCAACTCTCAAAGTCGCAATCAGGAGGCTATATCGCTAATGAGAACGTGCTTTTAATGCGGAAGCAGATCCTTGGCCCTACTCATCCTACCACAGAGTCTTCGCTCATATCTCTAAATAAGTGGCAAACGGAGAACTAAGAGATAGGGGGGCTGAAAGACGCTTTACTATGCAGAATATAGAGTTAATTCAGAGGAAAACGGCTTAAGCTGTGTAAGCAAGCTTATAAGTGAAATGTAGCAGTGACCCGAGTGATTTAACACTAGGTGTTGCCACCACAGGGGGAGTGGTGTAAAATCACATGCCTCCAAGAATGGACCCATGGGGTCCAAGACTTTCCCTGCCAAGTAGAGTAGAAACTTTAGTAGCTGCACTTGGACAGAAACTGACTTTCCTACAAAGGTAGCAACTGCAGACAGAATAGCAAGCGAGCACACAGAAATGATAGACAGTAGTAAGCAAGGCAGAAAGGCGAACTCTCTCAGCTGAGAGCACCTTCTCCGTTTAGCTGACGGGCTGTCAGCGAACGACAGAGTTGGGGCTAGCCCTTGCGGAATTCCATTCTGGCCCTCTCTTTGAGGTGTGGGACCATTTTCTCTTCCTAACTGACTGGCCGTGTAACGGATAGAATTCTTCGATGGTTGCGTGGAAGCAGACGGGCGAATGCTCGATGATCAGGTACCACGCGGAAGACGGTGTGGGGGCTGATACAGCTACCAGAGCTACTCGCCGTTACACTGCCACCTCCGAGGGAGAACCCTAGGAGCTCTATAGATATAAGGTCTGTTTGGAGGAGACAGAGGGAGATATGGTGTTGGGAGGCTGGTGCCCCACTAGCCAAGAAGGCTAAGCTTTTTGGTTTCACTTCGAAGGTTTCTCGTCCTGCGCCTCAACCCAGCTGCGCTTCTGGAACACAGCTGTGTTTAACACTGCTTTTCCTGATACATGTATCAACATCATTCAATTATCCTTTATCTTTTGATTTGGGCTTGATTCCTTCACATCCACTTCCTCATCGATGTTTTCTTACATCTCAGGGTATTGGATGAGAGGGCTTCACGCCGCCACGCCATTCTCAGGAGAACAGAGCGAGCCACGCGTTCAATGCCCACCCAGCCTCGTCATTCACCAATGCAAGGCGAACTAAAGAGAGCAATACATCAACGCTAATCTGATAAAGCCTTGATACGTTTCAAATGCCCAGGATCAACTCGCCAGATTGGCATACGGAAACACTCGTTGAGAGGAATGATCGATTGGCTGCTACGGTGCCTATCCGATTGTTACATGTGCCCTGAGAACCCGACCAAACCTATGAGGAGTTTTGCTACTGTTTTCGATTATCCAAAGTTGTCGAATAGTAATATATGACTTATCGTATATTCGAACAGCAAGGCCAGAGCATATATCGTGACGAAGCATGGTTGTGCAAGGGGCCCATTGCCTTCATCCCTAAATTTGCGACTTGTCCGCGGTGGTGACGACGCATGGCGCCTATCCCACTTATGTATTGCTAGCAGATATCCACCTGACGCGGCAAACTGATGGAAACATTTAGACTGAAAATGATTATTGGGACCCGACTCTTCTGCTAGACTTCACTCGACTTTTCCCGTGCTTCTTTCATTGATACTATTCTCTTGTCTTTGCCACTTGTCCACACCTAGCTCTCTCCATCAATCAATGCCCACCTTTTCCCTCTTTCAGCCATGCTTTCCAATCTTCTACTCCTACCAAAGTCCCTCCTTTTCTGCCTCCTTTTCCCGAGCATCTGCAGCGTCCTGGCTGATACACCTCCATATCTCAACGACCAAAAATTCGAGAACGGCGAATATGGTCCTTACCCTGTGCAAACTTTCCACTCATCTAAGATGGTGGCTCCACGCCTTAATATCCTAAGTACCCATTCACGTTGCGATGATGGATCATATACGATGTTCAATCCTCGGGGCTTTGCTGTGCCTGAGGAAGGTCGAGGCCCGATGATATTGGATGCTGAGGGCAACGTGGTGTGGGCGGCGACGGGATACGAACAGACGTATAATTTGATGGCGCAGGAGTACCGTGGGAAGCAGTACCTAACGTTCTGGTCTGGCAATGATGCTATTGGAGGGCATGGCAATGGGCAATACATCATGGTGTGGCTTCTTTCAAACTAAAACATGTTGTAGCATCAACCCCACTGACTTGTAAATAGTTAGATTCCTCATATAAAGAGGTTGCGCGTATGAAAGCCGCCAATGGCCTGGAGGCTGACCTACACGAGTTCCGCTTCACTGACGCAGGAACCGCTCTCATCACCATATATGACGTCCAAGTAGTCGATCTCACTCCACTCGGTGGATCCCCTAAAGGACACATCTGGGACAGCGTGTTCCAAGAACTCGACATTTTGACCGGCAAGCTCGTCTTCCAGTGGCGGGCATCCGAGCACTTTTCCCCCACAGACTCATACCACAACCTCGGAACCCAAGGCGGTAGCGGGAACCCCTGGGATTTCTTCCACATTAACAGCGTCGAAAAAGATCTTCAGGGGAACTACTTAATATCGTCGCGGTATACCAGCACAATCAGCTACATCTCTGGAGAGACGGGAGAAGTCCTCTGGATCCTTGGCGGGCGCCGAAACAACTTCACTGACCTTTCCGACGGCAGAGCAACAGATTTCACATTCCAACACGATGCCCGCTGGCACGATAACTACACCACGATCAGTCTCTTCAACAACGGCGCACAGGCCCCAGGGCGGAAGGAGAACGCGCATTTTAGTCGCGCAATGAGAGTTCGGATCGATACGCACGCGATGTCTGCACGACTTGATACACAGTATACCAACCCCCTAGAAATATCTAGCTCATCGCAGGGGAATATGCAAGTCCTACCTAATGGCAACGTTTTGGTGGGATATGGTTACAACAGCGCATTCACAGAGTTCGCGCCTAATGGCGTGGTATTGTGTGAAACGCATTTTGGAGCCGCGAGTCGGTTTCATACAGGAGATGTCCAGAGCTACCGTGTGATGAAGTTCAATTGGACCGGGACGCCCGACACAGATCCAGAAATGGCAATTGTGGATGGCTCGGCTTATGTGAGTTGGAATGGGGCGACGAAGGTATATCAATGGATCCTGGAAACTGGCGATAAACGGGCTTGGACGGGCTACCAAGACGAAATCAGGTGGCAAGTGTCGTCAAAAATCGACAAAAGCGGATTCGAGACGAGGATCAGGCTTCCTCAGGACCGCGGATCGTACATCCGAGTCGTTGCTGTTGACAAGGCCGGGAAGTCGCTGGGTCTTACCAAGGCAGTTAAGCTTGAGAAGGTACGTACCTTACCGACCCTGTCATAGCTTCATGCTTAACATTCATGCATAGGCAACTGGCGCAGTGACCGTTGTTGTGGAAACCAACCACTCCAACGCTCTGCTATTCCTCATCTTTTGCGTCTCAATGATCAGTTTTGGCCTGGTCCTCAATTGGTGCGTGAACGTGGCTCGGCGGATTTGGAAGAAGAAAGAATATATCCCGCTCAACTACGACGATGATTACGTGTAGGACTTTGTGGTCTTGTTATTTGTCCAGCTGCTATTATCTCTCTGTGGGTGAGGTTAATGCGTCTTTTGCGTTTATGCGACCCTTTCCTTTTCATCTCTCTTATGTATATATCAACGCAACGGGCTTGTGTGTCCCACATATTCACCACACCACTACTCACACGCACAAAACCATCACAAGCCATGCGCGATGCAAAGCCACCTCAATTGAGGGACGAATGTTGGTCTCGGTATGCAGGGGACGTCAGCCTGCAGGGGTTCCAACATGCGACTGTTTCAGCCCTACGACTCAAGCCCTCACCTCAACAATCATGCTTCAGGCCAGTTTCAGCATTCCAATCACTACCCTCTTTATCAAAATATCAAGATTTTCGCCAACAACTGTCCCCCGGCGATTGGCGCATCGAAGTAACCACCCCACGCCGTCATCGGAAAGCTTGCGCCCCGGATATGCACTCACGTCTTCCGTCCCTGCAAGCTTCAACTTGAAGATCTGTGATTGGTTGCTCTGCTTGATGTCGTCCCTCTAATACGTGGTCGGTGAGTGAACGACTCTTGTCACATTAGAGCCAACTGCATTCATCAAGTGGCGCTGCCAGCCCTGTTCATACATCGGGGTTCTAAGCTGCAGATTCGACGACGATGACCGTAACAAGCCACTCCGTGCGAGCCCAAGCTCCCGGCATTGTCCTGCGGCCAGGCTCGTGGATATATGGCTGACGCCGTACATATGCGTGCGTGGAAAATCTGTGCGTGTGTGGGTGGTTTGAATGTCTGTTCTGTTCCTTTAAGCCTGGCACTTCAGCCTGAGTTTTGAGACTTTGGTGTCGTTGCTTGTCGGTCGGAAACGAAGGTTCATTTCTTGTTCTATTCGTGTTGCTCTGGTAGCTTGCCAGCTGGATCTGGGTTTTACATTCGTTTTTATTTTCCCTTTGACGATTTTTTTAAGCTGTTAGTAGGCATGGGTTGTGGGACGTTTGTGTTGGCCGGGTTCAGGACTTTGGCTGCGGTGGTTGCGTTGGGGGTTGTCGGGCTTGGAGCTTGGGGTATGTGTATACCATCTCCCAACCTAGTTACTGCTAGAGTTGAGATTGAAGCTGGACTGTGTAAGTGACTGACATCAATAGCGCTGACAATTATCCACGATGTCGAGGTACGCGGAAACGCTGTCCTGGATACTGTGCTACTGGATGCATCGAAGGAAGATACGTGGGAGGATTTCTTCGATGCCGCGGTTGGAAGCCAGATGAGGATTTGTGTAGCCATTGCTGCTGTTCGTCTTCCCCTCCTTCCCCTCCTCCTCCTCCTCCTCCTCCTTCCTCTCTAGGTTTCCTTCATACTACCTCTGTCTCTCCGTCATAGCTTTGTTGTAGATCTAACATCACCCCAGGGCTGTTTCTCCTTTCTAACCGGCACCTTCATCATCCTCTCGCTCAAGTCCCAACGCCTAAAAGTCTCGCCATACCTCCTCGTCCCTCTCGAGTTCCTTTGCATGCTCGCCATGGCCGCAGCCTTCGCCACCACTCTCACCCTCGCCCTAAAGCTAGACGGAATCTGCAGCGGTCTCGATATATCCTCTTCTACAGACCTCCGGGGATTCGAGATGCTATGTCCACTTAGCAAAGGGTATTCTATCGGCGGAGGGGTTGGATTGTAAGCGCACCCCCATCGTTTCACCTTCCCATATAAATCCACTAACTCATCCTTCCCGCAGACTCCTCCTAGTTATAACATCCCTGTCGGCAATAGTCTCTCTCTGCCACCGCGCCCGCAACTCCAAAACCTGCGACTTCGAACCCAGCGCCTCAGCGCTCGGCATGGGGCACGACTACCAAGCTGTAAAGCCGCAGGCTCCACGCTCCACTATCCCGACGATTTACGATCCTTTCAAACCCGTGCCTGGGGATCGGAAATCGCCTTTGCTGGCAGGGAAAAGCCAGGATGACGATGAGAGGGTTCTTACGACTGGGGCTGCCGGTATGGGGAGGAGGGATTCGGAGCTTAGTGAGAGAAGTAGAGATGGAGAGGAAGAGAAGCAGATTTCAGGACCGTTGGGGCTGGAGAAACCGGAGGCGGTGAAGCAGTTGAGACCGGCGCATCGGCCGTGGAGTGAAATGCCGAAGAGGTAGAATGAGGGCGTGAGTGAGAGACATGACATGGGGAGGAGCCCATATTGAGCTTGCTTGCGCTTTTCCAATGCGTTCCGCAATGAGTGATATGGAAACGACGACATGGAGAGTAAAATGGTTGAAATTTAAAGAGAGATGAGATGATCGCTTCAATGATGGCGGTGAACAGTTGGTGAGCTTGTGTATGGTACAGTTTATTCTCTTCTTCCACTCGCTTATATCATGTCTTCTACATATTTTACATACCGTCTATCTCTGTCTCTGTTAGATTATGCCGAAACGAAAGTGAGATGGGGGTGCAAAATTGCCAAACACCTTTCTGTATAGTAGCCTTAGAATATAAGTTGCAACGTATGTAACAGTATCAGGCTGTTCCACTTGTCGTTCTCCAAGTTCTATCACATCAGGTCGAATTACAGATTCATGCTACCACTCCAGCTACTAGAAGCTACCTTACTAACGGTAAAGAAGGTACGGATAGCTCCTTGTCTTTTAGTCCCCTGAGCTCTCTAATTTCTATTAAACTATTAGCAAATCCTTTCCATAGCTCCTAGGTTTCAGGAGGGGTTAAATTAAATCCCAAGGACAGGCTGATGTATACTAATTAGGAATCCTCTGATCGCTTGTTTTCTGTGACGTACCAAGGAAAAGTAGCTCTTATGATGTCATCACACACTTGAGCTTCTCCCCCTCTAGCTACCCTCCAATCCAAAACTCGAATGCTCTCACACACACCTACCTCTCTCAGTCCCAATCCCTCTCTCTACAAGCTCTTAGTCCCAAGCTATCCCGCTGATGGATGCCCTGCGAACGCCAACTCTGTAGAACGCCGATTAGATTCCAATATGCGACGCTTCAGTCTCAATCGTTTGCAGGGTACAGGGAGGTCTTCCGTAAATACTCATGACATACCACCCGATCCTCCCGCGTGTTTTTCCGAGACCTGGAGTGCGAAGATATGAGGTGATGTGATCGTGGGCGATAGCAGGATCATAGAATGCATCTGCATCTGCATTTGCATCTGCAGAGCACCGTTTCCGTTGTCTAGCGCTGTGAATACCGCGAGAGGGAAACATTGAAAAGGGTTCCGGAATTTCTCCAAAGTCCAGCTGATCCGACTTGCTCCAATTCCACCCCAATTTCTCCCCTCTCAGTGAATCAAACCACGGCTACGCCTATCCCCACCAGCACCCATCCCCGGTACCTACACCGGCCCGCTCCGCCCGCGGATCGACTTCAGTTTCCACCACTACAGCTCCATAAACGACCCAAACGGCCTTTTACTCCACTTCTTCGACTTTCACCACCTATAATACCAATATAGCCCCCTGATCCCTTATCACAGGAAACCAACTCTAGAGCCACGCCACCTTTCCCGACCTCTACCACTAGACGGAGCAAGCAATCGCGCTCCCCTCTTCTTTCTCCCTCCGAAGGCATCTTCTCCACAGCGCGGACTGTACGAAGAATAATCACGCCGGTCAGGATTTCTACGGTATCACTGGGTCTCGCTAGCAGGTTGGGATTAATTGGACGAGTAACTGGCAATACGCAAAATGTGGTGTTCACCGTGTCTGAGGAATACCGGGGCGTTATGCCGTTGCTGCTAGAATACCATGTGAAAGAGCTTGAGGTTGTTGGGTATGCGCTGATATCGTATCCAACAACATCTCGGCCGTGATTGACACAGAATTGGCGTACAATTCATGGCTCGGAGATGGGGTAATATTTTTCGACTACGCAGCCATTAAATCCTAAGTGATATATTTTGAAGCAAATATCACGAACTGCACAGGCGCCTCTTCCCTCCAAGAAACCCTGAACTTCACGTTCAGCTTCTCTGGAGCTGGCTCATCCATCTTCGGAGGCATATTCCTGTCCTCAGGCGATATTTGGCTCGATCGTGGGTGAAACCCAACGTTCCAAAATCCCTTCGTCACAGGAAAAACTCAGCGCAACAAGCCTTTACATCGGGTAGGGCGTGTGGCAGCGTTGAGTCGGTGACAGAAGCATCGCGAAATATTCTGAACGGCGGCGAGCTAAGCGCAACTTCTAGGTTTTCTCTGTCCCGGTCTCTGGACTGGATGAGGGCTGCTGTGAGGGTGATTAACGAGACGGAGATGGAGAGCGGGGGATTTAGAAGCTGATGGATGCGTGGGAGATGCAGATGGGAGGTGCGGGGAAGTTTTACCGAGGGGTAACGTGCTTTCATTAAGGATGTAGGAAGGGCATGAAAGGGAAGTCGGAGATAATCTGTACTTGACGTGATTAGATATTTCCACCAGCAGGATCTGGAGAGCGCTTTTTCGGCAGACATTGTTTCAACACACTGTGACCGAGTTGTATTCCACGCCTCCCACCCATCAGCTTAGCGATCCTTTTCTTAGCATCCCAATGCTCAAAGCCCTCGAAGTCCCAGAACAGCTGGATTGATGCTGGGGTATGCTCCGCAACCCATTCTGCCGTTCTTGTCGCAGTCTCATGCAAGCGTGAGTTCATAATGACAGGAGGGTGGGGAAAGGATACTAGAACCGACTCGAGGTGCGGAAATAACTCCAACAGACGAGGGAGAGAAATCTCGGTCTCGTGTAAGCCCCACTGCCTAGGCAGTGGTTGAGTTGCATTATATGCAATCTGGATTTCTAAGTTTTTGAAATAGTTTCGCATATCCAGGGACATGCGGGTGGCTGTTTGGTAGGCACGGCTGAGAGGAAGGACGCTCACGGGTTGGAGGTTGGGACCGCGGACGAGCTTGAGGAAGAGGATGCGATTCTCGTACGAGTGTTTTGTGGCTTCGGCATGGATTTGGCGGGAGACGGAGAGCAAGTTCAGGTTGGGTTTCGGGGGCTTGTAGGAGGTAGTAGGGTCGTCATAGATGGACACGTAGGGTGCTCGAGGGAGGCAGTACGAGTAAATGTGGATACGGAGCTCGGCCGGCAGTTGCAGGAATGGGAATCGTTTGACTGGCGGGATGTTTAGGAAGGAGACAGGGGAGAGAGGGGTAGGCGGGGAGGGGTAGGCGGGGAGGGAGAGGGGGGGAGGGGGAGGGGGAGAGGGGGATGAGGGAAATCAGGGCGGAATATGTATACCATTGGCATAGAGGACATCAAAGCTGGCCTGCAGGCGCGTCCCTAGTAGGGCGTCAATCTGGGGAAGGACCGCAAAGGCTTCAGAGCTGGTGCACTCGCGGCCCTTGTAAACTTGGAGGTTGAATTTGGTTTCGTTGACCCATTCGCGTCCTTGGCGGACATTGCGGTATGCGTGCTCCCAGGCGGCGGCGATGCCATCTGGACGACGCAGGCGCACTTGATGCCCCATGATGAGGTCGTGCAGCTGCTTGGCGGGCTCAGTGTCGTGCACAAAGTCCTCCAAGTACTGGCGGATCTCCAAGGAGCTCGGGCGCAGGATGGAATCGTAGCGAAGGAGGTGTTCCTGGGCCGAGGAGGAGGCGTGCAGGAACTTATCGAGAGCCAGCAACTTGGCGAGCAGCTCGGCGGCATTGTAGACAGTGAAGCGGTCGGGAAGCCTGGTAGAGTAGTCGCGGGGGATGGACGAGGATCGACTGCGCGTGAGGAGCTCCATTGCGCGTGGGGAGATGTTGCCCCAGCGAGAGGCACCTGTGTGAAGTGCCTGTGAGGGCGGGGGGGGGAGGGGTGAGGCTACCCCACTGCAGCGGGCGGCCAGTGGGCGGCCTGTTGGCGGCTTGTTGGCGGCCTGTGGCGTTGTCGTGGCGCACTTCCTCTGACGTCCAGGCGCGACATGGTCAAGCAAGGTTTCACAGCTCAGCGGCCTCGTCCAACATCCTGGCATTGTCCCCCCAATTTCGCTCTCCTACTCTCCCTTTCGTGTTGTCCACCCTCAGTCACTCCTTATCCAGCCGCAACTTATACAACGATCCCCAATTCATCACGACGGCCCGCCCCGTCCCGCTCTTCCTGCCCCTCCTCTCCTTCCGCCAACAGCTGCGAGCTCCCCTGCTTGCCTCCCAGTCAGCCCCGCAGCGCGTCCAGCGAGTCATCTGGGACTGGCCTACAAACCAGCACGCTGGTGGCCACATGTCCACCCCAGAGAGCAAGCCCGGGTTCCTCTCCGCAGGACTCAACGCTCTCTCTCCCTGGGGCTCCCGGAGTGCCACCCCCAAACCCCCCCATACGGACGACGATGAGAAAGACAAGACGGCTCCCGCGGCCATCGGCGCACAGAGGGGAGGGGACCATACCATCAACCGCAGGCATAGATTGAGTCTGCGTAAATACCCCAATGACTGTCCCCCCCTCGTCGTGCGGTGGTTTCATGCAGTCGATGTGCGTCTTTGCCATTTGTCCTACCCCCGCCTCATACTGTTCGTGGCTAACTGCCTACTATCTTAGATCCCAAAACGAAAACCGTTCCCTTCTTCCAACGCCACCCCATCCCCTGACAAGCCTGTCCCCAAACCGAAGAAATTCATCCCCTTCTCTCCCGGAGACTCCCGCGCCATAGAAAACGCCTTCCAGAAACTCGCCGACGAAGCAGACACCTCAGAATCCAGGCGAGATCTCTTGAGTCCACTCTCGCCTGCAGCCCAGAACCTAGCACCGAGCCCTGAGACAAGTACCAAAGTGTCGGTCAATGAAGACTATTTGTTCGATGTTGAGATTGAGACCCGCGAGCTTGCCCCCGCATACTGGCCTGGCCCTGTCTACGAAGTCAAGAGAGGCACATGGTTTACCGCCGAAGGAGAGCCTGTGGATGAAAATCTGGCTACACAGCTGGAGGAGGGCTACCTGAAAGTTAAGCCTTGGCGGTTTACGAAGCTGGCCGAGAAACGCTCTGCTTCGCAGCCACGGACGCGACCTGTTTCGCTGAATGTCAAGGCCGGTGACGACTATAGAAAGCTTCTTAACCAGCGTGACTCGACTTCCAATCCCGTCACCCCGAAGTCTTCGTTCGATGATCTCCGAGAGAAAGCAAACTCCGATCGCGTGGATGAAAACATCACAACTGAGAAGCCCACGGCGTCCTCCACCCCAGAAGATAGCCCAAGGACCTATCGCCTGTTTGGCGCTCATATGAACTCGGTCGTGACGTATCAAGACGAAATGGCGGCCTGGTTACTGACTGACGATTTCCTCACCCGCATGGGTAGTACTTTGTATTCAAGATTCGCCGGTGGTGGACACTTCGCTGGTATGAAATATATCCGAGGATTTGTAGATCCTGCTAGGAAAAGAGACCCTAAGCCCAAGGATGACAAAATGGAGAGGGAAGAGAAAGACAAGAAGGATAAGAAGGCTGCAGGACGACCCGTCACTCCATCATTGGCTTACGGGGAAGATCCAGGGAAGCAACCACAGACACCTTCATCAGAGCCTACATCCGAGGACGAGCGTGCGGATTCACCTTCGGAAGCGAGGCGCAAGACCCTTGAACGACACATGTCCTCCCTCATGACATCCTCCCAGCCAGAAGACTCGGAGAAGCAAGAGGAGGAAATTCGGAAACGGGACGAGAAGGAGATGCGCGAGGACTACAAAGATCAAAGCAAGGATGAGCAAGGCCGAGAAATCGAGCATCTACTTCTAGTAACGCATGGCATCGGACAGCGCCTGGGCATGCGCCTCGAGAGCGTCAATTTCGTTCATGACGTCAACACGATGCGCAAGTCGCTCAAGGCTATCTACGCGAATTCTCCTGATCTGCAAGCTCTTAATTCCGAGGTTGAGAAGGAAACAAAGAACAGTCGCATTCAGGTCCTCCCCATTTGCTGGCGACATCTCCTGGATTTCCCCAAGCAGAGCTTAAAGCATAACCGCAAGGAACATGACCTTGGCGACATAGATTTCGAGGATCACGAATATCCCAACCTGGACGATATCACGGTAGAAGGTGTGCCGGCAGTGCGCAATCTCATAACCGACCTTGCACTGGACATCCTTCTCTACCAAAGCCCAGCGTACAAAGGCCACATTTCTCGCATAGTTTTGCAGGAATGCAATCGCATATACCGCCTTTTCAAAGAACGAAACCCTTCCTTCAAAGGCAAAGTCACCTTGGTTGGCCACTCGCTCGGTTCCGCCATCATGTTCGACATTCTATGTCAACAGAAAGACAAAAACTCCCGACCATCCCAATCCAGCAAACATCGACGCGCCACCGAAGAAAGTCTCAAACTCGACTTCCCCGTCGAGGACTTCTACGCCTTAGGCTCCCCCATTGGCCTCTTCCAAATGCTCAAAGGACGAACAATCGCTGCAAGACCCTCATCTTCTTCCTTCGTCCTGCCCGAAACCCCCGCTAGCCCCCTCGAAGATCCATTCTCCCCCGACCCCCACTCCCAAATCCCTAATGAGAGAGCCTTCGACATCACTGTCTCCTCTCCCGCCGTGAAACAAATCTTCAACATCTTCCATCCCACAGATCCCATCTCCTACCGCCTAGAACCTCTCATCTCCCCCGCCATGTCGGCCCTAAAACCGCAACCGCTACCCTACACTAAGAAGGGGATTTTCGGCGCACCAGCTGCCCAGGGTCTTACAGGCATCGGCGCGAGAGTGGGACAGGGGATGACGGAGTTTTGGACGAGCGTGAGTTCGGGCATTGCGAGTGGGATTTTGAATCGGAGTTTGGGCATTACGGGGGTGGATGCAGGGAGGATGAGGGAAGATCTCACAGGCCAGAAGAGTTCGAGGCCGTTGTCGGTGGGGGCGGGGACGAATGTGGCGGCCGGTGTGATTCCAGGGCCAGGGGCGGGAATGGGGATTGGGGGGGAGGATGGGGGACCGGCAAGAGGAGGCTTTAATGAGGAGAGGAAACGGAGGTTGGGGGAGGAAGTGATTGCGACGGGGGAGGTGGGGGAACACCCACCTACGCTTATCGATGCTGAGATTGAGACGTTGTTTGCGGGGTTTCAGAAACGGCGGAAGAGTAGGGAAAATGTTGGCGACGGCGGCGGCGGTAGTAAGGGGGGTGAGGAAGAGAGAGACATGGAAAGGGATCTTGAGTGGCAAGACCTTGAGGAACGGAGTCGCAAGTTGAGAAAGGAAGAGGCGAAAGTTCGGGCGTTGAACGCGAATGGCAGGGTCGATTATAGTATTCAGGAAGGGGTACGATCACCCACCCCTCCCTCTCCAAAACAAAATCTACTCTAATCCAGATCTTAAGCTAACGGCGTACATTCAAGGCCTTCGATATTTCCCTCCTAGCGAGCATCGCGAGCCATCTTTCCTACTGGGCAGATGAGGACGTCGCCCATTTTATGATTAGCCAGCTTTTGGCTCGACATCGGGTTTTCAAGTCAAGTAACGGTAAGGATGATGCTGAGGGAATATAGACAATAGAAAGGTAGACGGACAGGACCGGTGGCATTTTGGATCGTACTGGGTTCGGTTGGGGGCGGGTTGCACAGCACAGCGTTGGTGTCTAGGGGGATGCCTTTGCTTTGGTTGGGTGGGCGGGTATGTATGTAAATGATAATCAAATTTTAAGCCTGCAGAAGTCCTGTCAAGCATGCCTGTAACCGTACTCCTCCAGCCTTGCTCTGGCGTTGCATTACATCACTATCTATGCCTATGGCAGAGCCAACTCGGGGGTTTGGAACTGCAAATATTTCAGGCTCACGGTGCAGAACTGGAGGGTAGAGGAAACAAAGGATAGCTGGGATTGGGTCTGGCGCTGGAGATTTGTGGGTAGATTCTTCTGAAAACAGTTTGAGTTTTAGGTGGGAGACAAAAGGGGAAGATTAATGTAATATATTACTAACGTCTTACAGACGAGGGCAAGTTCTCGTAGTAAGTTATTATCTTTGTCACTAATTGTCTTTGTTTGACCTAAAGGCGTTTCTAAAAATATATATATATGCGGCGCCGTGCTAGAGAAGGCCAAGGGAAGTACCAGAAAATATGTATTTTTTTTTAGCAAATAGCTGTGTGACGGAGTCCTAGATAAAACAGCCCCTCATTAAAAAACAGGAGTCTGAATATTTTGCGCTAATTGTATTGCTACTCCGTCCTAACTCTATGGGGGATTCTGAACACGTTTTCTCGCACGGGTACACTGAACCTTGGACGCTGCTCGATTCACAATACTAATCAATCAGTTAATCCTAGGTCTTATTGCTGATAGAAGAGATAACTGCAGCTTCCTACCTCAAGCTAACTCAACTCCTGTCTCTGTTCCTCATGTACGAATCCTAATTTCGTGTTCTTATTAACGACACGAAGCGCGCCAAGCGTTCTAATTTGTCCAATCTTGTTTATTTCTGCACTCATTGGTTCCCATCGGTTAACAAATGCGGGAATCTTTGCGCAAGAGCAGATAGACATGCTACAAGCTACCATCCTCTACAACAGCATCCACCCTCACTAAAAGAGTACACGTATGCCAAGGCGAGAAGTAAGGAGATTTAGAACCCCAGGCAAGTTAATTCGTCCGTTCACCTTAGCTATTTAAACACCAATACACTTGTCCCCTGCGGCTAAGACGGGTAAGAGCGGAGGAAACCTATTCGGTGATCTCATCGGCACCGCTCTCGCGTGTTTTCTAAGACTAGGGCTGATCTTCGAGTGGTGGAATGGAGGCTTACGGAAGGCGAGGAATTCGCTGAATGATCTGCCTGCGTTATTTCCGCTTCTTAGAATACTGACTCAGGTGAACGATATGGAGATGTATGGATCAGAGGGAGGTATGGTTGAGTTGGAAGGCACACTGAACGGAAGGTTCCCATGAGGCCATGGGTAATTAAAGTGATACTGGGGAAGGCCATCGCTAGAAAGCGGGGTGGGAAGCGATATACGGTGTCAGAACAGGGGATGGGGGTTGGGTTGCATGCGCGTCGAAAGTCGAGGAAAGATAGGAGAATTGGCTTCATTCGTGGAGGGGACTTGAGAGGTTGAAGTGGATTCCTTTCAACTCAAGTGTATCTTGAAAGCAACCGTTGAGGATTTGTAAAATCCTTTCCGCAATGAGTTATTATTCTAGACGTTACTATGGTTCGTTGACGCCTGTCTTCAGCCTGGGTTCTTTTTCGAAGCTCCAATCTCCTTATTTTCAATGTGGGGCTCTTCCATTGGCGTCCCATCCAACTCCGCAACAACTCCCCTCCCACTCTCTCCAATCTCCACCACCTGCTCTTCTCTCGTCGACAACTCATGCGGTCTTTCCTCTGAATGCAACTCACTAACCGGCCTTTCTCTTGCGGCACCAAGCACCGGCAACTCTGCCCTCTCCTTCTCACCATCCAATTCCACCATAGGTTTCTCACCATCCAATTCCACCATAAGTTTCTCACCATCCAATTCCACCACAGGTTTCTCCCCATCCAACTCCATAACAGCAACACCCTCATTCTTCACCCCCACTCCTATACTTTTCTCCTTCCCCAACCCTCTAAGCTCTGGCCCACCACCACTACCATCCCCCTCTTCTACGCCCTTCTTCCCCTGCTCAACCTTCCTCAAAATCTCGACATCCGGCGAATCCCCCACCACCCCCACCACCCCCACCTCACCCATCCTATTCCTTTTCTTGCCCCACCTCCTACGCCGCCTCCGGACCAGTATCCAGGCGAAGAGCGCACCGAAGATGACAAGGAGTGCGATTCCAATTGCTATGCCGACGGTTGCGCCTAGGGAGAGGCCAGATTTGTGAGATTTGTTAGGCGGAGGGGTAGTGGAGGGTTTTGCCATTTGGAGAGATTTGTTACTGACACGGAGGGAAAGGAGAAGACGGCAAGAGAGGTTGTAGGAGGGTAGGAGGATTTAGGGATGGAATAGGGTTGAGGGCGACGAGAAGAGAAAGCAGAAGATCCAAGGGATAGCGTCGAAAAGCCAGCAGATGGAACCGTTATCGTACAAAGGGGGTGCAGAGCTGCGCTGCGTAAAGCCGGCCTACGGATATCGAACGTCCACGATGTCCAGGGAAAGGAACTCCGGATCGAGTTCACAACACCGTTTGCAAAAAACTCGTACAGGGCCTGCTAGAGAGATTAAAGATTTGCTCCGAATTCTTGATGCGGGATTCCGATCATGAATGGATGTGGTGTTGGAAATATGAATCGATAAATGCAGTTCGATGGGAGTCGAGACGGCGAAGTCGATGTGAAGTTCATTCTTTCTCCACCCGTGCCACATCCAACGCTTATACATTGCGGCACCCCTGCGCTGCATTCCGTATCCTCGGAACGGATGAATGCACGATGTGAGATTGCTATATCAGGCGCGGGGCTGATTGGTCATATGAAGCTTGGCAAGTCGTTGGGGTTGCTGCGATTAGATTGGCTAGAGGTCGAGGATTGTAGGTTGTTTCGCGAGAGGAGGAGGGGAGAAGAGTGACAAGTGGGAGTTAAAACTGCAAGAGATACTACTAATCGTCGGGGTTAGAATTGGAATCCTGGAAGAGAATGTATTGAAGTGTTAAATATATACAGATAATTGCATGGTTTGGTTACCATGAGCTGGTGCGTCATTCTCCACCCTCCAGCTATCAAGCCTTGAAATCACATCTCCATTTCTCAGCCTTCCCCTCCAACAGGCAACTCCATCCCATCTCTAGTCTTCCTCTTCCGCCTCGTAACCTTCAGCCCCTCCAACTCCTTAAACAAATCCTGTCCCTGCGTCCACGCCAAATCCGCCCTCTTCTGAGCCTGCACCAACGCGCCATTCTTATCCTCGACTCTACACTGCGTCCAGAAGTCCAACGCCGGCCAGAGCGTCGGCTCCGCATCGAACTTGATTAATTCGCAAATACTCCCAATTACCAATGCGATGATGCAAATCGTCAACGCGAGACCGGAAAGCACAACGTATGCGAATAATGTCGCGCGCCCGACTTGCACTCGATACCGAGTCTCTGCAAGCGCAATAAGGGATGTTTTATCTTGTCCCTCGAAAGCGCCTTCGTGGAAATTCGGCCTTGCGTTGGTGGTAGTGGTAGTGGTAGTGGTGTTGGCGTTGGGGGCAAAGGGAAGAACAGTTTGCGCGAGGATCCCGTTTTGGCAGTAGAATAGTGACATGGCGATGATGGATTGAAGAGCGTTGACACCCTTGACCCGCGCCGAGGGAGTGTTTTCCATGACCTTGCTGATGCGGTACATATGCCCGGCGATAAGGCGACCGAAGAAATGGGACGGCGGTCCAAGGATGGGATTCCAGTCGGCGGCGACTTGGGAAGGAATTGTGGTATTCAGGATGACTGTCATTGCTCTGAGTAAGTCGGAGGCATCGATATATGTGGGTATGGGCTCTGATTCAGCTTTGTGATCTAGGATTGAGCCAATACGGCGGTCGTAAGAAACCGTGGCGTTCAGAAATGAGGGTCGCAGAGAGGTCGTGTATCCTGCATCAGACTCCCAGCTCCGGTCTTGCACACATTTTCCGATTACGACCAAGTCCGCAGGGCAAGCTATTAGAGCCGCTTGTACCCATCCATCATCTGCGTTTCGGGTGCATATATTGTAGTAAGCGGGGCCAGAGTGTATTTTGTTGCATTCTAGATTTTCATCAGAGACCTGGATATTGTCATGGTATTCTAGTTCGTAGATTTGCTGATTCTTCGACAGAACGACCTCGGAATCTTGATCTTTGGTGAGGTGGAGATTGGCATCGACCATCTGGTATTCTTGGGTCATCAAAACTCGACGGGTGCAGCTGTGGTTGCTGAATACGGCTATCCCTCTGCTACAATCGTCTGAGTGAGGAGACTGGTCGATTGAGTGAAGAGGATTGCTCAAAAAGGTGACATAATTGATGTTGAAAAGTAGATCTTCCATGACCCCGAGTTGCGAGGCGACGCTCGCGTTGAAGGGCTGCATACCAAACGCGTATTCCTGCATCGTGCTCGCTATTGGAATGTATGCCGGGTATGTATTCACGTTACCTAGAAGCCGTGAGTGAGTTACTAAAGCAACACGTGTGGGGAAACGTACTCATGATCAAAACTGCTATCACTGGGATTGACACCTCCGCAACGAGTCGTATCAAGCTCATCACTCGTGGCTTCATTGGCCATTGATTAGCGGGTAGACCTCTCCCAAATACCAAACAAATAAGGCCGAGTTGAGACGTGCTGGACTGCAGTGCGAGAAACTGGGGAAATCGAATGCCATCCGGTCTTGAAATTAGGAGCCACTGGACCACCTCGAATGTCGAGTAGATGGTTGCTCCGAGGAAAACACTCGTTATCTCGGATAACACTCGAAGAACTAGAATGGTGTTTGACCGGGAAGAGTGAACAAATTTAACACTCGTGAACTTGCTCTTCTCTGTCGCATACGAAACTGTCATCGAAAAGAATGACAAGGCCAGTATTGCCGATATCCAAGCCAAATTGGTCTGCCTGGCAAGCCCTAGGATTCTGCCATCTTTGTACGGTACCCAATTCGGAAGCCAGGAAGGCCGCTGGCGTTTATGTCGAGGCATTCCCGCAGCCCGCCATATATGAGGACAACGAAAGCGAAGAATGCGACAAGAAGCAGAACATGGCGGGAGACTTGCATTTGGTTTTCTGGGGTACAGAGCTGAAAGTTGAAGTGAAAGGAGGATCTACCAAATACGAGACGTTAAAAATAGAGAAGCATAAATTTGGGTTCTGGGGATAGACTAGGCTAAGAAGGGCATGGCGGCGTCTGAATTCGGAAGGTGTTGGGGGTTGAAACTAAACTTGAGACCAAAGTGAAGTTTGAATGAGCAACATTAAATCTCGAAATAAAATTGAGATTAGGCAGAAGGAATTGTGAATAGGAAGCACAGGATGAGAGTTGTTCTGCTGTATTTGCGAGTGTGGTGATGAATACCGCAATGCTTTGCTAGTAGGATACAAATTAACGGCGTCCCTCGATGAAGCATTCATTTTATGGTGAAGTTCGAATCTCAAGGCAGTAACTCCAAGTCCCATCTCGGTTTAGCGAGCTAGGTATTGTATTGATTTCGTTATTGCAAGCTGGTCTGAAAGTGTTCTGGAAGACAGAGATGACGCTTCTGACTGTGTTATTCCAAAAGAATGTATAGGACATTCACATTTGAATCCAAGGCCGAACAACAGACACGAATAAGAAATGAAAGTCGGTCAATTAGATACAAACTTCTGAGGTTATCATCATTTGGCGCCCAGTCTCATCGAAAGATCTCTCGAAAGTCTAATCCTGGGAAGAAACATTAGCGACGCTCGAGATGGCCCTCACGATACGAAAGCTAAGGCATGGTAGAGGGACCGAGGTGTGCGGGGTTCTTACTTGATCGTAATTTGACCAATGGCGAGGTTTACTACAATGCCGCCAGCCCGTTCGAAATAAACCTTCGGGTTAAGGGTAATGAAAGCGGTTTGCAGTCAGCAATTTGCTTCAAATTTGGGTTGTTTGACGGAATGAGTCTCTCCATATTCAGTATCCAGGTTGCTTTTGGTAATAGAGATGACTACTTTCTGCTGTCAGAGAGAGACAGAGCGAACTGAGCTTTCCAGTGAGCCACACGTGACGGGACTCGATCCGGGCCTTCCCGAGGGAGCAGCTCCCCCACAGCTTGATTCCCACTTGCCCAACGCATTCCGGGATCCTAAAGCTTGATGTCACGGCTTATCATATTATATTGCGATATCAATTGAGGATAAGTATCTTCCCTGCGCTCGGCGTTCTGGCTGACATGTCCAAAATCTGGCAGCCAGTACGACTTGCAGTTCCTTGATCCCATGCAGCAGCTTGGGGAGCAACATGGTTCAAGGGTTATGTTGCAGAGAAGATTTTCATGCATACCGCGCTCCGCGAATGTGGGAATTGGAAACACATGTCACTCATGGAGGTGGACTAGGTGTCGATCTGCCCAGAGTCCAGGTCCTTGGGATTGGGTCGCATCATCGGCCATGCAACCTCAGCAGGGCATCGATATTTGCAAACCGAGTTTCGAATGTCGCACCAGATAATATCCATTGACCGATTCGCAAGCTTTATCCGATGGGCTCGCCCACCCGAAGAGTCGTGGCGTCAGATGCATGAAAAAAGGCTGTATTTTAGCTCACACATAGGACAATACCTTCTCCACATGCAGCTTTAAAGCCTGCAATATTATTCCTCGCAGCTGTCAATTGGTGGTGGTGGCACTTGGCAATCATGTTGATCCTTGGAAGCGTCCCGGATTTGGTCAAGCTAGGCTAATCTGGACGCCTCAAACGCGGCTTGAGAAAATCGATGTTTTTTTTGATATCTCAGACCACTGAGACACAGTCAGCGGTATCACCTCTGACCCCCGGTTTCACGCCTTGTTCGAACAACCCTCGGTGTCGAAATGTTCCTGACTCCTCTCTAACCCACACAACTGCCAATGCAACACTTGGGCATACAATCTGATTATACAATATCTTGGGGCATAATCAGATATTTCCGTAACGTTACAATAGAGAATGCGAATCTTATCTCATATGGCCGACTCTACTACCGTCATCAGGAAGCGATATACAGTGGATACCAGTCAGTTCGATTTCGACGACCACTCTTCCAATTCCAGAAGTGTCCGGACTACGAATATCACCCTCATCGTTCTAGTCGGGATTTTCGTTAGTTTACGTCTTTTCGTGAGGATATGCATGGTTCGAAAGGTGTTTGTGGATGACAGTGAGTCCCAGCTGCAACTTCCAGAGTCGCTGTATTTACGGGCCGATTTATAGTTCTAATATTAGTGGCATCGGTACTCACCGTCGCTCTTGCCGCTGTGTGTATTGCAGGTATTTCTTAGTACTTCTCCCGAGGACGTCGATCGAGCTCACAGTCTTAGCTACTAATCATGGAATGGGAACTCACGTCTGGCTTCTGGATATGCCGACCATGTTGCAAACTATCAAGAGCGCTGTTCAGGTGAGCTTGCTTTTCTTGAAGCGCCCAGAATGGCGTTAACACTTACCTGGACCAGTATCTATTTATATGTCAAGTTCTCTATGCATTCGCAGTCGCCTTTACCAAGATCTCCATCATCGCATCGTATCTTCGTTTCGTCCAAGAGAAAAGGTTCCGGATATCCATGTTGATTACAGCTGTAGTGATCGGTGGCCTTTGGATTACTGGTGTCTTCGTTACAATATTTCAATGTCGTCCGGTTTCAGCGGCTTGGGACTTCACTAATCTAAATGGGAAATGTGTCAACTATGTTGACTACCTCTACGCTAGCTCGGCACTTACCGTCGCAACGGACATTGTTCTGTGCGTTCTCCCATGGCCGTATTTTTGGAAGCTTCAGATGTCGTTGAAGCAACGGATCATTCTCTGCTTACTTTTGGGTGGTGGGGCTGGGTGAGTGGGAACGACCTGACCTGACTGTGAGTCACAGCTGAATGAACACAGCGCCTGCGTAGCCAGTGTCCTGCGAATAACTAAACTCGACATGCTCCGCAATGCAGATTTGACGTGTAAGTGGTTCCGACCTCACCCTTCAGAGGAGCTTTTACCACATTCTTCGCTTCCCTTTCCAGTAGCCGAATGGCGAGCTAATATATGTTATTCCTGCATAGATCAAGCGGTCCCAACTTTGAACTTATCGGTGATAGAGTGCAGTGTTGGCATCATCTGTGTCAGTATCCCCCCGCTCCGACCTCTTGCCGTTCGCCTCTTCCCGCGAGCGCTGCTCAACAACCAGTTACCATCTATCAGGTCGACACCACAGACAGCACGGACATATTCTCTAAGTAAACTCTCGGCGAACACAGATAACAATTCGGGAAGCCAAACGGAACATGACGCTGGACCGACATTCTATCGAGAACACAGCTCAGAAGCTGAACTAGGGCGGTTCAGAAACATGGTCGAAGTGTCGGGAGATTCCCAGAAGGAATACTGGAAGCTGAATAGCTGAATTGAAAGAGTCTGATGATCATCATAATACCTGGAGGCTGGGCTGAACACCACCTCCTCGCCATGGACGTCTTCTCCATCAAGACCATGCGACAGACACGTTATGAACCGTCCAGCGTCTACAATTAATCTCACGATTGAGGATATATATGGGGAAAGGTGGAGTGTACGGTGCGCATCTGTTTCACCTTTAATTGTCTTTTTGCAAGACTCAGCGTTGGCGGTCCATGCTTCCCGACAGTTTCGGCCCAGGGAAAAGCTCCGACTTGCCCGAAACAATGCGAACGGTGCGACGTGCAGGGGATATTGTCCAAAAAGTACTGGCAAATACGAGTACTAAGCAGAGGGTGCTCTGATGTGGTCCACCGTGCTGACGGAGGAAGGGTTGTGCATTTACCAAGCTCCATGCTAGCGGCAAGTACAGTGCTTGTTCAGCTAAAGGAGGCGTCCGCCAAGGTTCCTCGAGATGATGCCAAGCATGCGCCAAGCCTCACAGCCATTTCATAGCCACTTTCGCAAAGGAATTTGGTTGGGTGCACTCCAGACGTCATGAGGAAGGGCCACCGTCATGGCCGTTTTGATGCCTGGCTGTGCTGGCGATCATGGGAAGGTCTGGCTTGGCTCTAAATTTCGGGAAGAGTTGGACTGCGAGGCGAAGGCTATGGAGCCACTGCGTCCGTATCCTATCGCTATATTAACCTGCTAGAGTCCCCAGTGTCGCCCTTCCTAAAACCATCCTATCGATCCGTCCATCAGGCCCTCAAGTCCACAAATACAAACTCTACATCACACGCAGGCGACCCTACGTCACACACCCACATAATTCTAGATCTACACTGTCAACACTCACAATGAAGTTCGCGGCCATCACCCTGCTCCTCGCAACCCTCACTCTCGCCACTCCCAACGCTGCACCAGCAACTCCCCAAACCAACGCCGAACTCGAAGCAGCACTCTCACCGCGTGAAGCCGACTCCTCCGTGCCCGAAATTGACGCGCGTGCAGCAGGTATCCAACTTTCGGCCCGCGATCCTAAGAAGGGCAAACCCAAGACTGGAGGCGGGAACGATAACTCGACTGATAGCGCTGCGGGTATGATGAGCCCGTCGCTGGCGCTGGAGCTGGGTGCACTGGGTTTGGGGATTATGGAGGTGGTGAGACTTTGGGGTTAGATTTTGGGGTTAGATCGGTTGGATAAGTGCATCGTGTTTCAGGGAGGGAGGAAGACGAGATTGGAGCTTGGAATTGATATACCCTTTGGGTGGGTCATGAGTTGGATACATTTACAGAAACTGGGTTTCAGCGAACATATTTGAATTGAATGGGAGTCACTGGGCGGGCTTTTTGCTCAAAGCGCCTCACATATTGGCGTCATAATGTCTTCATGTCTCTCTAGCTTCATTTCTCTGCTTAGTTGGTTCTGCTCATATCTTCAGCAGAGATCATTATCACCGCCACTTGGAATACATCAATTAAGAACAGTTGCTATTAATCTAGCTCAGCTTCTCACTATTCAATTCTTCTCTTACTACTACAATTCCCCATAATAGAGTCTACCTTACGTGAGAAATTCCAGCTCTTCAGCTCCATTTAATCACCTTCCTCAATTCAAGAAAATGCTCCACTCCGGTTCTCCACTCTTTCAACTGCTGACACAGTTCACTATCTCATTTACGATCGTCACAATTCTCGATGACGCTCCTGTCCACATTTTCCTTAGCCGGCACGCTAAAATCTTACCTTGGCTGCCTCGGTTGCATGGAGGGTATAGCATTCGCATGCGCTCCGATTGGCGGATTCGTTCGACCACTGAAAAGCTCGGGAGAATGGGCTTGGCGAGTTTTTTTTTTAAATGGTGGAAAAAGGCTATCGGGGGACCGCTTGTTTGTATGTGAGTTTGGAGGTGAGTGAGCGTCCTGACATCCGTCTGTCTTTCCACATAAAATAGGAAGCTTTTTTTGCAGCATACAGCTCGAACAGGAGGCAGGAATGAAGCTCTCATTAGAGTCTACTGTTGTCGGTTTGTGCTGCTGCGCTTAACTTTCGAGAAGTCCTGGACTGTCTGTCTATCTAAATTTCCAAGCTCTGAGTCTATTCCTCTCTGTTTGATTCTCCGAAGCTATGCAGTTTCATTTTGAGCATCAGTTTCCCTGGTTCTAGTCTCTTCTCCTCTTCTTAGGCCCTAGCACATTCTCCTGTCGCCACAACGTGAACTGCAGAAGAGAGCAGTGGAGGCATATGGGCAAGGCGTCTTCTCAGGGTGCAAAGCAGTACCTAGCACTGCTACAGCAGTCGAATAATTGAAAGGCCCGCTGCATGGAAGTTAGCACGGCTGATCAGGCTGAGGAGTCGGCTCTTTCCAGTTCTGTCGATTAGAGAGAGACTAGTAGGAGACCGAGTCAGGTGGTCGAAAAGGGACAGGACCTTGTTTCCGATAGTCCATCCCAAATCTTATCAACTCCTTTTTTCGTCCGCCGGGTGCTGTATCCTTTGTCGGTCTTTCAGCCTCTTCCGTACCAACAACTTCTTAGATCCATCACATTCCGAGGCGCTTAAGTACAAGACTGTTTCCTAAACCATCCACCCGCTCCTGGCATGAGATGGGACTAAACTTCCATATCCGCATCTAACGCTGGTTTTCAAACTTCCTAGCTTTCTGTTACTATAGGCAACAATCCTTAGTCTTTTTGCTCATTTCTAGCGCAGCATATAAGCTCTGGTTGGGGACGTCCTCGTAAATGCGCAGCTACTTTCCCCATGACACATTACTCTGCCTCTTCTCTGCTTCAGATTTACTGAGAATTGCAAGTTTGCTAAGCTGCTGTTGTTTTCGGCTAGTCACTGAAAACACCTCACTTTGCTCCTTAGGCAGATATTGCTGCTACTCCTATTCCCGCTGTCCCATGATTCATGATTTCTCTCTTGTTCAGCCAACTTCCTCCAGCTCTTTTTGCACATCATATCCATCGGTCCAGACGCCCTGCTTCCCTCCTCCCCATATTTCTCCCCTCCTTTGAGCATTTGACCTGTTCTAGCTGTCGGGTATCACCTAATTCGACCCTGGCATTGCTGCTGCCACTTCCATTCATGTTGCCGCTCTTAGCTATCTCGCCTTTCTCATCTATTCAACAGATTATCTCCAAGCTTTTCTTTGCGTTGCACTTCCGTCGATACAACCTCCTTTCTCTTTCATTCTCCATCAAGTTCTTAAAATCTTTTTCTACCTCTTCTTTCGTTCGCCAAAATCACGGACCATGTTGAAAGGCGGAATGGTGGTCCGCAGTGAGCGGCTGGTGGGGTGTACCCAGATTCGATATGCAGAGAGCACGAATCCTGGACCTCTTCTTGCTCATTCTGCTTATCCGCCGCTTGCAGGCTTCTAAGTGATGCTGGCGCTCACTAGAGAGAAAGCGCTGCTGACCTGATTATGGATGTGATGACCGCTGTTTCGTCGTTCGCGTCCCATGTAAGCCCACCTAGCGAACGACTGCTCGATAATGTTGAGGTTTGGGTGCAGGCAGTATTTTGGATATAGCTCTTTGAAAAAGAAGATGTAGAACTGGAGGAGAGTTAGAGGGCTATAGAGAAGGGTATGGAAGCGGGTGGAAGCGATTAGATAGAATGCAGGGAAGCAATCAAGAGTTAGGAGGAGGAAGGTGCAAAACTAAATAATCCATTTGCGTTATTTTGATATATCCAATATTAAAACCCAACCATAAACGAGGATGTTCCAAGTATTTTTCTTCTTTGATGAGCCTTTGTTCAAACCAGACGAAACCAAGCACAAGATCAATATCCAATCACTCCAAAAACTGAAGTCCAAGTACAAGATAAACAAGAAAACGAAAAGAAAAGTAAAGTAAAGTACAGAGTGTATAATATGCTGGTTGCTGCCGCGAAATGAAAAATATATGTGCTTATACGATGTAATGAAATGGATGTGTCGCATTGAGTGATTGAGGTGAATTGAATTGAATGAAGTAGAATCAAGTGTTGATGAAATGTGTGTGAAGTGATGCGGAGTGTCGATGTGATCTTGATATAATGTGAAGAGTCAACATCGATGTATTTCTCGATAGCAGCAGCAGCAGCAAGCCAAACAAATATTAGGCAATGAAACCAACACAAAGACAATACAAGTAGACATACTAAGCAGGAGGATGTGGAGTACTACAACCATAGGGCTCTTACTGCGATTATGCTTACAGACAGCAGTGACGGCAATAATGACATCAGATATATCCAGCTCGGCCGTTTAGTAGCCAGCCATCAGCGTACCGAGATTGTAATCCGATCATGTATCCCAAGCAACGACATAATGGATGTTTCAGAACAACCACCCAACAGCCACCTATGAGCTAATGAGATTATGTTGTCAAGAACCTAAAATGCGATGTAATTAATTCCTACACGACTACTTAAGGGTTACTATGAGCTAATGAGACTATGTTATTAATGGCCTAAGATGTAATGACTTGTATGAGTTAGATGTGAAAGTCAAGATGAAATGAGGTTTTGTTAATGATATCAATAGTGACATAGTAACTGCTGATGGTTCGTGGATGGGGGAGCGAAGAGATGGGATGATTTACGTAAGGATTATATCAAGTCGGTAGTTTGTGCCGACATAGTTAACGGATGGCGATAATGTTGATGCTAGATGTATGTGTCGATTCGGTATCGATTCGATTTTAGAATTGAGTGAAGTGTGAAGCAGGGAATACGATACAAGTCGGTACAGGACTGCTTTAAGTCGTCACTAAAATGAGAAAAAAAAGCCAAGCGGCAGAACAAAGTACACAAATAGCTAAAAGCGAAGATTGTTTCGGCACTGGACAAAGTCGCGTCATTGGATGATACGGCTGACACCACTAAGGCCCCAATCAAGCTACCTTGAATGACTACTCCAAGGTGTGTATGGAGGTCCTCACCAGGGAAGAGAATCAAGACAGAACAAGGGCATTGCAGTCAGACACAACCCACGCACAATCAACTGCTCGGCTGACGCCACCTTGAAAGACTACTCCATGCTGTCTCAAATGACAACAGTAGACATGGTCGCCAAACAAGAGAATCAAGGTAGAGCGAGGACTTTGCAGCCAGCACATCCCATTGTAGATCCAGGACTACTTCAAGCGCTGGTGACCAAACACAGGAAGTGACCTTTAGAATACTAGGGTGTATCATCATTGAAAAAAAAAAAAGAAGACACATCCCATTGTGATAGCGGCAATACATGATGTTGGGAGATGAAAGGCATGGTGAGGTCTTTTGATATTAGTAACATGACCTTACGAACGAGGCAGGGTCTTACATTTAGTAAGTGAAAACCAGTACCAAAATGATGACATAGTAGTAGTGAGTGGCCGACGATGACATAGATAGAAGGTGTGATGTAGGTGATAGTGGTCAAGGTGTATGACTCAAAGTCAAGCAACAAAGAAGATGTAATCGAAAAGGTGAAGTGACGTGTATGGCAGACTCTATGCTCGAAGGAATTTGGCTGAATAGAGAGGAAATAGGAAATAGTTAGTAGATAGAGGGTGGGACCTGGCATTTATACCTCAGTAGTGAGATAGCAGTAACCAGAAGCAGCCTCACTACCGCTATAGAAACAAAACGAAAAGGCCGAACGAAAGCCTTGAAAGGCTCTTTAGACTAAAGCGCGATTCTAAGAGGTTTTATGGAGTTTATATTGCCTGATTTAGCTTGGGATAACAACGGATAACTTTCCAGCCTCTCTCAGTTTTGCTGTGTAAAAACTGCAAAATGGGAGGGGAAACAACAATTTGCTCAATTCTGCGCGCAAGGAAGCAACTTCTACAGCATTTCGTGGCGATTATATGACGTGGTTTGGTGGTGTGATGGCCCGATTAAAACATGCTGAGGTGAAACTACGATTTCAATCTGATATTTTCTACGGTGGATTTCGTGTGGCAGCGGTTTCAATGAAATTCTTTTACCTTGACTTGCGGCGCTAGTAGTTTATGCAGTAGCCATTGGTACCCGGGACTTGGTTTGCTGTTACTAAGACTGCGGAAGGAAAGTGTTGAGCATGAAGCATAGTAGATGTCTGCCGGAGAAGAAGTTAAGTGGCTCCGAAATGCAAAACCCACTCTACAGCTATTTAGAATCGAAAGTTAGATGCGAAATAGGCCACAATAGTTTGCTACTCTTATCATGGTTAAGAAAAGAGAATATACAGAAGTTGTTAATTGTCCAAATCGAAGGAATGAGAGAACTATGCCATGCCGCTCCAGGCACAGTTGCAGGTTGGTCCATAATATTAGGATTAACTAAGTTTAGTGTGGGTGGTGCGCGTAATTGGTACTCACTTTGGAGGAGTGGATACTACGAAGCAATATATTCAACGTGACTACTTCTCGAAAATACTACACTTGCGTGTAATTAACAAGATCGATTAAAGGCATGCCAAATATACGAAAATCAGTTAAGATTTCATGGCACAGAGACGGCATGGTTCAAATCTCGTGAGAATTGGAAATAAATATAAAGACTATACTCCATTCCCAAGCACCACAACACTCCATTCACATCAACGAAACAGAAGGAATGACACGAGTATGTTTTTCGGAGAGAGAGATCTAGCCCCCAGCGAAGAGTGCGAATATATGCAACCCCTCAAGCTAAAGTCTGCCATGTACTATACAAGACACTTCGCCACTTCTCGGCGCAGTGTCGATGATGTGCTGTAGTGTAACATGAGACGCCTATGCCTTAGCGGCAGCGGTAGGCTGGGGGTTGACATCGGCGCAGAAGAGCGCCTGGCCGAGGATGGGCAGAACGCAACACTTAGCTTGCTGGCCGATGGCAGAGCAAATGTCGATGAAGCTGTTGATGGAGGTTGGAGTTGTTGGCGCTAGATTAGAAAATTAGCATGGTACCTAGGTAAAGATTAAAGATGACGTACGAGTAGCACAGTTCAAGTCCGCAAGGTTAAGGACGTCAGTTGCACAGCACTGAGCACTGCCAGCTCCCGTGCAGAGAGGTGTCTGGCGTTCTTCGAGAAGAGGAGTGGCCATGGCGGTAGCGGCACAGGCGAGGATGATAGAGAAACGCATGGTGATTTTTGGTGGTTGTTTTAGTTTTGTGTTGGTGGAGTGAGCGAATGGAGTAGTGAGAATAAAGATGAAGTTGGTTGGATTAGAAGTAATTGATGTTGTTGATATCGATTGCTTTGAGATGATGAAGACCAGAAGTCACCGTCCAGGCAGCTCTCTTTATACCTTTCCTAGCATCGAGATGTGTTCCAAGGAGCTTAGGAACTTCCATGCTAACTCCTGTCCTACCAAGTTCTCCAAGCAGCACAGCGTCTCCAGCGTCGTCATCGCGGAATACTTGCCTTGTAAAAGATCATCACCAGCGCCCAGACTATTTCTATTTCACGAAAAGTACCCGAGAACTTGATCGCAGAGATGGATAACGTAACATCTGGAGGGCGACTCCCAGATTCGACCCAGCCTGTTTTGTCTTAGGCTTGATTTAATCACTGTCGATCACGATATTTCAGCTTCAATGCGCCTAGATCGTCATCATGAATGGAGGGAAGAACTAGATTAATCGTTACGAGTGGGAATCCTTGAAAGGGGCACGGTTATAGTTTCCTGGGATGAGCATGAAGAACGCGAGTTTTGAAGATCCATCTCGGAGATATAGCCGCTGTGGGTAATGATGAACTGGTGGAAGGCAACATGTGGAGGAGTGGTGAGAGGCGCCAGGATCAAACGTGGCGGCTACACTGGCAGATGCCGCAGAACACTGGAAGGGAGGCATGCCTGCAGTGAGACATGCGCAATAGGAGGCTCAGTAGGCTAGAACTGGCGCAGTATTCATGAGGCATCACGACGTCTAAACAGAATAGCAATTGATGGAATTGGGAAAACGAGTGACGTCGAGGTCAGAGGCCTGATAGGTCCCAACTCGAGCATGTGCAGCTCATCTCCGAGCGCGTTTGGGCGAGTACCGTGAACGCGCGGGTGTAAGGAATCTGGTCCCAAGTCTTCAGGCATGGAAGCCTTACCGCCCCCAGGATACCTGGTGCGAATCAGATGTAGGTACGATTATGTGGTAAGGTTTGTGATCTGGGGTTGGCCCTGCAGCGGGAGCATCGCTGAGAGGGCGTCTGGAGAACACGGGCACTTTCATTAGTCTTTCCCTTTGAAGCGGCACATTTAGTTAGAATATCTCGTGTGCGGAGCAGCGCCTTGGGTGTGGCAAAGGCCGCTGTTGTTCTTTAGGACAAGTTGAAACGTGCGGATGGATGGCAAAGGCGGGATGTGACAGGTGCTGCCGATCACAGAGCGTTGAAGAAAAGGGAAGCTAGGCATAACTATGGGACGAATAAAGATTGGAAATTACGGCAGAAACTAAACTGACAGGAAATCTGGTATAGACCAGGGTCTAAACTTATTAGTTCGCAAACGGGGATCTTAGTGACGGTTTTCTATAAAAAAAAAGTCTTCCATTCTACCGTTACCAACTCGCTGAGTGTCGTTTCATCGTTGTTGACGGACGCGGTTACGCATTTTGATGAAGCATCGCTGCTATTTTCAAGAAGCTGTGGCAAAGGATGAATGTGCTCTGGGGTGTTGCCATGAGAGGCGCCGCCGCACAGCCTGGGGCGGGAGAAGTGAGTGCCTTGATTTGCGGCGTTCGTGCCCCGTTGTGCCCCGCTCACTGCCCCTTTCTCCTTGGCAAGCCTTCGCTTAGGCTGATCGACGTCACACATTCACCGCATGCCTGTACCTTACAGGGCTGCACCGCTCCCACTTTACATCATAGATCCTGATCAACGGAATAAATTCGTCCAATGAGCTAGGTGCTTTAATCTATTTTGCGGCTTCTCTTTTAGTTTTTGCAGGTTTCTCAGTTTGCAGGGACACGTCCCCCTGCAAGCCGACCTTTGGCTGTTATCACATTGATGGGTACGTACAGGTTGTTCTCCCCCATGGAGTTGGGAACAAGAAGCGGTGATTCAAAAGATATTATGGGAGGATGTGAGATGACACAGAAATGGACATCCATGGAATATGATGCGATGACATCAGAGCTAGGGAAAGGCCGTCGAGATTTGATTGCACGGTGATAGACGAACAAGTTCTTCGCGCGCAGGGAAAGGAGACAGATGCACAATCATAAACCGCGTTAGATGGTATAGAGCGCCAAAATTAGATACATGGGACAAACGCTATGCGACGTGAAACCGACTTTTGAAATGCCCACTCCTATTTAAAAAACGTAATTCATCGCTCGCTTCCATCGGCTCCTAGGACTCTCTTCCCAACTTTCCGAAACATCTTCAAAAAATCTGCCAGTGACCAGGTCGGCTTCATGTGGTTTGATGAACTTGCTCCTAGTAACAAGTTTATGGCCGACATAAAGTAAAGCGAAAAGAATCAAACTGATATAGGCCACAAAGAAGTCCTCCGTAGTCCATGGGATGAAGGCCGTGAATCCTTGGGTCAGAGTAATGATCACACAGAAGAAGAGGCCGTACCATGCGAGGTATGGCTGACCCCACGCTTTGAACGGTAGAGTATCGGGGGAGATGTTTTGAGCGTGGAGTGCTCGTCTGAAGCAGAGATGGCAAATATTGATGCACGACCAAGCGATGAATCCCGCCACGCCAATGATGTTCAGGAACCAATTAAACACCTGGCCACCATGGTCGGACAGATTCATGAAGGCGAGAAGGCCGAAGGCAGCGGTGAAGGCCACTGCAACATAGGGAACGCCCCTCCTCGAGGTTCGCTGGAAGAACTGTGGCGCACAACCTTCCTCGGAAAGACCGACGAGAATACGACTACCAGAATAAACATTGGAGCTCCCTGCTGACAGCACCACCGTCAAAAGAACAGCGTTGATGAGACCGGGTAATACTTTGACTCCAGCAAGCTGTGCAGCAATGACCAGCGGTGATGATCCAGCATTTGTATCGCCGGTCAGGAGGTCCTCGTTATCTGAGGGCACGAGAATACCAATGAAGAAAATGGTGAACACAAACATGAGAAAGATACTCCAGAAAGTCTTCCGGATGGCGGATGGCATCGTCTTGCGGGGGTTCGCGCTCTCCCCAGCGCCAATACCCACCAGCTCGGTGCCCTGGAAAGCAAATCCGGCTTGAATGAGGACGGCCCAAAATCCGACAAACTTCGCCTTCGCTCCTGTAGACTCGAGAAGATACGGTGCAAAAGCTCCAGGGTGTCTCCAGTACTCGAAACCAATGTAGCCCTGTTGACCAGCACCAGCATTAATGCAAATAGAGAAGAAAGTGAATCCGATAAGTGCGAGGACCTTGATACTAGCAAACCAGAACTCGAATTCCCCGAAGAAGTCCACGGGAGCGAAGTTCAACGCAGTAAGCGGAACCCAAAAGATAGTGATGAAGATTCCAATGCTCAAGTCGGAATTCCACCACTGAATGATAAGTCCCGCTGCGGTGAGTTCGAGCGCATAAGTAATGGCCCAAGAAAACCAATAAATCCAACCCATCGAGAAGCCAAGACTAGGATCAGCAAAACGAGCCGCGTATCTGGTGAACGCACCAGCGATGGGAATGTATGTAGCCATTTCGCTGAGGGACAGCATGACGGAGTATACGAGGGTTCCGACGAAGGCATATGCGATGAGGGCACCGGCTGGTCCAGCAGTAGCAATAGAGGTCCCACTGGCAATAAAAATACCAGTACCTACTGTGCCGCCTAACTTAAGTCAGTACGGAAGTACGTATTGGGGGTTTGTTTGAGAGATATACCAATGGCGATAAGTTGCAGGTGGCGACTTCTCAGTTTCCGATGAAGCGCTTGCGTCTGAAGTGGGACTTGTTTCTCAATGTCGCTTCCCGAGTGAGCCACCGGCTTCTCTGTCAGATGGTCTATGGCTTTGGGGATCTCCTCCCTTTGGGCTGTGCCGCGTTCTGGACTGACTTCCATGATGGCAGAATGAGAGGTACACGCAGGTGATGGGATCAATTGCAGAAATTGGAGGCGTTACGGATGGTAGGAACACTAGCCATGGTGAATTGGAGGTTAACTCATCTATTTGAACGATCCGAATGACAAGGCCTCGCGAGGCATTTTGCAGAATTTGTGAGGCTTCGGGGTCAGCGTTCGGAGCTTCCCCACGTCTTTGGTCAGTATCATCAACAGAAATTTTCGCGATGGTTCCACAGTAGCGTGCCATGTTCCCCTATTTGGGTGCGAAGAATTCTGATGGTGTACCGGAACATGGGATGATGCCCAGCGACCAGAACTGGTTTCCCAGTGAGGTGACGGCACAGGGGCGGTTACGAACGGTTGGTCTCGCGACTTGTGGCGCAGAACGTCGACGCGACGCAGCCACGGATATCGGAAAAATGCTACAGCGGCATTGGCGCGTTACAATCTTTGCGCATCGAGGAGGAGACGAGGAAAACTCTGCCGTTTACCCTTGTAGCATCTCGTCCGAGTGGTGGCGGTTACTAATGGTCGAGGATAGGCTCATAATTTGCATCCTCGACGCTTTGTCAGGCCTCGGCATCGGGTCAATTTCTTCTACCACGCATCCAAACATCACGATCACTCTTCACACTCAAATCGGATGTCGCCGATGTTGCACAATACCATTACCAACATATTTCCCAGTCGCTTAAGGCTTAGAAGCTTCATATACCAACACTTCAGTGCTATATGGAGACTTTAGTTCGCCCCGATTAGTCTCATTCACCACAAGCTCAAGACACCCGCCTTGCATGAGAATAACTCCTGCCCAACCACCAGTAGTGTCGTCTGGGCTCGGCAATGCGAATTGAGATTCGAAACCAGCAGCTCGATCAATTCGCTGAGCCCCATGATCGCCTAGCGCTTCGCCTAGCGCTTTATCCCATCTGGTCAAAGAATCGACAATAGCCGCCCCATTCGTTCTGAGCATTTACGAACGCATCCGGTCCTGTTCACGATTTATTTCCAAGTGATGATGCTTCTTGCAAGATTTTCTCTTCATTTCTGAGACCCGTAGGTAGTCTTCCTAGTATGTGTGTTAAACAGTTGAGAATGATAAGACAGGTCCCGAGTGTCGGGCTGCCCGACACTATGAGGTGCCCCTAACTACATAGATGTTTAAGCGGCGCACGTATTGTGTTTACTTTCGTACAAAGGCGATATTGGCCAATTCCATATTTTCCCAAGCTTTCCTTATCAAAATTCTTGGATGTCGTGTTTGCACTGCCACTCATTCTTTCACATTCAAGCGCCTTCGAATACGAACTTACAGAATGGTCTATGCCTAGAAATTTCATAGGACCCCTTCCTAGTGAGCAGCTTAGCCCGTTGAGACGTAATTCTAAGCGTGATTAGCTAAGAACATTAGATGTATGTCATCTGCAGCTCTTTGGAAAATGGTAGGGTGCTTGACTTGGAGCACCTGATAAGCGACAAGCATGCTGATAGTGAGAATCTCTAGGGTAGATGCAGGATTTGAGAACCACCACGTCAGCTTGCTACAAAGCTACCAAAGAAGAATTGCGTCGCGAAGAAGTCGCGATGATTCCATCCACAGACCCCTCAACTCTGCGGGTATCATGTGTTACTCGTCGATTGTGAAAGATGAGGGTTTCGACTTACCAGTAAGCCGAATGCCAGGATCGAAGCCTAGAGGCCAATTCCTAGTTTCTTTTCCCTTATTTATCAAATCCTTTGTGCACTTCAGGGACAATTCCAATATATCGGCCCCCGACTCGCACAAATCTTCTTCATAAACTCCATCCCACTCAAATCCATCATTCCCTGCTCTTCCTCTCCCCTCTTCATCTCTCTTCACCACCGAATTCTCAGGGTAATGCGGTGGCTTCATAGACGTACCATCTAACTCAAAAACACTCCTCATCGAATTCCAGAACCGACCCTTTCGATCCTTTTCCCCACTCCCCTCACCTCCATCCTGCGTCAGATCTAGGTCCAATTCATGCAGACTCCCATCTCCCGGCAACTCATGCCCCTTCAATGCAGGCACCATTCCCAGAAGCCTCAACTCAATTGGATGTGCTTCTAGCCCGTAATTCATCATGCATTTTCGCTTGCTAGGAGAAGGCTCGAGGTTTTCCTGTGATGTGGTCACAGGTGCTTTGTGGGACGAGGGAATCATTTCCCAGCATTTCCAGGTTCCAGCTCGGGCGCCCAATCCCGAGACTATTGCGGCAAAGATGGCGATGGGGATGGCGATGGCGGGGTTCACGCCGATTAGCGCGGGGTTAGAGCCAGGGCTTCCAACGGGCCGTACTACGGTCCGTACAAAGTGAACCGTAACGGTCACGTGTTCAGTACGAACGTACCGAGTTCGTGAGCCGTACCGTACGATTAATGATGCCCTAGGTACGGTACGTAGTACAGATTGTATTACCCTTTTGGGAAGTTTATATAGGGGTTCTGGAGGGGTAGGAGGGCTCTGGCGAGCAGGAGGCCTGCGGGCGCTTAAATCTCTTTCTAAGGGGTTTAATCTATCTATCTGCAGTCTGTTGTCTTAAAAATGCCTATTACAGACTATTTTCTATTGCAGAGTTATCTATCCACGCCTCTTGCCGCCTTACAGGCCTTATCTAGTCCTATCTGCTCTTGTTACTAGGGAGAACTAGTTATTTTATAGTTAATTAGACCTTAATCTTGCGTCTCTAGAGACCCATAGTCTTAGCTGTTTCAACTAGAGTACGGTGTACTTTAATTGAATTGTACTACTTGTACAGATCACGTGAGCCGTAACAGTTACGATACGTACACCTACCTCTCCTCCTCCCTGTCGTACGAACGTACACAAAATCTCACCCGTACAGGCCTCAAAATCGCCCAATCGTACAGTACTACGCCTCGTTGGAAGCCCTGGTTAGAGCGTTTTGTAAGATTGAATGCTGGTGGCAATGAAAGGGTTGAGATGATGGTAAGGGTTGTCCAGGAGGATGTTGATATTTGTGGTGCTGCTGTCGCTGTCGTTGCCATTGTGCAGGAGCTGTACCAGAGTCGTCTCATTCGCGGCGAGCCTGAATCCGACAGCAACTTCCCTTCCTTCCTTTTCAAATCGTTCACGAAGGCCTGACGGTCTGCCTACTACAAGTCAAGGTCACTCTCGCGCCCGGAAACGCCCCCCGAAAGGCCACCTCGATTCTTAAACCCTCGCAAGCTAGCTGTGTACCTAGCTTCTTAGCCTCACAGCCATTTTCTACCTCAATGACGCTTCTGTCTAGCAGGCTTCAAAATGCCCTGAGACCAGTAGTTGCTGTTATTGCGATTGGTAAGTTTGGTGAAATAGCTGGGATGAGTGACATCTCACTTACAGGGTTTCCAACAGGGCGTACTACTGAGTGAGCCGTACCGGTCAGGCGTTAAGTACGAATGTACCCAGTTTGTGAGCTGCACCGTACGTTTAATGATGCTCCAGGTACGGTACTACCGCAGGATGAGGCAAGAGACGCAGTGTAAAGGGCTCTTAACTTCTGCAGCCTAGGTAAGAGACTGCGCAAAACAGACAACAGAGGTACCTGATTAATTAGATGAGGTTTGTAAGTATCTAAGCTGTTTTGACTAGAGTACGGCGTACTTCAATCGAATCGTACTACTCATACAGATCACGTGAGCCGTAACAGTTACTATACCTACACCTATCTCTCATCCTCCCTGCTGTACGAACCTACACAAAACCTTACCCGTACAAGCATCAAAATTGCTCAATTGTACAGTACTACGGCTCGTTGGAAGCGCTGTCTCGTTTCGTTGCTGACATGGAATGTAAGTGCACGAAAACACTCAGTGCACAATGTAATCTAATCGTAATGCGGTTAGATATGTGAGTGCTGCAGGGAGGATTAAGGAGTTTATGCGCTGGCAGACTAGAGAATTTGGATAATGTGATGGGAAGGTTGGTGGTTCATATTGTTGTAGTTGAACAACGGGAAAAGACGTGATATTCATTCGCACATTTATTAACGAGCGAGTACTAAAACAGGCAGGTAGGGTAACGAAATCTGCATTAGTTTCCAAATCTCATGGTTCTCTAGAAGAAGTGTTGCGAGATGCACATTCGGGAAGCACTCCCCTAGTGTGTGGTCTTGATCCACGGCCGAAACCCGATGCTGACTCTCATGGTGTCGTACCTACATCGTGACATGTGCAGCATGAATTACAGTAGGGAAACAAGAGCCAAGAACCAGAGACAAGATCACAGAAAGAGTCTGATGAAACAGCGAGTTTTCAAGAAGCGGTGTGTTAAAATCGAACTCAGACTCGCCTGGATACATTGATGGAGTTATGGTGACCTTCGAGCTGTGCATCTAGAGAGGCCGTTAAGCTGTAGAGGGTGCATGAATAAGAAGAGGAGAGCAGGAGAGAAGGAGAGCAGGAGAGCAGGAGAACAGGAAAGAAAGACTGAAAGGCAAACCCCAAGAAGTTAGTAAGAGTCTAGCCGAACAGGCAATGTTCTAATAGTGGAGCTAGATACCCTTGAACACCCTTTAACATAGCCGCATGCTTGCCCACCTCATATGTAGATGTTTGTCTGTAAAACCTCTACATGATTTCCACCTCTAGTCGCTCACCACCTAGGAGCTTTCATCGCCACGACTTAATAATGAATGCCGAGAATTCAGAGCCTATACGTCTTCCTTTCGAATTCTCAAATCTCAGCCCCCTAAAAGGCACTCTGCAACACAACTGTATATATGTTGAGTATTGTCGTAATTTCATCGCTCCACATCCCTCCTGACTTGCGAGTCCAGTGCTGTTGCAAGGACATAGAGCATTTCCAGCTTCTCACATTTCACACCCTTTGCTTTGCCCATTCTCACCGCATTGCCAACGATTGCCTCAACCTCCAATTTTCGACCACTTCTCACATCCTGCAACATGCTTGGCTCGACTCCAGACTTGTGGTAGATCCTGGCCTTGGCTCGTCCAAGCTGATGCTCGGCTTCATGTCGCGAAATGGTGTAGCCGTAGGCCTTAGCAATGTCACAGACTTCCAACATAATGTCGAACACCAGGCCTGTTGCGGGCGACGAAGACTCCATGAACTCTGCATCGGTACATTGAGTAAGGGCGCAGAGGGGGTTCCAGGATGCATTAGCCAAAAGCTTGAACCATCGCATGGATTGGACGTCTTCGTAAAGCTCGGCGGTTGCGCCAGCAGAAGCGAAAAGTTCAGCGAATGCCTTGGCGTGTTCAGATGAGGCTGATGAGGGATAGCTTCCAATCTCGAGACGCTCAATTTCCCCGTGTTTAATGACGCCTAGGGGCCGTTGCGTTGCCGGGAGATAGACAACACAGCTGACGAGAGGATTGGCTGGGAAAGCTTCGATGTACTCATCTTCGATGCCGATCCCATTCTGAATAAGTGCAATAGTGGTACAACCAGGGGTCACTGCTGGAGCTATCAGTCTTGGAATGGTGGCTGGAGTGGCCTTGCTGCACACGATAATAAAGTCGAATGGCCTTGGGTCCAAGGACGCTGCCTCACTGCAGTCGCGTACGACATCGGGCGTGAAGTGGATATTCTGGCCAAAAAGCGAAGAGTTGATGATGAAGCCATCTTTCTTTACTATGTCGTAGTTTGACCGGCAGACCGCTGTGATGGATGACACTTTTGAGAGAAGGTAAAGGTAAACTGTGCCAACGCCACCGGCTCCAAAGAGGAGGACTTTCGGTCTAGGATCCGTTTGCATGATCAGTATTGCTTACATGGAAGGTGAGAGCATGAGAGAGGGGTAGTCACCTATCAATGTTGAAGGTGAGGTTGGGTGCTGGCAGGATGTCGTTCGAAGGGCGCGCTGGTGGGTCCATCTCCGATTCGCGGAGCCTGGTCGGGCCCCACTTTTGCCTTTCTTGGGGGTTGATAGTGGTGCAGTCCTTCGGTAGTCCATCAGATCGCACTGAAGTGAAAGCATTAATGCTGGGAGCGGAAGTGCTGAAAGGGTGCAAATGGGTCATGAATCGAAGCATTCGAGTTGGAGAGGCCAGTTGGGAGCGGCCTGCGAAGGGCACGCTAGCAAGAGGAGACACGACGCGAACCTGGGACGTCGCAAACATGGCCAGCCTCACCCTCTCCGTAGATAGTTGAAGAGAATTAGATGCACTAAGGTTGGTGTCGGCTTTATGAGTGGAAGAAGAACTTCTGAGCTGTCATTGAGCTCTCTTATCTCCCTTGGCGGAACGTTGGCAAGAGCCCACGGGCATTCGTATTCTGCACTCCACATGCAACACAGAGAGTCAGGATTTTCTCCCTTCGCAGTCACTCTGAACCGGAAAGTATCTTCGAGGTAAGAAACTGTATTACCTCACCAGACCTCATGGATACCTCATCTCTCATGTCGTCTTTTGTCCTCCATTCTCTACCTGAAACAGACGATATGGCAGCAGGAAACAGCCTAAGGCCTAGTGAACGGTTTCAAAATTACCAGTCTTAGTCTTTAAGTTCTTCGGTACCGTCACTCAGTCCCTTTTTTGAAGTAGGTATATTCTAAGGCTCCAGATCGTGGCGCGAAGTCACGTATCTAACGGACCTGGTTAGCCCTACCTACATAGTGGCCAGAAGGCCATGCGTGATGTCACTGTCCGCACCTCGGCCGACCTTACTACTCAATTGCGAGAGGTGTCGGTGCTCAGACTATTATATTCTCTAACGTCACGCCTAGATATTCATTATGGTAGGCTTCTCCGACATCATCGAACTCCAGGTCACCAAAAATGAGAGACTAGGATACAGGGAGCTGGTTCCTTTCATTTCATGCAGATCTCACATGAACTGGATCCAACATATGTAAGTTACAATACCTTCCTGTCCTAAGGCACGCATCTTGAGAACGCCACTACGCCACGTTTCAAATTGTAACGCTCAAATTTCCACAGCATCCCCGTGCATTTTGTGCTTTGTCACTTGCTCCCGATCAGTTTTCTTTCCATGAAATCATCCGGGACCCTGGCAACCGTCCTCCAATAAGATGAAGACCACGCCAAATCGCCGAACGACGCTCTTATTCTGCACGAACAACTGTAGAACATCTATCGAAAGTTTCTATCAAGCTTCTAAACTATATTTCATCTTATCTTTCCGACGCGAACCAGGCTCACCAGGACTAGCCTCAGCCCAACCTGTGTTATTCTAGTCATCCGGAAAATTCCAGCACACCATCACATATGTTCAAGGATTGGGAGGTTTCAAAGGCTCCCGGAACGACTTTCCAGACTGCGAACTATTTCTGGCTAATATATTGCGGGGCAATCTCACCCAACCCAATTGCCCAAGAGCCTCATGGGTGCAGGTCACGTTCTCGATTAATTACCCTTTAGATTGAATATCGGAACTCTTGTACCCCCATTCCGGCAACACCCAAAACCGACAATCTTACTCCGAGTTGCCCATGGGATCGCCTGCAGCTTCTTTGGTGGCTTAAAATCGCCCAAGGATTGTCTTCTCTTCATGCATGACCCTCAGCCAAACCCGGGTGGAAGGCCGCACGTCTGCAAGTACTTCGACATGGGTTCCATATCTCAACCTGGGATCCGGGACCATCATATCAAGCCACTTCTGCGTCTACCAGGAAATTGTGTGCCCTCATGAGGTCAAGAGCTTCCTCGGTAAGGCCTTCGTGAGCCTAACGATTCTCACACCAGCGGAAAGTATTCACAAGCTCCGCCAGCGAGATTAGCCCGTATCATGAGCTTCTGTTTATGGTGTTAGCAATGTTCAGCCCGGTGTGATCAGTTGACGTATCCCTGGTAAACTGTAAACTGCCACAGTCGCGCTCAGGACAGCGGGCAGGCTCGCCATACCCACAGGAGATGGGCAAGTCCCGGGGAAGGGCGATTTTTGAGAATATATAAGACGCCAGCATTACATCCCTCTGGTGATATCGAAGCACTCAAAACTCAAACCTCGAGTTCCCTTCTTTTGCCTTCCTGATTTACTATCGTAGTTATCCCTCTGCAATCATGAAGAGTCGGGTCATTCTTGCTCTTGCAGCGGCGTTGGCCACTACGCATGCTCAGGTCCCCGTTTATGGCCAATGTCAGTATATACCGTTCCTAGTCCGTTCAGTCAGCTAAAGTCAACAGGTGGTGGAATTAACTACAGCGGATCTACGACTTGTGCGTCTGGTTCTACCTGCACGAAGTCCAACGATTGTAAGATGAGATCTCAGATTTCTCTGAGAGACCTGAAGGAGGCCTAGTTCTAATCATTTGCAGATTATTCGCAGTGCCTTCCCAACTCGAGCGGCGGAAACAACGGCGGAGCTGGCACGACTCTAACGACCGTAGCTGTACCTACATCTACTCAACCTCCTGCCGAAGCTTCTGGAAACCCAATGGCGGGAAAGAGCTTCTATGCCAATCCATACTATGCTTCTGAGATCTCGAGCTCTGCAGCACCCACCCTCTCAGCCAAGGGGAGTGCTACATGGGCAGCAAAAGCAACCGAAGTCGCCAAGATCGGTACCTTCGTTTGGCTGTCAGTAGAGACCTTGCTAAAATTTACACCATACCTAATTTTGCCATAGGGATACCCGTGCGAAAGTCCCATCTATTGAGACTTACGCCAAAGATGTCCAGAAGCAGAATGCAGCTGGTGCCAACTTGATGCTTCCTTTGGTCGTGTATGATCTTCCAGAAAGAGATTGCTCTGCCCTTGCCTCAAACGGTGAATTGTCGCTCGCAAACAACGGCGCCACTCTTTACCAAGGCTACATCGACTCTATCGCTGCACAAATCAAGGCTTTCCCAGACGTTTTCTTTGTGCTCGTAATTGGTAACCAGTCCTTGATTTGTAAATTCTGTAATTGACAACTGACGCGACGCAGAGCCAGACAGCTTAGCCAATCTCGTCACCAACTTGAATGTTCAAAAGTGTGCAAATGCAGAGTCGGCATACAAGACACTCACTGTATATGCATTGAAGACGCTCAACTTGAAGAACGTTGTCATGTACATGGATGCTGGTCATGCTGGATGGCTTGGTTGGCCGGCGAACATCGACCCTGCTGCTAAGCTTTTCGCTCAGATATATTCTGACGCAGGAAAGCCGGCAGCTGTCCGAGGCTTAGCGACGAACGTGGCTAATTATAACGCTTGGTCGATCTCCACATGCCCCTCATACACACAAGGAAACCAGGTTTGCGACGAAAAGTCATATATCAACAAATTCGCTCCGTTGTTGCAGGCTCAAGGGTTTCCAGCCCACTTCATCATGGATACCTGTAAGTGCTTATATCCTATACAATTACACCTTGACTTAAGCTGAGCTTTCTTCAGCTCGCAACGGCGTTCAACCAACCAAACAACAAGCATGGGGAGACTGGTGCAACGTCATTGGTACTGGTTTCGGAATCCGCCCTACGACAGTCACGCCTGATCCACTTCTCGATGCCTTTGTTTGGGTCAAGCCGGGCGGCGAGTGCGATGGAACAAGCAATTCCAGTGCCGTCCGCTACGACGCCCATTGCGGTTACGCCGACGCTCTGCAACCCGCGCCAGAGGCTGGCACGTGGTTTGAGGCATACTTCGAGCAGCTGCTTGTCAATGCCAACCCAAAATTCTAGGCCGACCCCGTTAAGATCCGATCTAAGACTGCGTCGAACTGTTCGGTACCGGCTACTAGACTGCGGATTTTTAGTTTTTCTTGCACATATTTATTTCCTGGCTTAGTGGGGAATTATAGCATACCAAGTCGTTCCTACATTTGCAGCAATATTGTGTAATCTGATGCTATCACTAGTACAAGATTACTTAGCAGTGAATGCTTCATTCGTTTGTACATATTGGGTACATGGGACAGCGGATCTCCCCGTGTTCGAAGATGTATATACACCTCTTTTTAGATGTCTTGAAAACCTTGCATGCATGTAGATCTGATTTAAGAAAGGCTGGATAAATAACGTGTACCGTTCCTTGTTCATGCTGTGATACAAGATTTGATACCTACACAACTCTCCTATCGCGGTGGGACTAGTCCTCAACAGGCAATTTGTAGATGTCCCTTGAAGGTTAATTTCAACAACTACCCTGTAATTCTATCCTTCCTCTATCACATTTTCTCCGACCTCGACAAGATTTGCTCAGCGGCCTGCTCATCGCGATTTCTATCAGGCTGTTCGTATTCCTTCTTGCTCGGTCGTGAACGGAAAAATTTCGTGTCCGATCTCATTTACACGGTGGAGACCCCGCGCTTCGTTTAAATTGCTGCACCCCGGACCGTATGGCCGCCACCAGTGGCCACTAGACAATGCTCTGATGCCTGAAATACCGGCGGCTGCAAATTGATTTTATTAAGGGCGAAGTCACGCATCCATCGTTTGCCGCGTACGACTTCGGCCTGGAATCTGTTTCGTTTCGTTTCTGGAAAATTGGAGAGCAGGGGGGTTGATGTGCGGAGGAGCATACCCGTCTTTGGAATAACCTGGGGCGCTGTGATGGATGATGGCAAAATTGCTAGGGGGCTTGTACTATTTGCGGGGGGGGGAATTTATATAGAGAAATCGGTGCGCCAGTCTCCTTTTCGTTCTGTTCGCCTTTGCTATCGGTCGTGAGTTTTTGGTTTCTTGCTACGTCGCCGTCATGTTTGGGTATGCTACGCTTTTCAGCGCTCTTGCGAGCGCTGTGTCTGCTGGTACGGATCCCGATCTTCTAATGATCACATATCTAAATTCAGCACCTGACATAACTACCAGGAACGATCCTTTGGGATGGCCGCTTCAACGAGATGAAGTCTAGCGCAGATCTCAACAATTGTGCATGCCTCAATTGTGCTTCCGCGATAACCCTGACTGACCTTTTTAGGGTCATGGGCCAACCAAGTCGGAAACTACCAGTACTACATCCACGGATCCGGCGCCGTCACCAAATACGTGAACCTTGACGCGAAATTCAAGAATCCTGCAGACACTGGCTCCAAGCAGGGTGCCAAGATCACCATCGACAGCACCGCGAAATGGAACTCGGATATGTGGAGGACCGAGCTCATTCCTCAGACCAAGGCCGCTATCAACTCTGGAAAGGTTTACTACCACTTCTCGATCAAGCGGTCAACGACGAATGTCCCGAGTGCGACGAATGAGCATCAGATCTGCTTCTTCGAGAGCCATTTCACGGAACTAAAGTACGGGTGGGTCAATGGTGAATCCGGAACTAGCAACACGAACCTGCAGTGGATGGTCGGCGGACAGAGCAAGTGGAAGGTCGAGCTCTTGGCAGATGTTTGGCACAATGTTGCTTATGAGATTGTACGCCCAACCCTCCAGGTTTCCTCCCAGCGGAAGGTGTTTCTAACCTATATTGTAGAACTTCTCTTCCAATTCCGTTACCTTCTGGCACTCCACCGGCTCAGACCCACTCACCAAGACCGCTGGCCCGTTCTCTGGCAGCACCTCCTCAAACGGTGCAGACTGGCATCTCGGTGTGCTACGTCTCCCACGCGCTGGCAATGATGGCACTGGTGCTGAGGACTGGTACTTCAGTGGCGTCTACATCGAGAGTGGCGACTTAACCACAGCGATCGCCAGTCCCGGTGGTGCGGGCGCGAGCACAGGTACGACTGACCCAGGCGCGGGCTCTCCCGCCACCACAGCTGTTTCTTCTTCTATCCCCTCTTCCGTAGTAGTGTCTCAGTCGACTACTTTGGTAACAAGTGCTAAGCCTGAGCCTTCGAGCCCGACTGTTGGTACTGTGAAGCAATACGGCCAGTGCGGGGGTAGTGGCTACACCGGGGATACGAATGTAAGTGTTAGTCTTGGATCTTCAGTAATAACATATTTAACAACCATCTAGTGCGTCACGGGATATACCTGCAATAAGGTGAACGACTATTACTCGCAATGTCTATAGAATGCTTCATATTATGTCTTCCAGCATTCTAGATGCCAATATGAATATCTTCCGTCAAAATTGAAAACGTGTCATCCAAGACCTGTTTCATCTGGAGAATTCTAATTGAGTCTATTCGGGCACCAAACGTCTCGGTGTGAGTCTTACAAATACTCAGCCATGTAGAATCTATACTTGTGTCACCCCTTCAGAATGGCTACCCAACAATCCAACTCGCAGCACCAATAGCGATATTCATTCGAAAATGCAGGCATGAAGGTGGACGATACCTTTTTAGCTTGAGCATGATAGGGGAAGAAGCGGGGAGCAGGAATAAGTGGAACGAACTTGCCTCCACCAAAGCAACTTTAGTACGGCTCGCTTCTGCAACATAGAGATCCTTCTGAAAGCCCCCAACAACCGAATATTTAGCAAGATGACCACTCCTCGAAAGCCGATTATAAGCCTGAATGTATCCTTGAGAGAATTCATCTAGTTTTGGAGAAGAAGAGGCAGATGGGATTTGATCCGAATATTGGGGTAACCGACGCATGTACTGTTCAAGGAACGCGGATAATAGCGTGTAAACCCCGGATCAGCCAAGGCCGCCGAGCCATGCACCCAAGTAGATACGAAGGCCAAAGTACGTAGGCGGTTCCTCTCAACCTCTGGGACTTTGGTGATGAACGCACAGCACTTGTGCTCAGTCGGTATTACCCATCATTTCTGATGAATGCGATATCGTTGGAGTGGAGAACGAGACCGCATGTCTCTTCGTAAAGCTTTCGGTTGACGAATTCCAGCTGGTTTACCCCCTCGATCGTGTTATAGCAGCAAATGTACCTCCTTGGGTCTACTATGTTGGTAATCTTTCATAGGCGGGATCCCGACCAACTAGCCCCTGGGGGAGAGATTCGAAACCACGCATATCAGAAACTTAGTAGCTTCCCAAATTGCCAAATACTCCGAATCTTTGCCTATAGCATCCAGAAGACCTGTTTGGCGAGGAAGACCCCCGATTTCAAGTCGAGCATAGACCGACTTGGTTTCTTACTTTCTCCAAGAGATGCATTGGCAGTACGAGGCGGGGGCTTTGATGGAGTGTCAAGGAATAATTTGTTTGTGCCCATGAGCCAATGGCTAGTGCCGTGGTTCAAAACCAGTATCCTCAGGAGTACCTATCAAGTTGGTAGCTATGTTTACGCCAATTCCCTCGTTCGCATGGCAGCAAGCTAAGCAAACCCATTGCAAGATGCTATATAGGATCCCTAAGGAAGTTACCATAGGTTAACTTCGTCTATTCTCCTAACAATGTATAAGTTCTCTTAATCAATGTGTTTATAGCATCGCCTAGCTTCCTACGAGATAGGTGTGAATAAGGAAGATGAGTAAAATGGTAGTTGAAGAGATGCTCTAAGAAGTTTCGCAAACTGTTTGCCCCTTTCTCATCTTGTGGGACTCACATCCCTCTACACTCCACTTCCCATTCACGAATTATACCACTCCACATCCTTCATCAGCACATCAGCACATAGGCATAAATCCTGGCTTTATGCTTATCTAACTAAGCAATACTTCTTGATGCTCCGAGACTGTGCCATGCTTTATTCTGTGCACGACTATTCTCAGTCTTCTCCTCAATCCTCTTCGTGGTTTTCTAGGATTTCAGATAATACCTAAAAATCAAGAAATTATAACAAAATAAGTCTCCTACCTCGAAAGAGTAGGGGTAACCGACCTAGATATTATAATTCCGAACCTATTGATAGCTTGTCAAAGATGCATTCTGTAGGGGGTAATTGAAATGCTCGCTTGATCAGTTTGGAGGGGATCCAGTAGCATTTACATGAGGTAGATTAGTTAGCTATGGACTAAAATGTCTTATGGGGGAATGGGATGGTTCCATTGCGCGGCTATATAGTAGCAAGCCACTCTAGATAACTGGTTTTCGTGAAGCGTGAGAGTGAATAAAAAGTATTTCCCCGCGACATCAAGAGTATAGCCCAACAATTATACGGAAGTAGAGCCACTGTAGACATAGTGTTGGCGATCATAAAGATACCCAATTCGAATAAGTATCATGATAAACAAAATGTAGTTGTATAATAACGAGAGCATCCATCCCCAAAATACAACTACATAGAACTGCGGGGAAAGGTAAAGGGCAAAGCGTAGCCGTCACTATCTCCTCCACATAAAAAGCTTCCTCAAAACTCCAAAATCATTATGCCTTCGGCACTTCTGCATATCAGAGTTCTATGTCTCTAGCACGGTTAGACATGATTTCGTATTTTGCACATCGGCGCACTACTCGATCCTAGCGGTGACGGATCCGCATCGCTAAACACAGTGGTGTGGTGTGCGCGTTGTTGTATATGCGATGATTCGATTCGGTAATAGGAGAGGAGGGCGGAGATTTGTTGATTGTAAGGGAGGAAGAGGCAGGTATTGCGTTGCTATATTGTAGTTCATGCATGGGCTAACACGGGGAGGTATGACCGAGAAATCCATCACATCCTGGGTATGTATTCATTTAATCGCGCCGACAGGTCAAGACAGAAATATTGAATTAGGGGCTAAGTTATCAAATTATACATCTCCGTCCTTAGCGAATCCGAATCGCTTTATCACTTATCCAACCTCAAGAATCTTTTTCCCTTCTGAACCACCACAAATCTGCGTATACCACAGCCCTCCTCGTGCCGATCTAATTTTGTCCCTTCCCTCAACACGGTGCCCCATTATTGACGGACCGGGAAAGGTAGCAGAGTTGAAAGACTTCATATTTGCATCCACAGTCCCAGAATTCCATAGAGATTTTGCACATGACCGACTGAATGATTGAAACAGTAGACAGATTAGGTTCAGTCATGCAATTGGTTGGATAGCGTGAGGCGCAACTGGAAGGGGGGTCAGCCGGGAGGAACTGTCGGGTTTCTTGGTTGTAGAGGACATCAAAAGGTGAGTGAAGGCTTTTCTTTGAATTAGAGTCCATTTAATCCTATCCTACACCCTACATCTCACACCACGCACCCAAACACCCTCTTGAAATTTCCAAAGCATCCAACGCCAATGCACAGACACCGTTCGGCACACAGGCGCAAATCCGTGCGGATCATGTAGCAAGGAAAACCTTGTTCGTGAGCGTGAGTGAAGCGTTCGAAACCTTCTTTGAGCTGCTGCAAGAGTAGCGTTTTGGGTAGGTTGTGCACATGGTTGGTGTTGATGATGGAGTTGGGGTTCAGCCGTGCTTGGGGGTAAGTTACCGGTGAGTTGCGATTTCGGCAGAGATATTAGATTACAACGTGTGTGCTGTGATGATTCTGATGTCGGAGCTAGAATTGCTGTCCAGCTTTGGTTGCAGAGAGGAATTTTGTGAGGAGGCGATAGAATTTATCGAGTGTATTTTATGCGAGCGTTTATAGCATGCGGTAAGATTAACGTAAACAGTGATATGAGAAAGCAAAATGATTGGTAGCGCATAGACTGAATAGGTGGCGATGGAGGTATCTTGTTCCACCGTCCGCCGACGTCATCATATGGTAGGTATGTACATATATTCAACTTGTTACTAGTAGTGACTTTCAACAATATGTACTATGAAATACACACTGTTTGTTTGTGGTGAGATTCTGGAATAGTGAGGTGAATGCGGCCTCGAATTCTAAAATTGGACAAACAGCAGGGTGGATTGGCAAACAACGGTCCTAGATTCGAGCCGAAAGCAGTGACGTGGGTGTTTGAGGAACACGACAAACTTAAAACACCCAGAAGCGACCGGCGCGAAAAGCAAAAGGGTATCTGAACGAGAGCTCAAAGTGTAAATATCAACATGAGAAGAGACCAGGAACCGAGAGACCGAGACCGATATAGCGATTATCGACGTGAAAGGATGCGTTGGATATTGAGTGACGTCTGGGAGGCCGGTCTGATCAAAGCGTGCCCAGCCTATCTCACCAGATCGAATAGGTTCCAAGTCGTGGAACACAACGAGATAATCCCCAAAAGTCGTCAGAGGGCTAGACTCGCATGACAATAGGTCGCTGTGCGCCAGCCCTCTCAACCCATTCCTCTAGCCCGTGGTCCGCACTTGCCCAGTAATCCCTCGTCTTCTTGTACAGCGCCATCCTTTCTGCAAAGCTTTTGACCGCCATTATTTCCTGGAATCCTAGAGGTCTTTCGTCCTTGGGCACATCGGTTAAATCGATTGCCGTGCCCGAGTCGGCCCTTTTGGGCCTGACAGGTGGTTGCTTTGGGATCATCTGCCGTGGTGAATCGTTTTCCTTCCGTTCCTTTGATGCGTTGCGTTTTCGGAGATAGGTGTCTGGCGAGTTGGATGAAGACCGGGTTAAGCGCGATATCGAAGTCTTGAGCCGTAGACTCGGTCTGCTGAAACTATTCGCGATGGTGTTTGCTCTTGAAGGTCTCCCTCGTGGCTCAGCAGCAGCGTCCTCAGATTCTAGTCCAGTGAGTGACCTCTGCACTCCGGAAATGGGTATGGTGGCTCCAGGTATTCCTACGCCAGCGACATGCCTAGGGTCAAAGGGCCTCGAAATAGTCCTAGCTTTTGGACGTGCCATCTCTTTGTGTGCGTCTGTGTCGTGTATTACATAGGACTTGAGTGATCTGCGGTGTCCCGGCGGAAAATATGGAGTGTTTCGACTAAATGAGATAGCAGTGGGAAGGCTGTCAAGCTATGAAATAGTTGAAGAAGCAGTCCTGCAACATTAAGAAGGCAACAGTACGTCTTTACTCGTCTCTTTTAATCCACCAACGGCAGCGATGCTAAGAGGTGGTCAGAGAGAGTATTGCGATGCAAGTTAAGCGGTACCATGGTACGCTGAGAGGTCATCCCTCTCGCTGAGGAACGTGCGGTTTCTGCGCTCTCCTGCATATGGTCAAACAGAAGGGCTTTGGTGAGCTTCACTAGAGCCAGAATAGCTAAGACGCGAACTGCTTTTGATCATGTGGCTGAAGGAGGTTCGAATTTACCCCACACATCGAGGATGGTAACCGAGACGTCCAGTGTCTGGGATGATGGCGGGTATAGATGCGGGTCATATAGCCCGTGCGTCAGGCTGCACCAGTTGCAAGAATAAGCAGGACTGGTAGATGAGCGCTTGCATTCCGTACATCGGTAGCGAAGTGGAATAATGGCGGATGAGTCTGATATAGCCTGAGGATTTTGGAGTCGGAAAGGTACTTGGCGAATATCGGGTTCTGGCAGGCCCGAGACCTACGGAGAAGTCGTCGCATCCAGATTTGCAGTGGCGGCCTCAGGCGAACAGGCGAGGTTACAGCCCTCAAGGAGCGAATCGTTCCGGGACTGCTGTCAAGTCTGTCTGGCATGGGCGGCACGTAGATTCTGACTCGTTTTGCAATTGCGATGTGTACCCACCACATAGATGATGGGGAATTCATCCTAGAATGAGCCCGCCTGGACCTGGGATGCTTGAAGCATTTCGACGATTTTCAAATTCTTCTTTGTGGTGGCAAGGAATTCCACTCTCACGAAATGCCATGATGATGAGGAAGAGTTTTGGATTTCAAACTAGCCTTCCAAGGAAGAAAGAAGCGTTCCTTCCGGTCGATCTTTGTTGTCAGATCTCACCCCAGAATCTGTGGGCGGCAGTGGCCGTACCAATCGTGCCATGGTGCCACTAAAAAGCTGGAGGGTGCAGGACGCACAGCATTAGGTTAATTAAACCTCAAACCCGGATGCAGAGATGCGGACAGTTGCCTTAACATACATGGAGTGTGCACATAATTCATGCTGTAGGAATCTTATGCTGAAGCGAAAAGCGGCTTGCAAGTCAACAGACAGGAAAATAGAATTGCGATGAGGGCGATTGAAGGTGAGGACAATGAAAATTTCTCTTGTGAACCGAGATGAGCCCGAGCTTGAGGCTGTTTTCGATTTGTTTGAGTTCTGGAGCTTTCTGGCAGCCGAAGACTCCAAACACGTACGAAGAGGGTGGGAATAGCCGTTTGCTCTCCCTAGTAGGGCTAAGGCAAGCTGTGACGAGCTGTTCGCAAGGGCACCAATGCTCAGGATTCTCTTACCAGAATTCTGGATAGGTGAAGTATGTGAAGCCCAGGAGAAGGCGTCATTGGAGCGTGGTTCGACGGTTGTGAAGCAGACGACGTCTCCAAGCTTTCGGCAATGTCTCAGAGCAGATTCCATGTTCTTGGCCATGGTTCCACCAATCAGCGCAATTCACCCTCACCCTCCGTTCCCAATTTGCGCATTGTCAACCACGTTGTCGTTACTGCCAAGTGCGATCACACAGGAAAGGTGAAAGGCACATTCAGGAGGCGCAGTTATGCAACAGCCCCCGGTTTCCAACGTCCATCCATCATTCGAGCCAGATGTCCGGGCCACCATCGTCACCACTGCCAACAGCCTAGAATAGCATATGCACTGGCTGTATATAAATTCAATGCACAAGACGCTGCCATGAACTTCCTCATCTCTTCACCCGCTTACAAAAAGTCTTTCGTTTATTCATTCTTTCCAGCTTTTGGTTTTCACTTCTATTCTCTTCAACAATCGTTCCTGGAGAAACGATCTCGGCCGGTCCTTTTTGAAATTGTATAACTTGAAATTAACGTCGACACTCACTTACCGTAACGACATTACGTCTTTCGAGCGATATTAGCAAGAATGAAGCAACAAATCCTTTACACCCTTCCCCTCCTCCTTGGTGCTGTGGCCGCTCGCCCAGCGAAGTTCACTGTCCGTGAGGTACCGCAAGAACATGCTCATCAAAACATCTTGGATGTGGTCGACCAACTCTTGACTTTGGACAACCCCGACAACATCCAGTCGTCTGTCTTTGGCCTGCTTGGTGCCAAAGCCGCCGCCGAGGGAGCTGGTAACATCGCCGATGCAGGTATGTATTCGAATTCAAGTGCTGCCTGATACAAAATCCTAACATAGAACTAGATTGCCTTCAGCAAGCTACTGCTGACCAAGCATTCACCAATGCTAAAGCGGCAGGCGATATCGCTGGCATGACTGCTGCCATCATCTTCCGGGGGTTGGAACGCAACAGTGGTTCCGTTGGCCTAGCCTCGGTGCCATGTACATCGATCCAGGCCGTCAACGTCGAGATCGCTGCCATCCAACAGCATCAGGACCCTGCCGGTGAAGGGGCCCAGGCACTTAACAAGGAGATTACTCTTGAGATTGCCCGTCAGATCGCCTCGATTGGAGGTGACCCACTCCAGGCTCTTGAAGCTAGTACTTTCGCCCCTGGCGAGATTGGTGACCCAACGGCAAAGGGTAACACCTGCGACGTGGCAGACGACAAGGCTGGGTGCATCAACTCTCAAAATCTCCGCGTGGATGATGCTTCCGAAGCTGAAATTTTGGCGGCTGTCTCTGGAGCTGGAGCCGGAGTTGGTGCAGGAGCTGTAGCAAATGAGACTGCTGGTGCTGGTAATGCGGCTCAGGCCGGTGAGGCTGCTGGCGCAGCTGCTGGAGCTGCCGCGGGAGCTGCCGCTGGCGCTGGAGCTTTTGGCGACTGTGCGGATCCGACCATCACTTTCGGCATTCCATCTGATGGTCGCAAGGAGGAAGCGTTCGAGGCTACCGATCTGACCGACTTCCCTCACGGCAGTGCCCTGAACATCAAGGTAATCTCCGAGTTCATCTGCGATCAGCTCGTCAACAAATGCAAGGCCGATCAGTCTGCAGTGGACACCTGCGACCAGGCCTCTGCTGCTTCGGCGGGTTTGAAAGGCCAGGCTGCGGCGGATGCTTTCAACTCCGCCCTGGGTTTCTAGATCAGTCAAAAAGAGGGGACATGGAGGTAGAGAGGCAGAGAAGTAGAGAGAATAGACAGGGAGACGAAGGCTAGAGTTGAAATTGAGATATGCGCCTCAAGCGAGGGCATATGTGTAAACTTACTGTGGACGGCAACGGTTATGGAATTCTTCGTATCATGATTTGTTTTCTCAAGCACATACCAATACAATACTCACGCGGGGTTTATGAAGTTCCCAGGTTCCTACTCGATTGACGGCACAGTGCTGTATTGATCCTCGGGCGGGCGTGCGTTGAAGGCGAAGCGTTTTTGTTGGCATCATGGACGTTCAGCCAAGCGTGCCAGAGCGGGGTTCATTCTTCCGTTAGTACAAGGAAGGTAGTCGAGCTAGCTGAGCCACCCACCCATGCTATCGATATGTACCCATTCTGCCTTTCAGCAGACCATCCACGAAGGGCCATGTGGTACGTGAACATGTCACGCCAAGGAAAGGGCGCGGACCCCGACGCGGCATTCACGAAGCTCGACGCGTGCGGCTTTGGTCGTCAACTGGCTTCTTTTTCCGCTGAAACCAGTGATCGCAGGAGAACATCGTCAAAGCGCTCTCCCGCCAGAAAAAAGCCGAATAAGGTGAGCGCTCGAGGCAATTGACGGTGAGTATCAGACTCTATCAATCCCGTCGAACATCTAGCCAAGATGAGCAGCACTTCCGACACCCCGGTGTGCAATGGCGTTTGATCCGCACGGGTCTCGATTTAGTCACCTGCAGAGGGCCGCGACACGCCTTCGATACCCTCAAAAGTGCAATTAATGGCCCAATCAGGACGACTTGGTAAGCAGAAGTGTGATCGTGTTGCTATATTGGGACTGTCAGTCGGGAAAAGGAAATATTGGCTTGTGATGGGCTGCAGAAGACGAGAAGCGATGCCTATTTTAGACAGGCGTGGGAGTATCAAAGTTCTCTCGTCGGACTTTGTGATTCTGACGGGGATGTATATGTGATATGATTTATTGGGAAATTAGAGGAGAGACCAACGACAGCATGATGCAAGGCAGATAGGCAATTTGACAGGACAGACGATGAAGAGACGAAACGACAGGTCAATTAACGCCGGCACGGACAGGCAATTGCAAGAGAGAAAATAATTTTCGACGGTGAGGCGGCCAGAAGCAGTAGGTGCAGAACTGGTGAGCTGTGAATGGCGAAAGCCAGCCGTGTCTCGTGTCATGTGTTCGGCCTGCAAAAGACGGGCAGCTATGGTAGTTCTCGGCGTGATGCCCAGGGGATGCAGGCCCGAAGCATTTTTTGCTCGAGCTGCCGCCGCGGTTCGAATGTGAGGTGGAGCCCTGAAGCAACTGGACACGCGGTGATGGGGCCATTGGGGGATTGGGGTGGGGGGGGGGGGGTGAGGGGGGGAGGGAGGAAGGGAAGAGTGAGAGACAGCGAGGCGGGCAAAAGCATGGGCGATGGAGAAACCGTTTTGTGCGTGCCCGTGTGCCGTCTCCCCGCGAGGTCTGGCGGAGGAGGCTCGCGTGTCTCGGCGGGCGGGTTGGAGCGGGTGTGGGTGAAAGAATGTCGTCCTGACAAGTGTTCGTGCAGGTCGGGACGCAGGGGCTGGATGGCCGCGGGTCGCCCTTCCATGGGCCATCGCGGCCTGCGCGCAAAAAGCCCTCGAGTAAATCTGACGCGCTAAGGTCGCGTTCGACGCGTCCTTGGTGGTGCACGGGGGCGGTCTACGATGGCTTCACGTGCTTGATTGGAAGCACAACGGAGGGGCTGCTGCTGCGGCGCTGCACGAGGACCACCAGGCCGGCGCGAGTGCGAGGATACGCAGTTATCGCGGCCATTCTAAGCATTCTAAGAGTTGCTCTGCGTGTTGGTCGTCGTTGTCAGCGAGAGACGTTTCCGTGCGTGCAGCTGTGTGCTATCGTCGATCCCGGTCCTAGCGCCTCCAGCACTTTTAGCGCCCTTCCACCGTGACCAAGTCCATCACCTCGCCCGCTTCCCTCTCGGCCTTCACCACCTCAGAGCATCTCTTTCCTCTCGGAATCCCCCCCCCCCCCCCCCCAATGCCTTGATCTTGCCCTGACACCCCGTCCGCACCTTTATTTTCTTTGTGTCTTGTCTTGGAGCCCGTTGGCACGTTGGCAGCTCTCTCGTATCCCATGGACGCCGCCTCCGAGTGACCAGCCCGAAGCTGTCGCTTCCAGCCGCCGCCTGTTGCGGACTCTCGCCAACCCAACTTCTCGAAGTCTGCGCAACGGCAAGCGCTTTTAACTTCACCACTACGGAGGGGCCCTTGCGACGCCTTTCACTCTCTCGCTGCTCACTCTCCCCTTGCTTTTCACCAACCCCCCCCCCCCTTGCGCCCTCTCTTTTGTGCTCACCTCTCTGCGCGCCGCCTCCACCTCAACATTTCGTTGCCTGCGACGCCGCTGTGACCCTCCCCACAACTGCAACCTCCGAATTGATCGTGCGCGATCCCTCTGGACGACTCGACAGGACGTACGAAACTCCGTGATCGTCCGTGTAACGCTCCTGCTGCACGCACAGTCGCGTTCGCAGAACCCAATCCACTGTTGGCACCCGACATCGATCGCAACAACCGCCCTGCAGGCACCCTACCACCCAAGAACAACAATTGGAGCTTTGTTGGAAGCATTTGCGCTGAAATCCGAATCGCCGTTGGAGCACTCCCAACCTCATTGCAGGGCATTAGAGATTGGAGATTGGTCTATTGCGGTGACCGTGTTGGATTCCCTTGGATCAGGTCCACCGTCCCTTCACGCCGTTGATTGACCGCGCCATATATGTTCAAGATGCAGTCTGATCGCCCCCAGCTCTCTATAACACTCCCGCGCAATTTCTACTTCCATTATAGCGACGGTCAGCCTCCACACACTCCCGAGCCTGAACCTCAGCTCGAGGATCCTCAACCTCCACCTCCTCCCCGACAGACACTGAGGGTCCGCCGCCGCCGCACTGCCATTCCATCCGATGACGATGCGGTGCGTATGAGCAACCTCATGGACGGCCTCGTCGCGCACTCCCAACCAATCCCTACCATTGAGGCCCCAGAGTTCCACTCAGACGAGCCCATCGAGCTGCCAGAGTTCCCACCAGCCCCAGACAACTCGTACCTTTCCCCCGTGGTCTCGTTCAACCGGATGATATCTCCGCCTAAGACGCCCGAGCTACAGATGCGGAGACTCAGCGGCTTCGACACTCCCCAGCCATGGGACAACATGGACCCTGCCACCATGAGCGAATCATCCAGCAGGCCAACATCCTCTTCCGGCTTTTCAGACTCCTCCACGTCGTCCCGAGGTAGCTTTGAATCATTCCCGTCTTTTGGTGGCAGCTGCACAAGTCCTGACGAAGACATGACTGACCCCTTTTCTTTCTGCGATGCAGGCATGAAGTATGAGCCCACCTCGCCTCTCGCGGCACACCGGCAAGGTCCGATAAATAAACTAAAGCTGAGGGCAACCTTCACGGAGGAGATGGATGCTCATCTCTGGATGACTTATATGAAGTACCTGCAGGATCCTACTGTGACGCCCTTCAAAGCCTTGCCTAGCACGGTACCACCAAATGGCGTCTGTCATCGGGTTGCGCGAATGGCTCGCAAGACGTGGAAAGGACCCCGTGCCTCATCCTGCTTGAGTGTCAGTCGCTCCGCCTCCCAGTACGCGTCCCGCTCTGGAACCCCAGACACGATCAAGCCATCAAAGAGTGGAAGCAGTACTCCAATCGCTATGGTCAGGAAGCCATATCCTCGATTCCCTTCAGAGAAGCAGGCCCGCAAGCGCCTTCGCGAATTGGCTAAGCAGAAGCCCTCACTCTCCGCTCACTATCAGCGTCTGCTGCACCATCGGACCCCGTCCCCGTTTCAATCTTCTCCGCCGTCCCAGCGGAGCTCTTCCCAGCCTCAGGGACTGTCGTCGCCGTTCTCAGAGGAAGCCTCCAGCTTCTCTACCCGTGACATGAACTTGTCACTTGCAACTAGCACAGCAGCTTCCATGCAGTTCGGCAACCCATTGACGCAGCTAGGGAGCAATGCAACGCCCCGTGCTCCGGACAATGGTTGGTCCAATGTTCGTTCTTCCGCACACCAGAAGTCTCAGTCCTTACACATTGGTCTCGGTATCGGCAGCATGTTTGGCTCTTCTTTTGCGGCCATGTCCCAAATGACGGACATGAGTCTAGGACAGCAGAACTCTCAGACCTGGCACGCTCCGTCGGCACACCCTCCTAGACTCGGCTCCCCTCTGCAGCTTCACGCACCGAGACCAATTTCCCGCCCTTTTAAGCGCCGTGCTCTCCACAACTTCGAGGAGCAGGCTCGAGGCCGCGGTGATAGTTTCGTGAATCATGTCTTTGGGGCGCCGGCTGAGTCAAGTCATCGCCGGGTTCGCAGTCGTGGTTTCAGCTTGGGAGACATGATCGAGGGCGCTCGACGACTTCCTGCGTCCCCCTTTGGGCCAACAGAAGTCCACCCGTTCTCGGCCAACCTAACTGCTATGATGCAAGACCATAATCCTCCACCAGCTCCCTATGTCGCACGGAATCAGGCCACAGTTCGTCTTGGCTCTCCATTCGGAGGACGATCGAGCAACACCTTCCCCCGAGCGACAACCTCTTATGGATTTGAGGCTCCAGCATCCTTCGAGCAGCGCCTTGCCGGCTTGCCTAGCAATCCCGATCATTTAACTCCTTCCTAGTCGGCTGGCCGCGCTAAGCATAACAAAGCGACATTTGTGCATATCTGCCTAGTTCTTGCATCATTGGCGTTAGCATCATGAGCTGCGACTCAGCACCCATCTCTTGCATCTTGTTGCGGGTCTCCTTTGTATCCATGGAGTCAATACTCCCTCATTTGGCCTGCGGCCTAAAATTTGCCCGGAAAAAGTATCTCCTTTGTCCTTTGTCTATAGTTTCTAGCACCCACCTTCAACTCTTGGCCTTCCTCAATCTCTTGTCTTTAGCTTCCTTGGAAGTGCATTTGCTTGTATTGGGCAATGGCCAATTCTTCACCATTTTTGGGTCATTTGATTTCGTTCACATTGGTCACTAGGCTTGGTGGAATTTACGACGGTGACGGATTCATGTCTCTCAGCATTTTGGTCTTCTCCTTCATTTCTCTAATCCGGAGTGTGATGACGGACTGGACTGAAACGGACTAGAAGGGCTCCCGTCGGATGATACCTGCCGTGGACGAATGATGCGACATAGACATTATTGATGTCGGTGTTATGTCATTCTTCTACGCAGCGTTCTCTTTCCATCATCCATGCATTTCCGAGATTTGCTCTGCTCCTTTTGTACATGGATGGTAACCACAAACAACGGCAACTTGAATGCCATATGAAAGCTTATCATTTCCTTGCACTTGTCTCTCTTCTTCTCTCCATTTTCATTCACATAATTGGGCGCGGCTCTGTTCCTTCTCAATGTGCATGTTTTGTCTTCCCATTGCTTACGACGACATGGTTATGATGGATGCGGATTATATCTGGATTTGGATTTGGATTTGAATGTCGGCTGGCAGGCTGTATGGCTGGGATGTGTTAAGGGTTGATGTCCTAACGAACCGATGATGAGTATCGATCGTAAAGGCTAATCCCTAATCTTTCTTCTTCGTCCAGCAAATCTTCCTTCAAGGCTGGGTGGCATGTCTGGGCTGCGATATGGCATGGCATCTTGAAGATACTCTTTCTGTACTGTACTTATGCTATACACGTTAGACTGGGTACGATACAGGTTTTGTTGATTGGATAGACTACGGTTTGTTCCTTTCTGCGAGGCGCGTGTCGGAGAGACAAGTGGGCCTGGTTTGCGCGCTGAGTATGGATATGGTTTGAAATTGTATCGACTCGAGAGGAGATGGATGGATAATTATGATATCAATTCAAGAACCTTGGAAGTCGTGGTGCCAGTTGCTTGTGTGTTTCGTAATGTCGGTAACGCTGCCAGTGCAGTCAACTCTAGTAAATGCCAGGTTTCTGCGTACATGATAAAATAGCAACTAGCGGGTCTTATGCATGCGAGGAAACGGTTTGCATTCCAGGATCGTCCCTGCCGGACCAGTGTGGGTCAGATGTTGTCACCATTACGAGTTCCTCATACTTTTGTTGACTTTGACAGTCGCTGAGGCGGGTCGTTATCACTTGCTGCCGTTTTTGTTGTGCTGCTGGAAAATTGTGGGCGTGCTATATCCCTACCTCTGATAGTAAATGGAAATCGCACTGATCGCAAAAAAACGAAAATGAAGAAAACAGGCCCCTCCATCCCTCACGTCGGTTCTAGTATCTCCCTCGAGCTACCAGCAGGGCAATAAGATTTGAGAGGGGATTAGCATCCTAAGACCCGTCAACTAGTTACCGTTATTAACTCAATATTCTTGTTTCCGCAAACTAGCAAGTTCTTACACTACTTGCGGATGCTTACAAATAAAAACCGAACTTGCTCTAGGCAGTAGAGAAGTTCAGGCAATTCATACTCAGTGTTCACAGAAGGGGGTGATGCAGTTGTAGATGAATGAACAAGGGAGCAAGGGAACGTTTTGATGGGCTTTCCTTTCACAGTTGCCCTTCGGAGCTCACAAGAACTCCGTAAACTCGATTTACGATACTTGAGATTTCTCCAAAAATTAGGATAATTTCTGAGGATATATCAAGACTTGTGAGTTATAGGCGAATTTTTGGAACGCTAGCTCGGACTCACCACGTGGCTCTCCAGGTTTCCTGCTCCAATATTCTAACAGCCTCAACAACCACCAACTACGCCTTCAGGTGGCTTGCAAATAATCTCGCGCACACTCCAAACACGGGTCGCAGTAACAGCTAGGGTTGTCGGGTGCGCCAAGTGAAGTGAAGAACGTTGACACCAAAGGAGACCTCTGCATCACGTCTTCCACTCTCCGCCCAGACAATAATATCATCACTATGTCGACCTTGGCTCCGCATCCGGCCTTATTCCCCAACAGAACAACAGTATAAGAGGAGACAATCCCCTCTTCAAGTAGACAATGCAACGCCGTGAAAGCATCATTTGACCAGGCAAGCTTTTGAACAACAAAGTTCCGGAAGTGGTGCTGATATGGTGTAGCACGATGGCATCAACCCCACTTTCAGATGGCCGGTGCCTCCTTCTATCAATCCCCCGCGAACTACGGGATGAGATCTACGAATACGCGCTGAGTGAGGATAACGGTCTCACAGTACAACCCACGAACAATGGTTTCAAACTCTGGGCAATTTGGCATAAGCATGATGAAGAAGTGCGGCGAGATCCGACCCCACTGAAACTTGTTTGCCATCAGCTGTACGAGGAAACTAAGGACCTAGTTCTCAAACTCAACCCCCTTTTGTTCTCGTCAACTGATACAGTTCGTGGAACAAAACTATTCACAAACTTCATCCAAAATGGATGCTCTCCCACCAATCACCAACTCATCAAAAAGGTCATCATTCGCGAAGGGACCCACCACGACGTCGACCTCTCGGCTGGCTTTCAAGGTTTCGTTAGCACCAAGTCTCCATCGGTGCTCTTCAGCTTCTGTCGCTCGCACCCTAATACCAGCGTCATCATTTACCTCGCAGAGTTTAATTCCAAATTCCCCTCATGGTGGTGCATGCTGTTAGGCACCATGGTGCAGAAAGCTCTAGGGGGTGAAGATTTAATTCCGACTTTTCGCCAAAATTTATGGGGTACTCTATCTTTCAATTCGGGGGTTATGACACGTGTGCTGTGCAGTATGCCAAAGAATTTGCGGCTTTTCCCAGCGACGAAGCTTTTCGATGAGCAAACGTTCCGGAAAGATATCGTATGGCTCTATTCGTACGTGGACCCCGAACATGGTGTAGAAGCATGGGTTCAGCAAGCGAGGAAGTGGTGTGAGAAAGGATTCTAAGGGTAGGCACCTTGCTTTAAGATCTAGTAGTATATACATTCCTTTCGCAGTGGGAATAGTTACAAAACTCTTTCCACATCTTCTACATTCCCAGTTCAAGGTAAACCACTCTCATTCGACCAGTTCAAGGGAATGTGAGAACTTCGGGGAATGTTTAACTCCTGCCGCACTAGTGTTTAAACCCTGCCACCTGGGCTCAATCCCCGGAAAGTAATTGCCAGTGTTCTGAGTCGACTATTACAGGTGACGGGGCTACCATCCTTCGTTTCTGGACATAGACGATCAAAATAGTGATACAGTGGCCTTTAGACCGCTGTTCCATATCCGGGTAAATACTGCTGCTGCATCTACTAGTACACACTTTTCAGAACCGAAGGAACCTATTGAAACTCTGGAGCTCCCATGTCTAAGGAATCTTTCGCTTCCACCTTAAAGGGACGATATTGCAGAAGTTAACCAACTGAAGTACATGTGGCATCAACTTCCTCAATCAATGTGCATCAGCTCTAGCACATTATCCAGCTAGCATTTCGAAAGGTAGTGGCACAATGTCAATTATCCCGAATCGCTGCCTATTCAATCCAAATAGTAGACAAGGTGTTCAAGCCCTACAAGGGATAGAGCATGGATGCCGAGCCTGCTCCTACCAACTTTTGTATCTTCCCGTGCGGATGCTACAACATGAAGGACTAAACATCAACAGGGATGACCCAAAGTTCAAGTTCTGGATGGTCTAATCTCAGAATTGGTATGCTGAAGATACCCAAACCGCCGCACTTCACTCCCGGCATGGTAAGTGATCTGCACATCCACTAGGCGTATATCAATTTACGGTCCTGATTACCAAAGATACTCTGCTTCTCTAGGAGCATGTTTTCTTGTAAATTTACCCATTCTATGCTTCCCGGTCCATTTTGTTATAATCTGTCTTGCGTTGATTTGCTAGCTCCCTTTCACTTCCCTTTCTGATGTTTATTCTAAAGCGGTCATTTGGTGGAATTTCTTTCAATGCACTTTCAACGCCTAAGCTAAGAATCTGCATATAGCTTTTAATAGCACCTTAAGTTAAGAATCGTGCACAACAGAGGGAAACACTGCGAGAGGAAGAAAGCCATCGAAAATGCCATGAACTTCTTACGTGCGATACGGACGGAACGTGAAAAGATGGGTGTAGGACATCTTCTCTTTACCCTCTTCAGGTTTTATCTACAGGTGGGACAGATAGTACCCACTCTTTTCATGACCCGTATTCTTTACAGATACGCGGTAGTTAGTAACAGCCTCCGGATAACGGATCCAGTCGCATCAATAGCACTCTTGCCGCTACACTGTCGCAATCGCTATCCTTTCGTGGTAACCCCACGTATTTACCCTTGGTCCGTATTAAGTAGATACTTAGGGTATTATATCTATCTATATAGAAAGTCAATGTCTTCAGTCAACGGAGCTTATGGTCTGCAACACACCACTCTTAGTCGATAGAGACGGAAGGAAAAGACGGAAGGAAAGGTACCTGAGGGAACAAACTCTTGTACGTGAAAGTGGACGCAGTCCAGGCTAATTTTTAGGCCAGGGTAACGAGTACGTCGCGCCCAGGCGCGTCAGCCGCCCATAACAGCATCAAAATGTGAAGGGGAGTAACATCCAGGTGGTGTACCCACCTTCAGGGTACGCAATTCCTCAGGATTAGCTCCAGCCGTAGCCTTACCCCAAAGCCCGCTCATGTGATGCAGGATGCTTATTAAGATCGAGGAGCGTCTGACTGTCAAGACTCAAAGCCGGGGCTCAACGGCTTTGCTACGAAAGTTAGGGTGGGGGGAATGTATCGGTTGGGATATTGGGAGTGCCTATCCCTTCTTCAGAACCACGGAGTGAATAAAATAAAGATCTGCGGGCAGTACATCAGTGTACTGTTCAGACCTTGGTAAAAAAAAAAAAAAAGGACCATAGGGACTAGGTTTTTGGTATGAGCTTTATCGAGGTGGTTCCGCGATACAGCAACCAACCCTGGAACCCCGAAGTTATAAGGTGAAAGCTAGCCAGCAGCACGACCCTTCAAATTAGATACCGTAATAGGTCTTAGTTACTAAATCGGCACTAAGTGAATGTCTGAATTCCTCCGAGGATTCCCAAATGACTAGTCTGTCGTAAGGAGTAGAGGGTGCGGATTCTGGACTAGCTTCTCCCACGACAGAGGACAGAGGTTGAAGGTCTTAGGTCTCATGCATTGCGACGTCTAAGACTCCATATTCGGAGGTTCCTTTAGAAACACGCGGATAGAATAGAGCTAATTCAATTTCACACAGTGCTTCTAAAGATGAAGGGAAGGAGCCTTCGTTGTTTGACAATTTTGAGACCCTCTAGACCAAGATACCTCTGCTAGGGACCTTGCTGACTATCCAAATTTCCTCCCAGATTCTTAAAAAAGAAGCTAAATACTGGAGTTATGACAGTGGGTAACGATATATTAAAATCCTAGCAGCAAGCACCAGAACCGCTCTAGCAAGGTCTTCCAAAACAAAAATATCTATTCCGGAAGAATTCAACCATTCCCTAGTGCATTTTTGTAGGACCCCGAGACTGCTTAGCTTAATTTACATGGATGGTTGTAGTGCTCGATCATGTGTGCCGTAGGATTTACCTCGCGGAGGAAATCGTGGCGTTGTAGTATTTGAAACGGTCAACCGAAAGTCTCACTCCAAACCTAATCGTTAAGAAATTAGAAGTTATCAATGGATTAATTAATACTGACCGCATTCTGAGCACAATGTCGAAAAATACGAAGATTTGATTATAGTGTTGGAGGCAATATTTGCTAAGAGGCATTTAGTTGTAGTGACGCAACCTTGGGAAATGGGACTATTGCTTACCGAACTTCGTTCATTCTCACCCACACTTGTCCTGAACACTGTGTGTATTCTCTAATAAAGCTTCTACGAACACCTCCTGCTACCATCCTCATCCTAGCATATCCTGTCAACTACTCCTTAACACCGAGATTACATAACTACTCTTCACACAACCTACCAAAACCATCTCTTTTGCATCCACACTATATTGCATTCGCCAAAATCACACACGATAATGAAGATCACAGAAATCTCCTACGTGAAGCCTCAACCAACAGCGCTAGGCATTCCAGGTGAACTCTGGGCTGATATCTGTCTTGCGAATACGGCTAAACAAGAGTGGCCCGAGTTCCTTGCCTTCGAAGGTACTAAAGATGGCTTTATAATTGACTCAACCGACTTTTTCAATCTTCGTCTAGCCTGCCTCGAGCTTGAGAAGAAGACCCGACATGCATTCGGCCAACGATTCTTCACCTCTCGAAAATTTATGCTCACGCCATGGAGCTTGAAGGCACTCTCAGAGATCTCGCTGCATTCCACATTTTCCAAAAGTTTACGAGAGTTGAGTTTTGGGCCAGAGCGATTGACCGGCTACGCACTCAAGAGGCCTATCGAGGACATCGATGAGATCACAACTGTTCAAGGGTTCGGCGGGTGGACATATAGAGCCCCGCTTCGTATCCCTCCTACATGGGAAACTGATTTCAGCGCTACGTTTACCTCTTTGCGGGAAGAGCAGGCAGAAATGGAGGTAGGATATGAAGATGAGCGTATGCTACTCGACGTCTTCCAGAACCTCCCGAATTTGAAGATCGTGACCGTCGAAATGGTTCCATGCTTGAGATTTAATCAAGGAATCAGAATAAACCCGTTCCAGAACCTGGGTTGGGGAGCACGAGCGCTATTTCGACAAGTTGGGGGGCCTACATTTGCAGACGAGGCCGAAGCGGTGAGCGTCTTATTGCAAGACCATGAAGTGGATTACGTTCACATGGGAATAGTTGGAAATGTTCTCAGGAGCCTCGGATCTAAAGCACCGGGATTATGCCTCAAGTTCAGCAAACCACTACAACTTGAGCATATGTTGGATTTCTGTGGTTGGTGGAAAGAATCGTCGACCTATGTCACAAATATCAGGATCGATACGGCAACTTTACCGGACTGGCTTTCGCGGATGGAGGTCGCCCTTCATGAGCATCCGTGCAATTATCTCTTAGAGCGGTTAGTGAACTTGAAGGTCTTGCAAATTAATGGCCGAAACACTCGAAACATCTTCTACATAACGAGTATCCCGTGTAGAGATCTAAAGACCCTTGCCCTCTCCGGAATGCGGATCTGCAATACCTTCTTACTCAGCGCCCTCAAGATGAATGCCAGCACCCTAGAGACCGTTTTCGTAGGAAGTCTGGGACTTTGGTACGACATGGCGGATTTCGGGAGTATCGTTGCAGATGTCGGCAGCGTCTACACTGGGAGTACTGACGAGGAGACTGAAGACGAGGAACGAGCCGGCTGGCCAGATATTCTGGACTTCATGGCATTCATGCCCCGTCTCAAGGAAGTATATATAACACATATATGGCAATCACCGTTACCTGGGTCGGCGGGAACCACATCTCAGAAATATTTACCCGGTCCCGAAACCTTGACAGTGCGTCTTCGGCGAGGGGACATTTCAAAGAATCTCGTCAAAACGAGTGGCTTCTATTCCCTTTCGCAGGGGTTTGGGCGCCAGCGCGGTCGCGATTACTGCTTCTTTCATGACGAGACAAAGAGTTCTGTATCGACAGCGTTAGCACGCAGCGATTCGTGTCATTCAAAGGAGATCAGCGACAGATTTGGCGAACAATGATTCGTGATGCCAGTCGGGTCACCCCCAGAAGAAATCTCCAGGACTAAAGCTTTTTTGTCCGCAGACCCATAGCAGTAGACCATGAAAGTTATTCAAATATTGGAAACATAATTCCCCCCTTGTGTGCTAGAAACCCTCACGTACTGCCTGGGCCATGCTTCTCTGCATGCATGCTGACCAGCCATAATGATAACTAAAACGTTTGCCACTAGGAGGTGTAGCGAGGTGCAGCCAGCGTCTCTCCAAGCGCTCAGTTTCTAAACCTCAATTACCACGCGAGCCGTTCATCTATCCTTTACTCGGATCACTTGGATCATGACAAGGGTGTGGCAGGTGCGGGTAGGCCAACCTACCTACTTCTAGTTGCTACGTTCTGTACCAAATCACCTCAATCACCGTTACATATCACTTGCAAACATACTTGACGGATCTCGACCGGTTCGGCATTTACATTGGTTTCACAGTCCTAGACTCAAAGCTGTTATCGTTCGTGGACGTAATGTAGTGTAGCTTTTTATTAATTTTACACAGCCGTCTTCCCCTGCAGTAGGGTGTGGTTCCCAGCAGCAACCCATTAAAGGAGATCTCCTCTTCGGTAGTCTGGCTAAGTTCTAAAATCCCCCCTTTACTGCACGCTATTAAGAAAAAGCTTCTGTGTGCATGGTTCTTGGATCTACGACTTTACAGTCACAACCTTCAGCAAGCCAGGAATCTTGCGCAGCATCTCCTCGTTGACTTCGTCGAGAAACCCATTATCAGGGGCATTTGCTACTTTTTCGATAACTCAGTCAGTATGTTTGGCTTCACGGAAACACCAAGCTGCTCTGGCATCTTTTCAGCTATGAGAGCAAGCGTATCACTCTGCAGCTTCTTCTCCATAAAAAATTCGTTCATATATGGTGTCCACTTTTTAACCCTGCTCGGAGGTTTAGAGGTTAAGCCCTCTTAACACAAGACCAATCCAGTTATATCAATGCCCTTACCAAACACCGAGGAGAGCTCGGTAAGATTGCCGCCCTCATAATTCATACCCACGGAGCCGTGTTATGAGAAACAGATCGGTGGATTGATGCCGTTATCCAGCATCCAGGGGAGTTAAGTAGGAGTGCGGTTCTCAGAATTCATGTTCGCGGCACCGTGTTGAAAGAACCGGTTGGGTTGGTTAATGCTGGTATCAAGTATTGAAGACAGTTCCGTATGAGTGCCCCCTTTGGAATTCATGTTCGCGGCGCCGTGCTGCAAGAAACAGCTAGGTTGGTTAATGCTGGGGTCGAGCATCAAGGAGAGTTCGGTAGGAATTCCTCTTTTAGAGCTTAAATTCGTGGTGCCGTGTTTCAGGAAACTGTTGGATTAATTGATGCTAGTATCGAGTATTGGGGAGAGTTTGGTAGGTGTACCGTTTTCAGAATTCTTGTTCGTAATGCAGTGTTGTAAGAACCAGTTGACTAGTTCCTAAAACACGGCATTACGAACATAGTTCCAATTATTTACCCACTGCAAGCAATCAATGTTCTTCTAGGAGAGTTGCAATTGGTGGCTCATAGAATAAAATTAATGCAAATGCGGAATGCCTGACATGCATGAGCACACTTACCTGTGATATCTAAAGGTAGCGAAGTTTGATCTAGCATTAGATGTTGCATCCACAAGCAGGAGGGTTGACGGTCTGTCCTTGCTGTGATGTAGGTGATGCGAATAAAGGAACAGTTTGCATAGCAGTTGAAACAAGGGCCTTGCTGAACCACCCAGCGACATGTCTCTTGGTCATCATTGTGTTCAGCAAGCAGGGTGCATGCAGAATATCAAGACCCGAGCAGTACGCGGGCCGGAGGTCTTCGTAACACATCATACTACCGTCATATCTGCCTTCGTAACTTTAGCCTGCTAAATCTACTGACTTCCGTAGTGGATTCGGGTTTTCTATCACGTCTATGAGCAATGATAGTTCAGAAATACTGAGAAAATTACCCTGTGCTTTGGGAATTCGATGTCCCAGTTTCATGGTATTAATAGGACGAGTTGGGTGTTGTTGCAGGAGAAGCAATGTTGCAGCGTGAAAGCACGTTGAGCGCGAACTATGCGACAAGACAGTGAACCTCACGGAATTGTTAGGTAAGAGCCGCAGCATAGCTAACTTAGTGGCTTCATCCTTTGCTACTATTCTCTTGATGGAAACAGCGATTGTTGGTAGGTTGTGGATTGCTTCCAAGTCCAGGTACATCTGGCCATGCTGGGGGAAGCTATCTTCCCTTCCGATAAACAAAAGACTTAAAAGAGCTAGGCAACGGGGTTCGGCTTTTGGTGGTCAGCAATCTATGGATAGTACTGTATTATTCGGCCCTTTCTAGCTGTCAATGAGACGTCTTGTTGCGGTACTTGTTGGAGGTTTGTTTGGGGGGCTTAGTTTTGAAGTAAAGTTTGCGTCCTGCGAAGACAGAGTGTAGTTGAGCTGAATATGAACTCACCACCGCCAAGTAGGGTTCTTTCAGGTATATAATCTAAACGTATTTCAAAATCAAGAGTCTGGAGAATCAGTTAGTGAGGGTCTAGAAATTCAGATATCAGAGGTGAAAAGCGTGTTTTAACCTCGCCGAAAACGCGAAGCAAGCCAAACACATAACCTAGTATATATCGAGTGAATAAACAAATTAGACAACTTGAGGTTATTCCCCATTCCTCATTTCAAAGCGAACATGTGTACGAATACGGTAGACGACAGTGATCAGCTTTAAGGCAATGTTTCACAGTTCCACTCAAAGTAGTTTGCCACCGAAATAGTGCGTCAAAACATAACACTAACTTCTATGAATTCCAAACCAAGCCAAACCAACCATCTTGCACACATAGTTGGACCCAAACCAAACCCCAACCGCAAACTCCCATTCCCCATCCTACCATATTAGATCTTACGTTTGCTCTAACTATCTATCTAACTCTCATCCCTATTGCCTTTCCTGTCTAATAAACCCCCACAACCCTCTTAACCATCCTCCTCGGTCCCTCTCCACTAATCTGCACCTGACCCTCCAACTCCGCACTCCTCAACACCTCCAAAAACTCCTGATTCTCCACCTGCTCGCTCACCCCATCTCTCACCTTCTTCACCAAATCATTCAACCTAACCGTCTGCCCCGCACTCCCAAGCTCATCTAATGCGGCCAGTACCGCACGCTTAAGATGCTCTTTTCTGCGCCTCTCACCCGCCGACGTGCCTTCAGTCAAAAGCGACATATCGATAAGCCCGGTCCTTGCGTCTGTCGCGGCTTGCTTGAGCGCGGATTTGATGAGGCGAACAGCTTCGAGGACGTCGTCTTCGGTGACGGTTTCGCTCAGGCGCATTTTGGCATGCGCTTCAGCGAGTCGGATCATGGACTCGAGTTGGCGGGTCGTAGCTGTAATTCTGCGCTCCTGAGCGCGGATATCGGCGCCTAGGGCGCGCATGGCGACGTATGCATTGACGAGGGCTTTCTGTGCGCCATCTGAGATCTTTGGGTGGATGTTGGCGCGTGCATAAGAGATGTAGGATGTTAGGAACTCAATGGACAGGATTTCGTCCTTGGAGGCGTTGTCAGGGGCGTCTTCGAGATACATGCCAACCAAATGGCGAGCCAGACGGCGATCATTCTGCTCGTCGATGCGGTCCAGCACGAGGTAGACGAGATCGAAGCGGGAGAGCAAGGTTGGCGGGAGATCAATGTTCTGCGGGACTGGAAGATTGATGTTGTACTTGGAGCCGATGGGATTCGCGGACGCAAGGATAGAGGTTCGAGCGTTGAGAGTAGTAATGATACCGGCTTTGGCAATAGAAACGGTCTGCTGCTCCATCACTTCGTGAAGAACGGATCGTGTAGATTCCGACATTTTGTCGAATTCATCGATGCAGCATACGCCGCCGTCGGAAAGTACTAATGCACCAGACTCAAGAACGAGTTGTCGGGTTTCGGGATCACGTGTGACGTATGCCGTGAGGCCGACTGCGGAAGAACCCTTTCCAGAAGTGTAGACGCCTCGAGGTGCGATGCGGTGAACATACTGAAGCAGCTGAGATTTCGCTGTGGAAGGATCCCCACAGAGAAGGATGTTGATATCACCTCTATATCTCGGGCTACCCCCCTTTTCGAAGGACTTGTTGGTACCTCCAAAAAGTTGCAGCAAGATACCTTTTTTGACATCGTCTGTCTCGTAGATGCTAGGCGCTAATGAGCGGGATAACAGATCATAGACATCGTGACGCTCAGCAGTCGCTTTGATCTTGGCCTCTTCTTCCTCAGTGACCTTGCGCGCCTCTTGGATATCGCCAGCTGCATGCTCCGCAAGCTCTTCTTCAAGGGTAGAGACGTCAATGCCCATGCGCTTCTTGTCCACTTTCTGGATGTGTAGGGCGTCGACGTAAGTCTTGAAGATATTCTTCACCGACCGTTGGCGAGGGTTGATGCGCACTTGATTGCATTTGAAGATTCCTGTGATTTCAACCCGATCACCGGCCTTGCAGACGTCGACTAGTTCGTCGTACGCACAGAGAGAGACCGAATGAGGCGTCTGGCCATCCGGAACATTATCGGGAGTCTCCTGAAGTTTAATAACTTGCTTGTCCGCGAAACCCGAACGGTTGTGCACAATCTGCATCGAGTTGGAAGATTCGCAGACCGGCCGGGGGCAGCGGGTTGGTTCAGTAATCTTACCACGGTCGATGTCGACCTTAACCGTATGATTACACACGGAACATCGGAAGAACGCTAGGGCTGGTTAGAATGATATTTAATAGACAATGTGAGAGTGAGCCTTACCATCTTTCATGTCCGGAATGATGGGAGTCGTTCTAATGACAAGACCTTTGACACTAACCAACTTGTCCATATCACCTGGATTCAGCTCTCGCAAATTGATCGTTTGATCCAGCCCAAATGGCCGAACACGGTAGGTTTTCTGGTCGACCTCCTTGACCAGATCCGGCATATCCGGCACTGGCTGTGGGGTAGGTCCAGGGGTTCCAGCTTCAGAACTGAGCATAGGTGGCAGAGAACTTGAGTCACGTGCTCGAGACAGAGTGCTGTGTGGACCTTGTTGCTGCTGCATCCTTAATTCGCCCATGCGCTTCTCTGCTAGTTCGATCATGACGTCCTTAACCGCCACATCCATAAGCGGGATAATCTCGTTGGGGAAAGCCTGGAGTTGGTGCCACAATTTCCGGGTGGGCGGGTAGGCCTTAAGGTTTCGAGCATCTAGATTCAGTGGGGTAACACCAAGTTCAAGCATAGTTTTCATCATGTCCACATACTCTTTTGCCATACCTGGATGATCCGCTGGCAAATTGACGCCCTCTTCTAATTCTTCATCTTGGATCATGCGGTACTTGCGCTGGAAATTAAAGAGGAAATCCTTCATCGCATTCATAGAATCGACCAGGGAGACGTTTGTACCCCAAATGACTCGAGACGAACCACCTCCAAGCACATCCGCATCGGATGTATCGGGATTTAAGTTGGAAAAGGTAGCCGCATCTGACGCATCGTGAACAGCCATACCATTTTCGTCAACAAAGAGCCTACGGCGTCGGCTGCCTGAGCTAGGACCGAGCCCGATAACGTCGGAATTAATATCGCTGCGACGGTTGCGGGCTGCTGTATCAGAAGGACCACGGACAAAAAGAGCACTGCTACTGCTTCGAATGTCGGTGTTATAGGCATGGTGGGCACGCCCTGGGCTTGAGCTAGAGGCGTAATGAATCGGAGAGGAGTCTTGTAAAAGTCAGTTTTCGCTTTAGTTTGTTAGACATTCAAAACAAAATACCTCCAATGGTTATTCCGCTCGCCCTAGGCGTCCTGTCGCCATCCGTGACTGCATCGGCGCTGGCACCGGCACCGTTCCCGGCCCCTGAAGCCGAACCGTTAACAGGTGAAGAGCGGAAGAAGAGAGGCGACTGCGTCGAAGCGGTCTGCAGTCTTGCATTCCTAGGCGTATTCTGAGAAACCCTCTCCGATGCCTGTGAAGCCTCAGAATGCAGCTGTTGTTCTGGACCGGTAGGTGCTGGGCTGCTGGAAGGTATTTGGGAATTTCGAGCAGAGCGGCCATTCCTTCTTGGAGTCGCCGACGAGCGCTGCGAGCGGCGCTGGGCTGGCGAAGACATGGTTTGAGAAGGTACTCTATAAGATTAAGGGTGTTGTAGAGGGTTGTAAGGAGAAGGTTGCAAGGAAAGTGGGATGGCACAGGGCGATTAAGGAGACGCGTCGTGTCGCGTCGGCGCTAAGATTTCGCGTAAAGTGGTTCCGTATGGGGAATGACGGGCACGTGCACTTATCGATTAGATGTTAGCCCCTCGATGAAGAAAACCATCAACAAATACGGCAAGGCAGCAGCATTCCAGTAAATAAAATTGACGCATTCCAAGGCGACTCTGAGACTGCTCTGTCCTGCTTTGGCTCTCTCTCAACGCCGAACAATCCATCATGGCGCCACCGTCAAAGCTTGTCGTTGCGACGTCATCGGTTCTGCGATTGGTGAAGGAGGAAGCAAGCTACCATAAAGAGCTGGAACAGCAGGAGGCCCGCATCAAGAAACTCGAGTCTAGCACTGGCGATGAGAATGCAGAGTATCAAATGAAGCAAGAGGTAATTTCTCAAGTGAAATATGCATTTCGAGGACCTGACTAATATCACGCAGCGGCAAGCACTTGAAGAGACCAAAGCCGTCCTCCCAACTGTTCGCGCAAAGATTACACAAGCGCTCCAGCAGCTCGAAGAGCAGATTGTAAGGTTTCCTTTCTTGGTTAAAGAAGTTGACTAAAGCTTGAAGGAGAGCAACAAGGAAGCTGGCGGTGAGGCATCGACTGACGACGTCGTCAAGGCGAAGGATGCTGTGGCGGAAGGGAAGAAAGCATTGAGGGAGATCTCATAGACTGTCTTTGTCGAATATTCACATCCACTTTGGAACATTAGTATGGCAGATTTGATCAGTTACAACTCTTGCTAGAGGCCAGAACGCCAGCAGGATGCAAAACCCTGTATTAAAATACTTCTCTCATATTGTGCGTCAGGTGGTATGATATAGGACTAGAAAACTTCGCCCGAAATACCCTATATTATAACGCCAGGCTATGCAAATAGTACGGGTATCGTAAGGAGCCGTGAAAGTGAACATTTGAAGGAGGCACACTCAATAGGCTCCATGCGTTAAGAGTCATCCATCTCGTCTGGAGGCGGCCCGTCATCTTCTTCATGCTCACCCTCTTCGATGCTAGAAGAATCATCCGCCTGACCGTCTCCATCGGCGGGGCCAGCCTCGCTCATCTCAACATCCTGATCAGCGGATTTTGCAGGAGAGGGAGCTACACTGTTGCCCCGAGATAAGAGTGCAAGCCGGTCTTGCGGCACCTTGAGTGTCTGGGAGCCCTCATCGCTATGATGCATGTGCATCGGAGTTACACCACCATCTGGTCTCGGGGTACCAACATGGCTTATTTCCCCCCTTGTGGTGCTGCCCTCAACGTCATCAATCTCATCACCATCTTTCATCATACCCTCCTTGCGCTCTGCCTCTTCCTTCTCATCCTTAATCATCCGTAGCATCTCCTTAGCCTCTTCCTCAATGCGACCAAACTGCATCCGCCGCTCCGCCCAAGTATTCTTAGAATTCTCCACCTCTTGCTGTAATTCAGAAATCTCCTCGTCTAGCTTAGCATGCGCTGCAGCCTGCTCATCCCGCGGCTTCAGCATCTTGCTGCTAGTGATCTTGTCTGTCTGATCGTCGTACGTCTTGCGGATCGCGAGCGTCTCCTTGGCTTCCTTGAGTTGTTCTCGGAGCTCCTCGATACTCTCTCGAATGGCATTCTGCTTGTCCGTAATGGCGATTTTCTCCCTGGCGTAGCGACTTCGCTCAGCCTGGTTGCTGTTTGTCGTCATCTCCATGCGGAGAACGGCGTAGTCCAATAAATCGAGCTCGTTCATGATCTCGTTCTGCCAACCCTTCATGTGGCGAACCTGTTTCTCGCGTTCAGCGGCTCTCGCCGCGGCTGCTTCATCGGCAGCAGAGCCATCTGGAGGCGGAGACGGGAGTTGTATTGGTCGCGGTGCGTTCAGGGCATCGGGCGCAAGAAGTCTAGTAGCAACGCGTGAGTACGGGCGGGATTCGACGACGAGGAGGCGGGCAATGTTGTGGAGGGCATCTAGGAAAGTTAACTCGAGGCTCTAGAGAGAACTGTTTGTTCAATTACCCTCCTCTGCCTGCGGTAGGAGGCCGTAGTCGAAGCCGGGCATTGTGGGACCAAGGTTAAGAGAATGAAGCTGAGAAGTTGGGGATGTCGCGAAGAAGTGACGGAAAAGTGCTCCCTGACTTCTGGATCAAACCTCCGCCAAGGCGCTAGCAGCCAGGATCTAGTTTCCCCGATCCCGATATTCAACGTCAGCCTTCTTCACTTTACTGCCTCTATTCATACATCGCACCTGCTTGTTTCTTTATTACTTTCTCCATTACCTGTTCAAGACTTAAACATGATTGCTAGTTAGACGATTCGTAATTTCCGCCTTCACTGCATCCCCCCACAGCCTGAATCGAACACGTTTCGATCCTCCCTCTCAAAAATCGGCCTGGAAGAGATAGACACAAGTAACAGGACTCTCCTCTACTAGACGGCCATCGTACTCGCACGTTTACACCTGACTTTACTGTGTGGACAAGACATTTTGCTTCAAAAACCTCGCTATTTGTTACGCGTCACACTACCAAACTGTCCTGTAACAACTTCTGTCCTCAACCTGAACTCTCGATCTACTCTATAGACCTACGCTATCCCAACAACCACCCTTTCCACTACCAAAATGCCTGTCCCCTCCCTCTACGACATAGCCCGCAGCCGGATAATCTCCAACATCTCCATGCTGACCGACATCGGTGACCTCCCCTACTCCTTCCTAGCCCCTATCCTTAAGCACATCCAAAATCCGTCTCAACTGCTTGAACTCGAAACTACGTGCCCCCAGATTCTCGGCGAAACCGGCGAAATCTGGCTCCGCTTCATCAAACGCGACATCCCTAACTGGGATAAAAAACCGCATCAACCGCGCGATCCCTCCAACTGGAGCAAAGTCTACCGAAAGCTGAAGCGCGATGCGGAAAGAGAACAGGAGGAGCAGGAAGAAGCGTTGAGGCAACAAATGCGCGCGTTGCAGAAAGATCGGAGTGAGAATAAAACAACAATTGTGAACGCGAACGTGGGCTACAATCCTGCAGCTCGGCGTCGCGGCGGCGGTGGGGGTCGAGGTTTCAGCTCGGCGTCGAGTTCGTGGGGTCCGGCGCCGACGAAGACGGGGAAAGTCGCGTTGGATAAATTTAAGAGGGGGATGTTTGATCAGAAGCAGGCGCGGCCGAAGGTGACGCAGATCCCGGCACATTTGCTGGAGGAGAGGCGTGGGAAGGTGGCGCATGCGCCGGAGCGCATGATTAGGATGAATGAGAATATCGATGCGCCTGCGCCTGCGCCCAAGAGTATGCTGGTTCCGAGGAAGGCGTCGCTGGCTGGGAGGGGTGTTCCGCATCCCGCTCTCCACAGACCGGCTATTTCTTCGAGACCCCCACCACAGTTAGAACAGAACGCAAAGATGCCTGAGAAGACTGTGAGAACTTCCTTACCTGCAGATAAGCACTTTACAGCACCCAAACTCCAAACACAGACGCCCGCTGCCGCAGCGCCGCAGAAGAGAAGGAGAGAAGAAGCGAACCCATTCATGCCGAGGAAAAGAAGACCGTAGATTAACTCCCGCTTCGCCTCTCCTAGGGAAAAGATAGGGGGCATTCGAAAGGGAGGTAGTGGTGGTGTTTTATTTCGTTGGGGTTCTCAGCGTATCTTTATCTTCTGGATTGAATATTTGGTTCGCATATTCCGATTTGGATATACCATGGATCTGCATAACTGGCTGGATATTAGCATTGGGCGGCGTTCAAATTGGTGTTTATTCCATTTCTGTCAATGCACGGATCCGTACGAATGTAGCCATGTATATATAGCCACTTCACAACCTACGTGCAACAGCAACACAGCGACTGAACTCCACTATGCCATTCATTTCTATTGAAATCGAAGCTTCACTGATGTCTGTTAAAGCCGAAAAAACTTGCACCACAATGCACTCCATACCATCCCATCCGCAGCCACCTCTCCGCTTCGTACGTACGCATTCGAATCTACACCATTAAGCCGGAGGCGCAATCTCGAAAATCTCGTCGTTAGGGCCAAACTCGCAGAGAGTTAGTCTGCAAGTTTAGCCTAAATGTGACAGTGGGGTGGGAAGAGGATAGGGATTCAGTTTGAGCCGCCTCGTAGGGCAAGTACCAAGTGTAGAGTTGCACCGCCTTCGAGGTTGTAGTCTGAGGCGGCTTTATCGTCGTTCCTAGAAGTAGGTTAGAAAATGTGTGAGAGGGAGTATGTGTGGATGGCTGTACTAGGAGAGGGGTACATATGGTGTGGGAAGATGGGAAGGAGCGGGTACAGACGGAGTAGCAGGCGCGGGATTGGCAGAAGGAATAAAATTGTATGGGACAGAGACACACATTTGCTTGCCACCGAAGATAAGTCGTTGTTGTGCGGGCGGAATGCCTTCTTTCTCTTCCACGCGCTCCTTTATCCGAGAGACCTAAATGCACAATCAGCATCATTCCACTACCCACCCCGTTTGATCTCCGGTCTAGGGTACGGTCTTAGCGTTTAGGGAACGGTAAGAGCACTCAGATTCTGGACCGGAACGAAAACCGAATGGAGCGGAATGGCAGACGTACTTTGTAGTCAGGCTCGATGTCCAGTTCGATCTCCTTGCCCGTGAGGGTGCGCACTCTAGCCGCCAGGTTAGCCCAACATACAAAAATGAGCAAGGCAAGGAAGCGCGGAGAACGATGTAAAGACTTACTTAATCTGCATCTTGACCTAGATAGACAAGTTTCCCTCACCGTGTTGTTGTGTTGACGTAGTGTTGTGAAAACTGTGCGGTTGCGTTCCGCTCGTTGACGTCGGACGTGGAAGTGTTCGCGTGGAGGTCGTGTTCTGTTAGAGTGCTTCTGGAAGAATTGTATATGTATCCGGTCAAATGGGCGTGAAAGTGGTGTGTCGTGGTTCAGGCAGACAGCTGAGTTTGAGTGAAAGCGTCAGTCAGGCTGCACTTCCGTAACCCTACCGCTATCGTCGTGACTGCCCCACCAATGCGCAAGGCAACGGCGGGGCGGAGAGGCGGTGCGCTTGGTCCGTGCCCAAATGTGGCTCAACACCATGTGGCGGTGATATACACAATGATGAAAGCTCATTCTACCTCTCATTCTACCCTTCTCGCTTTGTCAGAATCCAGGGGTAGATTTCTCATGCCAACCGCCCGCGATCAAGTCGACCACGTTCAAAAGCCGTTCAGATCGTATACGGCTCTCATCTCCACCGACAGCCCACTTGCACATTCTTCAGCTCAAAGATCCAGATCTATCTGCAGCCACCTTTCTTCTTTCCCGTATTCGCACCGCCATATCACTTGCGAAAGCCTCAGCGATGCGAACCCGATGTCATTCCTTTTACGGATTAGAGTTTCGGGTCTTGGAACTCCTGACTGCGATGAAAAATCTACGAGGATATCGTGATCCATGAACTGATGTTTAAGATCCCCTTGTGGTGCTAGGCTAAAAGCGGTATTGTGCAGGTTATGATTGGACCTAAAGCCTGCAGAGAGGGCACAGGAGGGGAGATATGATGGCAGAATCATTGTTCTGGCCTGATCCAGTAATCTCGTCCACTCGTTCTCGAGTAGTTACATCGCGCGCAAGGTTGATCCTTCCTCCTTGCAACATGAAGGATGCCGACAGATTGTGGCATCGGGCATGGGGTCAAGATTAGGAATTCCGTGCAGCCTCCAGATCTCGACTAGACGCAGTCTGCAGCCTCGATCCTCCCATTGCACCTCTTGGTCAAGTGACGCCGTCACACAAAGTCCCGTTGGAGTAATACACCCCCGTTAGCTGCAAGCCTTCTCGTATCCAGCCTCCAATCACCTTTCCACATTCCTCCGAATTATTCTCAAAATACACTGCACATTGGCGCGAAGGCGTCAATCTCAAACAGATCTGAACAACACGGCAGTCCTAAAATGCAAAGCAAAGTAGAGGTCCTCAAAATAGCTTCGGAGCCGACTAAAGCTGGTGCTTTTTACCCCAGCGAGCTCTAGATTTGTGTCTGCAGTTAAGCCAACCCACATGAGATGCGGCTGGCAGTGATACCCTAAATGCAAGCCTCCGTCTTTTTTTGCCTATTAATCGCTCCGATGCAGCAGCCGCCCTGCCTTGCCTGCCTTGCCTACAGGGCCTAAATATATGTACAGAGAACATATTGATGCAATTGGTGAAACATGGGAGGCGGCTCGTGGCTGGATGTCTCCAGACGAGCGTTGTTCTACCGATCCGATCCCCCACTCACCCACAGAATTTGAAAGCAAAGCTGGGTATATAGTGTAGCAAATTTGCATCCAACAAATCCAACAAATCCAATAACAGTGAACAAGAAACAGGTAAAATGACCAAAGTCTCCCTCAATCTCTCTTTCTTTCTCTTCCAAAAACATAAAATAGCACAAAGAAACAAAAGCATAGGTGAACGAAAATCATCCCCGGTAATGCTGAAAACAGCAATCTAGCATCTCGAATATACATGCAAGCCCCGCACTCCAGTCTTGGATATGAAACGAACGAAAAGCTGATGAATAATGATAGCGATGATATCCCGGATATCTACCACAAGCGAATTAAATCGAATTGGAACTAAGTCTTCAAACTCCGGTGAGAACCCAGTCCACATGGGCCTAATGCAAGGGACGGTATTGCGGATCTTAGAGCAGGATATCGAAATGGAAGTAACCATGGAACGGAAAAAGGATTGAGGGTGATCGAGTCACACGGGCAGAAGTTGAATGCCAGCCTCAGTCAAATCTGAACAGGGATCCGGACAGGAACGGAATAAGAAATCAGTCGTGCGATTAGTTTGGCGAAGCCGACAGCCGACAGATGTCAAGAACGCGCATTGGGTGTGTATCCGCCGTGCAAGGTAGGTGGTGGTTCCACATCTTAGGCTATAGTACAGATAAGAAAAGAATCCTAGATGGAATATAAATGGAAGGATAGGCGTTCCATACCACATTTCCGTTGTACGGGGTTGTGATAGCGGCCATTGCGGCAAAGCGATGCAATGCAGTCGGATGCGAAGTTCGCGAAAGCGCTGAGCTGAGAATGAGATGAAACCAAGGTCCCGGTTTACTTAATCGAGTCGATATGCAGTACGTATGCAAACGCGGCGTGGAAATAGATTGCCGGACCAAATCAATTCGAATTTCGAGGTGCGTAAGCCGGCCCGGAGGTCAGGAAACCTCCGTTCATATGTTTCATGTTCCAGCGAAATTTGATCAACTCCTCTCGACTCAAAAGCTGACGAGAGCAACACTCTATACTGCAGCATCGTGCCACGCGAACGTTTCCCGGAAAGAGTAAGTGGGCTAACTGGGAGAGCGAATGGAATAACCGGTCGGATGAAGCCAACCAACAATTCTATCTATACCATCCAATTATGGATTCATGCGAATAGTACTCTGGGTATATGAAACCACAAGTCGAGCCTTTAAAAGGCGCCAAGAGGGAATCTGAGGAAAAAAATAGACGTCCAAGACGAGGCCAAATCAGCCGTGATGACAGGAACAATTGCGGTAGCAGGTAATCTCAGGCGTTGCAACCGGTAATTCGGGCGATGAGGCTGTTTATTGGCGGCACATGCAGGACACGCAAGGCAAAGTCGAATGGCAATTTTATAAGATTGTGTTCCTGCTTGCTGGCGGGCTGTTTTGGCTCGTGCGGGACCCGTGATTTCGAGTTCGAGATGAGGGGACGTTTGGTGTTGTGGACCTCATTTCGCTTCTCAGGCCTGCATTTTAATTCGCATTCGGCAGGGTATCGCGGACCGCGTGGCGTCCCTCGAAACAAGGTGCGAACTGGAACCGCGCCGTCTCTTCAGATGCGCTGGAGGGTTCGTTGCTGTTCACCATGGCCTGATAGAGAGGTAAATCCGAATGCGGTTGCGAGGGTGAAACCCGTACCCAACTCTACTGCCCGCTTGCTTCCCGTTTAGGCGAAGTCAGTACAACCCCCCTGTCCCCAGAAGCCGACTGCTGGTGCGGTCCAGATTGTCGTGTTTCAGAATGAACTGCTGCCGTGGGAGTTGCCGCCCGCCCATGTTGGTTGCTCCCAGGCCCGTCATTTCGTTGCGGGGGACCTGGATGTGGTTGCCCGTGTTGTTGAGAAGTCGCTTGAGCTTCAGCTCCGCGAGGTGGCTGTTGGAACCGCTGTTCTGAGCTGACGGAAACGGGCGGAAGTGCATCGGCTTGCAGTGATCCCGCTTCTGCATGACCATGACTGGAAATGGTGCCGCGTCGGCTTAGAGAACCGCTATAGCTCTCAAGTCCTCGCGTTGATGCATCCGATCGGGCTCTGGCGTGCCCTCTGCGGCCTGGCGTTGATGTGGACGACGTGGATACATGCGAGAACGACGGCGAGGTGTGGGACTGCGGCGCCGACGTTGGGGGCGGTGGAGCGTGGTGGCCGCCTTGGGCCTTCCGCTTCTTGGGGGAGCTGGTGTAATCTGGGTCAGACGCATGAGAGGGGGCACGTTGACGAGATGAGAACGAAGGCGAGGCTTTGTATTTACCTGACGGCGTTGCGGGGGGATTCCCGCTCGCGCTCTTCTCCTGAGAAGTTGGGGGCACCCAATGGTGAAAGTAAATCGACGGCGAGGACTGCTCCTGATGCGCCGAGTGCGTCTGTTGAAGCTGTTGAACGGTCGCAGGGGCTGCTGGAGGCTGCTGGATTTGGATTTCGTTTGTAGTCAGCCGGGGGAGCTGCGATTGCGCCGGAGGGCGAGGGGCGGATGTAGGAGCACCAACATGGGCTGATGTTTGCGCAGCTCTCCTTGGAGACAAGCTTCCACTGGCGTACGAAGGGGATGAAAATGCCGCGTGCTGAGGTTGCGCCAGAGGTTGTCCCGGTAGCACTGGAGCTGGTGGTAAGACTGATTGTGGTGTCTGTGGTGGCAAACTGTACACACCTGGCTGCGCCTGGTTGATCAATCTCGTCTCTCTGCGTAGCTCTGGTGATTGTACCTGAGACGGACCGAGAGTCTGCGTTTGCGGTTGCTGTGGCTGCTGCACCTGCTGCTGTGCTGTTTGAAGTTGAGCCATATATTGCTGAAGCCAGTCAATGCTCATGTTCGCGAGGTTACCACCACCAATTCCAGCAAAGATCATCGGCACGAGATGTGGGGGAATGCCGCCTTGCATTGACTCTCGAAGCATTGACTGCTCGATCCTGCGCTGCTCGAGCCTCAAGCCCTCCTGCCTCGTCTTCTCCTCCTCTTGCTTCCTCTTGTCCTCCTCCGCCTTAGCCATTAGCCAATTCTTCATGGGCTCTTCAGCACCTTGCCAATGCGAGGGCGCTGGCGGCAGTGAACCCGATGGAGGTGGAATTGGAGGGGGACCTCGCCCAGGATCCGGCAGCGTCATCGCCGCCGGCGGTGGGAGGCCTCGATGAGGCGTGCCCATGGTAGAAGAGGCACTGACCGGCAGTGGGGGGAGATGCCCGCCGTCGAGCTTGGGTGAGAATCGTGCGGGCGCGGAAGAAGAGAAGGTCGGAGAGTAATCATGAGTCTTAAATTCGAATTCCGACTTGGTTGGCTTGGAGAGAGTGAGCAACATGAAGAGTGGCAGGGACAGTCAAGGCGGTGTTGTGGGGGAGATCGACATTGATGAAATGACTGGTAGAGAGGGCTCAAATTTCAAGGTTCCAGAAAGAGATGGAACAACATACATACTTATTCAAAGAAGCTTTCCCGGAGCAACGTTCACCTATGGCCCAGAGCACCAGGCGGTTGCCTTCAGGGCTGGGCTTAATGCTTGCTAGGCACGCAGGTCCACTTGATTCGCGGTTAAAGACGAGGCTAGAGGGAGCAAGTGGGAATGGTTACAGGCAAAGCTGGCTGCACTGAAGATCTCGGCCAGTAGTGGCTCGCGTGTACAGGCTTGGGCGATCAGGCCCGGGCTGGAGGGATTGGGTGGTAAGAGGATGAGGGAAAGGCGGAGAAGGTAGTAACGATAGTACAAGAAGGGAAGACGCCTGGCTCCCGTTGGACCAACCGGCGAGATGACTGCGGATGCTAACGACTACTTGACAGTGCGAAGGAGCGGCAGACAGCACGACCAAAACCAGCCGGTGTGGCGTCTGGCGGGCGGTAGTGGGAGAAGGGGAGCAAGGACAGCAAGGATGGGCATGAGGGCAACGAGCGAACTGGTTGTCAGCAGGTGAGAGCTTGGGGAAGGAAGCAGAAGCCGTCTGACGTGCCTGGAGACTTCTCTAGCTCGGCCCTCTGGCTCTATTGCCCTGTACGGGCTTGTGGCGCTTCGGCCACTGACCTACTTTTTGACGTGCGTCTGGCCCAGATGAGTGCCTTTGCAGCCCCTCACAGAGCTAGTTTGACGAAGCAGAGGCCTGAAGCTCGGCGGGGTCTCTCGGTGGCTAGCGACGACGGCGAAGACGACCACAAGCAATAAGCAACAGAGCGCTGAGCGTCGGCTGATGTCTTGTGCTGGTGTGCTTCTAGTGTGCTTGCTGCGTGCTGGACAATTTGATGCTGCCCACCGTTACTCCATGTGCGCTCGCCTATCAGATGGACAAGCCTGAGCTGCACCACCACATATCTCATAACCAGACTCCACAGCACGCTGTTAGGTGTTAGGTCAGTTGGGGGCAGCGATTCCCTTGCCATGTGCATGATGCACTGCCGTTCACTGACGGTCTGCGGTCACTCTCTGTTGCCTCTCGGGGTGCCGCTGCCGGCCGGGCCAGCTGGACCGCTTGTGGCTGGTGGCGGCGTGCAACTACCAGTGCTCGTGGAATTAAAGGCAAGCCGGGCAAGGCCATGGGCCCCATGGGCTGAAGTATGAACAAGGGCCTGAGCAAGTGATGGCTTGAGTTGTGGCCCAGGACCAGGAGGAAGGGTCAAACGTTCGGGAGGAAGCGAGCAACTCTCGCTGGAAGATGAACGCCCTGCCGCACGGACGCCCCAGCTCCTCTTTTGAGCGTTTGCCTGTGTTCGAGGCTGCTTTAAGGAAATGAAGGGTCGCGGCCACTGTCTGACCTCGGGCGTTTGGTGTCCCAAAGCAGACGCGCGAAATGAAGTTTGCGTGTTGGTGGAGCAGCAGTGTATCAACACGAAACCTAGACAAAGAGGACACGCTGCACACGCAGACGCAGCCAGCGCCCATCCATGCCCCGCCCGAACAGGCAATGCCCTCGCTCCAATCGAACCTTCATCCGCCACCGCAGACCAACGGCGGGGCGTCTGTCCAGAGAGAGCACGGTGGCACCTTGTCAACCTGTCAGCCTCGGGCACAACCCTCCTGCGGATCGACGCAGCACGGCGAACGGCATGGCGAATCGACCGGGGCAGCGATCTCCATCCTGACACTCCAGCCAGGCAGAGACGTTACATAGGGATGCGCGTCGAGGCAACGGTTGAGCGCCTAAGCCAGGCTGGAGATCACCGCCCCGCGCGCTCCTCGTGCCGGCGTCGCCATGAGAGGACAAATGAGCACGACGTTTGGATGGTGCGCTCCATCCAGGTGCAGATTCGCGCAGATGACAGAGCGGACGTGCCCCGACAGGCACGCCAAAGGGCCAAGTGAGGGGCCGTTCGTGAAAATCGGGTTGCGCAATCACCGAGCGCCTGGCACGGGTGTGAGCGATCGACTGAGCAGTTAAATTTCCGTGTCCGCCGCTCCAACTTTGCCTATTCTGCTGCGGCCGGGATCTACATGAAACGCGTGGCGCGAGAGGATCTCTCTTGAACGAGATTTGGCCGCTATGAATCTAGACGCCCGCCAATCACGCCCACGTTGTCCTCCACTCGAACAGCCGCGACCTCTCGGGATACGATACTAGCGTCAGCACTCTGTCGGAAAACATTCAATCGAGCAGTCGTTAAAAAGAGAGGACAGGGTCCCTTACCTCACCTGATCCTGCTGCCCAGAGAACTTAACTAGGACGGGATATTGACCAGCCTCACATCAAACAAGATTGCAGCCACTGAAGCATCCAGATTCTGGTTTGGACACGGCACACCCGCTTCTAGTTGCTGTTGTTGTGCTTTAATCCCCTTTCTCAAGAGATGAGAGAGCGGCCTGTGCGACATGTGAACGTGGGTTCCCCAACTTGCGACCCATGAAGAGAAATTAATACGGCTTTGTTAATGGGGAAGCGGACATGTTGGCCTCCCTGAAACCCATGTCTTCGTCCTCGAATTCCCTATCCGGCGTAGTGGAGAAGTGACTCGACTGCATGATTGCTTTTCCCCACCAACTGTCTGTGACAGAGACATCAAGGTCAGACCTCGCACCTTCTAGTGGAGATGCGCAAGGCTTCCTCAGCCGCAAGCTGTTATGCTGCCAAGGAACTCGAAGAATTTGGCATGAAAGAACTTGCAGGAAAACACAACCCGCAGTCGCATTGTATAGTAAGAGTCAAGGCAAGATAGCCGTCCGTTTGCTGCACATCATCTCCACATCTATTGACATATTCATGGTAGATCAGTGGGCGAGGAGGCAGGCGAATATCATCAACAAAGCTGACTGATAACTCTGTCTGCTGATGCGCGTCGTCGCGGTGCTTCGGCGGTGCACATGGACAAGAGGAGCCGACGACGCAAGTCTCCGTGTCAGATTCCCCATCCACCGCTAAACATCTGAGCAGGACGTCACTTGATACTCCAAGCCATCGCGTTAGTGCATTGTCATGCTTAATGCAGGGCGAAAGGTTGACGTACTCACCTTCGTTTTATTTCAACTACGTAGAGTCCATAGCGGTGAATGTGCAAAGACATCGGCTCCACCTCCTTTCGCAATCGCTTCCGCTTCCACATTGCCCACCCCCACTAATCCCGTCGGGTTCCGTCACCCAAAAAGCTCCCCTCAGTCCGCACTTGGAACCGATTCTTAATCCGGTGGGTCTTCTCGCAGATCTCTCGCCTCTCTGAACAATCATCCCAAAGATCACCGCGAGATGCGGCTATGGGCTGTCACAATCCGGGCTATATTTACTTTTTGCCATGAATGAAGCGTACTAGTTCGTTAAGAAGTTGTCTATATTCATTCTTGAGGACTAAAGCCAAAGCCGAATTGATTCTCACTCCAAGATTGGGAAATTTGTTGTTGTACATAGTGTAGCTACGCGAGAAGCATGGGGCCAGAAGCTGTGGGGAAGTCGCAGACCCCGCCACCCAATCTTCATGAGGCATTTCCTTATTGAGAAGTCCCTGTTTGTCTCTATTTTCGGAGGCGAATTCATTCCCTAACAGTAATTATCACAGCTCGCTAGTCGCAGCGAGATACGGTCATCACGGCTAGTCAACTTGGGGGCAAATTCACTCCCTGTGCCCAGAACGCACAATTCTCAGCGAAACTTCAAGGCTAGCCAAACCTGGAGGCGAAGCTACCTCAATTCGCACCTTCCTTTTATCATACTTTGCAACTTGCGACTAAACCCAGTTTTTTCATCTCTCCCTTATCAAACGTTAACATTCGCAGCACAACCCAGTCCTTCCAGGCCGAAAACTAGTCCCTATGCTAACCAACGACACAAGATTTAGTATAACAACTCTCTGTGTTTCTCCAGAGGCCAATTTTTTTATTTTTTTTTGCCAAACCAACCAACCACAATGCTCCCTCCATATGAAGAGCCACACCCTCTTACACCCCAAGTCCCCCAACCATGGTTCGCTCTCCCAACGAGCCCGTCCGGTCCCAGGGAAGAGATTCTCGATACTAATCAACGCAGGGAGGCAGATAATTTTTTTTTCTCCGGACAGAAACTCATCTGCTATTTCATGATGTGAGTGCATGCGCGGGCCTTCGTCCCCCGTCGGCTAGAGCGCGGAAGTCGGCATGCGCTCATCACATCGCATTCATGTCTTATCCACGAGTGAAAATTATTTGATCCACAAGGATATCCCTCGGGATCCGAGCCGATATCCTCGTCGACTCATCAGACCCCATAGGCTCACACTTCTCCATTGAACATCAAACTGGCGAGAACGCGAACGATTACTCAACCATGCGCTCTCATGAAAGAAAAAATCGAGCTCAGTTTGAAGTGATACGGGTTTTAATTCGTTACTCTAGAGAGACAGACAGCTAGAGACGGAGGGGTTACATTACAATTACAATTCAGCGCTAGAACTACTCTAACGCGCTAATTAATTTATCTCATACATTTCCCACCATGACGACCCCATCAGACATGCCGCATGATCGCATAAAGACCTAGCAAAAGAAAAGAGGTATCTTGTGTAATCTGCTTCGGAGTACATCCGGTCCAACCCATACACGACACCTATACCGAAATATCCCATATGCGTACTTGGCATGCCCACCTACCTGGCATGCCAAAGTCCCTGGAAGATGTTGACAGAAGAAAACCCGTGAATAGTCACACAAATACTCCGGCTGCAAGGTGCCGAAGAACAAGCAACACTAGTCGAAAACTGTGCCGCGAACCGCTCGCAAGAGCATGCCATGCGAGATATATGAGAAGAAAAAGAAATGTTAGGAAAGCTATGTCTTGTTAAACCTGCCAAACCCAAAGCGTAAAGTCGATAACGCCTGGAAGGGGCAAAACGTGCCAGCCACGTTGATTGCACGCGACACCAGCAAGCCACTGATCTCAGATGATCGACAGACTCCAGTCGTTTGTCTGCACTTTCTCGAAGGAGTCTGGAAGCACGGCCGAACTTTCCATTGTCACTGGTTGTGGCTGGCGGCTGCACCGATATGGATGACTATTCGCCCCATTTTACTCGTCCGAGCCAACCAAACGCGGAAACTAATCCTTCAACCTGCATTGGCTCGTTTCTTTCGCATTTTGTATTCCGCCTTCGCCACCCTCATTAATAAGTCCTCATCTTTTATTGGGACCCAGGATGTCAACACCTTCATGGCATTTTCAAAATCCGAATCAAGTAAAATCTCCCTCGTTGCATCGATCAGCGCGGCAGATGTTGCATGCAATACATCCAAGTCTCCACTGAACGTCGATGAGGATGTATTCGAATTCGAAATGTCGCCGAGCAGCATGAAGACGTCCCAGACGCGAAGCTGTGCCGGAAACGGCAAAGAATAGTTGAAGAGAGTCAGGTACCATCGGGTACCGTAAGCTGTCGACGTAATGCCGAGTTCTTCCTATAAGGGCCTTCGTTAGCGAGATTCTAAGCATGTGGTTCCGAGAATGGGTCGGAAAGACCGAATTAGTCCAGCCACCACATCACAGAAGTGGGCGAGAGGTTACGCTAGACATGAGCAAGAGACGTTTCAATGGTGGTTGAGCCGGCCAAATGCAGGAGCGCTTACCAATTTCTTCGCTACGTCTCCACCACGCAACCAATTCTTCTCAAAGTCTTCCAAAGCCTCCATCAGTCCAACGAAGCCTGATTCATAGAGTCTCTCGAGGCCTCGAAGCATCCATAAGCGAACGAGCATAACGAACGCCTTGTCTTCTTCATAGTAGCAAAGAAGCGTGGCAGCAAGCGCAGCCATACCTTGAACGTACCCAGTGTCTGGTAGGTATAGAGACATAGCGTGGAGGACACGAAAAAGAAGTCGCTGTCTGCAAACTGTTAGCAGTGAAACACCTCATTCAGAGCAAACAACACACCCTCCCCGATATCGTCGGCGAAACATGATGTGCCTATTGATAGTCCTCGGGACATCCACATCGATCTGCATGTCGTCTGCCGAACTCTCTTCTTGTAGTTCATAATAGCTTTCAATCAATTCTTCGTCGGTTGGACTCTCTGGGTCTGCTTTGGCGCTCGCAGCAAGGAATGCATACCATGCAGTTCCCCGCCATCTATCGGGGATGCCTTTCCATGCGCGGGCAACGAGTCTCGGATCTTTAACATCGAACTCGAACATCATGCCGCCACCTTTTGCGCCTGAGTGCACCACTCTAGCCATCTTCCGCCATTTCTCTTCCCGCTCCATCTCCTTAGCTCTCATAGCTTGGGCTGCTCGTCCCCCGTCTTCCTGTTCTGCGATTTGCGCAAGACCAGGCGGTAAAGTGAGCATGTCGCTAGCTTCGTCCATGAGTCGCCGGTCCTTATTATGCGGCAAACGGTTGGCAGCGTACCGCATAGGGTTTCCAGAGGCACTGCGGGTAGTCGCTGTTTGATTGGAATAAACCGACTCTGTGTTTCTCGCAGATTTCAGCGAACGTCGCCTCTTAGGAGATGACGCGGTTGTTGGATTTGCAGATCGAGCAGACCGAGCTTTCGATACACTTCGGCCCAGTCGCCGCCGTCGAGGCTCCTCTGATGCAAGCTTAAGGGTGGTGGATACGCGTTGTATTCGGGGTTCGTCGGGTCCATCAAGGCCGCCGTTGGAAGAACCACGAGATGCTGTCTTCTTCGGAACGATGAATCCATATCTATCCACCTCCTCTCCTTCAAGATCGGCCCAGTCTTCCACTCCTCCAGCCGTCTCGGTAGGCTCCTTTGCAATGAAGCTCTCCTGTTGTGAAGACCTAAGTGACCCAGAATCCTCGCGATGTTTATCCACCGTCAATGTTGATCCATTCATAGGCGTGCCAGCCACGCTACTGCCCACAAAGCTATCCTGTGTGCTTCCCGGCTCTTCTTCTACTCCGTCCCAATCTGCTGCATCCTCGTTGCCATGCCGGTACATTGTCCGAACTTTGCGTGACAGCATCATCTCATCCGCCGACAGCACACGACTACTGACAGCCCTTCCACGAGCGGAGAAGCGTGATGGCGACCGGGGGGATAGCCGTGACGTGACCGGTGTCTGTAGGCCCTGCGATTGTTGCGGCTCCTGCTCCTGCGCCGTCTCTTCCTTCCCATTCCCTTCCTTCCCCTCCTCTTCCTTCACCTTCTCATCCTTCCCCTCCTGTTCCGTCTGCTCTTTCTCCTTTTGCTGGGGTGGGGTGGCCTGAGGCGCAGACGCGGACTCACTTGCGGCCGCACCTTCCTCAACCAAGCCCAGCTGTTTCTTCATCGCGTTCGCCCTCTTGCCAGCCACCAGCATGCTCCCTCTCTTTGAGAATGACACCTTGTTCGGTGAGGTGAGGTCGCCAAATCCGCCGGTGGGGATTATCGTCTCAATGCCGCGGAACGTGTCCTGGCGCTCCGCCTTTAGCTCTTCCTGCTCTTGCGACATTCGCGAGGCATGAGTGCTCGATCTCGGCTGTTGTGAAGAGAGCTCATCTTGAACGACGATAGCTGGGAGACTCGGTGTCTTACGCAAGTTCACGGGCGAGGAGCTATAGTCACTGACTGAAGTGAGATTGGTGCCTGCGGGTGAGGTCGAGGACGCCAAGGCCGAGTCCCTCCTGGCGTCATCCTCTGCTAACAGCGTTCTCTTGAATGGTGAGGCTTTTGGGCCTGGCGATGTTCGCGGTCGCCGGACGCTACTGAGCCATCCGCGCGACGCGGGCGACTGGGGCAACGATGTGCTGATCGCATTCGAGGTTGCGGTCGAGAGGTAGTGTTGCGGCTCGCGAGAGAGCTCTCTGGTATCATCGCCATCAGGGATGACAGCAACCTCATCTCTCATGGCGTTGAGCTGTCGCAGCTACTGCGAGGTCGGAGATGAGATCGGCCTCGGCTCGTGAGGGAAATGAGGACTCGGCAGCCTGCAACTGCGGCGAGGACTATACTCTCAGTCGCAATGAGGCCGACCAAGTAAAGGACCGCGAAGCTGTAGCAAAGTCAATTGCCTGTCGTCGTCAGTAATTGAGAGTTGAAGACTGACGCGACGTCGGCAGATCAGGGAGCAAACCCTGGTGGTTTGCCGGAGGAAAAGGGGCGTATCGTGGGGCCTGCTTCCTCTCCTGCACCCAAACTGCAGCAGGGCTTCGGAAATTTGGATCCCTCCTGCCGCTCGCTAATTGGCTCCTGCCTGCTACCTCGAGGTTGTGCGACGCCTGCTCACGGGACCAGACTGTGGCTACTCGTTAGAGCCAATACAGCATTTACACGACCGTCGTACTCACAATTGAACCCTTCTCCAGCTTTCGTTGATGGGAGCTAGCTCTGGCAAGATGCTTCCCCTCATTTCCTATTTGGGTCTCAGACACCCGCTTATGGAGCAACTTTTTCAACTTCTGCAAACCCAGCATCAACGATGGTTCCACGCGTCTCAATAAACTCCATCGCACATCCAGTGGCCATCGCGACTTAACGGGACTGGCTCCGAGACAGAACACCAAGCGTTACTCGTTCTCCCCTGGATTGGCTGTGCTTACTTTCTTCTTCGAACGCATTCGGAAAGTCCCTATCAAACCACCAACCTCCATGCGCCCTTGCGCAAGCCACGAGAAGAAAATCAAAGATGCTACAAAAGACACGAGCTATATGTCACTTAGATTCCCTATAAACTAGCCCCCTCTTTCTCCCCGAACATATATAGTTCCTGTGACGGGTTATCGACACCCTGACACCCATAGTAGCATTCAATCGGAGGAGTCGTTTCAAATATTCCTAGTTCGGCGCAATATGTACCACCGTCTCTCAAACTCTTTCACAAGAATAATAGGATACGAGACTGGCAATTAAAAGAAAGTCATACGGCATGGGCGTTCATCAAAAGCATGACCCTAGTCACAAGCAGCGTGTCGAAGATGGGGTCAGCTGGACGGGGGCTCCAGGCGTGGCATTTAGCTCCGATCACATGAGTTGAAGACTTGCACGTGTCATTGGCGTTTCAGCAAGCTTTTTCTATGCAAATCTACTTACGCTACTGTTCAGTATGTGGAGCTTCCATTAACAGGTAGAGTGCCCAGATCTATTGTGAAAGTGCGCTCGGCCACCTACCGTTTTCTGATTTTTCCAAGGAATTCTGGCATGTCACTTATCATTTCATTCGGACATTCTATGCAGGCCAAATAGCCTCCAATGTCTCTCTCTAAAAAACCGTTAATATATCTTCCTTCTTTCTGCAGGAAAGATCCTACCTTGGAACAATTAGAGACTTCTTGTAGTCGCAGCCGCTTTATTGTAGACTGGGAACGTGTCGAAAGGAAAGATACAATCAGAAAGAACCTCCATGAGGTCCTTCTCTTTCTCATTTAATCCGGTATCCACCCCGTAGCGAACGTCATTGTAAGATCAGAGCATACTCGTCATAATAGATAGAAGTATGAAGAAGTATAGCGAAAGCGTTATAAACAATTCGTTGTTGAACTAATCGTTTTCTTGTGTTGCAGTTCTAAGGTGCGGATCCACCAATTCATTATACCTTTCAACGACGAATATTATGATACCGACAAAATTCTAATTGACGGTAGCCCCAATAGTTTGCGGCCTCGTCTTCCCATACTCCATATGCCCTTCCATAAGCGGCCTCCCATCTACCACTGAGCGCGGCCCATAGACTTTTATTCTCTTTTGGGAAGCTTGTGGCCCTTCGCCCAGGCACATATTCGCATAGACTGGTTTACAGGTTTCGTATTTGCCTGTACACAGTTCATGCACTACCCAATGACTTCAGTTACGGGCTTGTGCCACACACGACTTGTATCCGGGACTCTTCATCAGGACGTCGTAGATACGCATGGTACATTGAGGTGTTCAGCCCCTTGTTTGGTCCTTGTGGCCACCAGAAACCTAGAAGAGACCATACTATGGGCTCAAAGACGGCATCTGTGGCATTCCCCGGCTCAAGTAGCGGCTCCATGACATTCCGAACCTTGTAAAACGGCTCGGGCCATCCGTGAACTAGAAGAAGTGGATAGTCTCATATTGCCACGCCCTAACCGTCTCATGAATGAAGTAGATGGTAAGCCCTTCGATTCTGCGGTATGATGATGCCACTGCGATACCGCCTCTTGTGCATCCAGCTAGGAGCAATTGTTTAGCTAGTAAGTATATAGTTTGGGGACCCGAGTTGGGTCTGGACCTACAATGTGTTGGATTGTAAAGACACCCAGGGACTTTAGATCTCACCAAAGCCACGCCTAACCCTGGATGCAATTAGGTCCTTAGACAGGCGTGTGTCTTTCAATTTACTAACTAAGCGCTTGACCTCCTCTTTGGAAATCTTAGGACCAAAGGGTTTGGTATCAGCTATGTTCAGTCTCTTTCTGGGCCTCACGAGATACAACTGTCATAGAGTTTTGTTAGCAGATGCAATAGTCTATTTCCGCTGATAGGCGCCTGAAATGTTTACGGTGGTCGTTACCCCGTTTTCAAAGTGAAATATGGACGAATAGTTGCACTGCGGAGCTCGTAGTTACGTCAATGTGAGGATACAATATGTGCCCCCATTTGGCCTCATTATGTGACATAATTGAACCTTAACTTCTACGCACCTTCACATCCTTCAAAGACACTGAGCGGTATCAATCGAAATAATCGACGCAGCTTTGGTCTCGGGCTCTTGATGTTTGTTTCACTTGTCACCCAAGCGCCAGCAATAACCTTTTCAATCCTAAACGAAGATCATAATCAGTACAGCCATTGTTGCACTACTACATCACTATAGTCCCAATCATGGCTGTCTCACAATAACCGTAAATTTCAATGTTTCCAACGCGCACTCAAGCTTGATCATATTCTTACGACGAAGACAGATTCCCAAGGAACAGCCCCATTCACTGGTTCATTTCCCAAGCCTTTAGTCCACCCTCCTCGCCGAATCTTGCTCTATACCATTGGCCTCAATTCCCCGCCGAAATGCAGGGTTAGAATTACATCGCGCAACCCTGAGATTCAGAGCCGAGATTTAGGAAGATGCAGTCTGCAGAAAATGGTCTCCTTTATTTCCAAGCGCTAGATCTAGGTATCGCATATCACCTAATTTCCCACAACACCGTAAATTCAAGTTCACCTGGTCTCCCCATTTGGACCACCATTGCTCCCGGCCCTCCCCACCGCTCTTTCTACACTGTTCGCCTTTCTTGCACTCTCAAAGATGGTCAGTCTTTCACTACCTCCTGCTCCCCAGCCTCTTTCTGCTCCCCCCCCTCCCGTAATACACAGCTCGACAGACTGGACAGTTATACCTCCATGCTAGAAACAACGAGAGAAGGCAATTGGCATGAAACTCATGACCACAAACTTTAAGCCTCAATAGCTCTTCCTTTTCCACTGGCGAGGATTCAGAAAGCTGTGTGTTCTCGGAAACCTCGAGCCAAGAACCCATTTCAGCCGCAACTTTTGCAGGTTCAGGAGGTGACGGTGCATGTACGGTAGACAGACAAATCGCACTACCTCACATCGTTAGTATTACGACTCTGACTCCTACTCCGTCTCCTACTCCGACTTCCGCTTTCAACTATATGACCACACTTACCACTCCTCAAATGCTGAGACCTCCTCCACACATTCCCTCTCCACCGTTGTCCCCGCACACGCAAATTTAGAATTTCTAGTATGCGTCGCTACCTCCGTAACCTCGTCCAACTTCTTCCGCGCATCCTGTCTTTGCTTCGCGGGACTTTGGAGTCGTATTTGCGAAACTAAGCGGCTGTTTCGCCGGCATCGAATCAGGTATATGCAGATACTACAACATAAGTACCATCAGCCCGACATTTGACTTTAAGAATCAGAGTAAATAGATAGCATATCACCTCCGCAGTGCCACACACTTACCACGGTGTAAACAAAAAGAACACGAACAACGGAACCAGGAAACTCATAGTCATTGATGATAACTTCCCTCCTGATCCAGATCCATATTCTGATCTTGCGCGCTTGTGAAATTCTTCTAGGACTTCTCCTGAGGCGGAACCAAGGATGCCGAGGAATATTGCTGGCATGCTCCCTCTTTCTCTCGCAAAGTTGCTCGCGGGGGACACAGGGGTAACCGTGGATGTATAATGTGCGTGGTTGTGGGTCGGGCGTCGGTGCGGACGGCAGGTATCCAGGGGCCCCAATATTTGAGAATGTTTCGTGGCAGGAATTGTTCTTCTCTCGCTCTTTTCTTGCTTGTTTGCCCTGAACTCAGCCCGTGAGTAGCTCCCCAACAAAAATGAAAATCACGGCGTGCCTGACGCGTAAGTTCTTATCCCAATCCTTTCCCATCCCAACACCAAGCCTTCAGTTTTCACCTCCAAGAAGCAAAACAACCCATAAAGAAAGCCCGAGCAACTAGCTCCTCCCCACACCCTTGCCAAACCCTTTCAACCACCCGAATACCCCGCCATCTAACCTTCCACGCCGAATCTTCTCCTGGGCTGACGAAACCGCTCCCCGCGGTATCCTGATGCCCAGCCATGATCAGGCTTGGATCGAAAGTATTGCCAAGGGTCGCCCAGCGGAGCGGGGTGGGGTGGCGGTGGATTGTGGTTGGTAGCAAATTGGATCGTGTTGCCGTGGTTTCCGGGGTATGCACACAAGGTTGTCTGGATTTATGGTCGTTCATAGCTGGCTCAGAGTTTTCATTGGGGTTTTTGGAATGTGATCATGAACACGCCAGGCGTGCCTGGCAAGTTATCGGGGGCGTACGAGAATGGATTTCAAAAGTGCTGCAGTTGCCAGGCAACTTCCCGTCCCAGAAGAAGAGAATCCAGGATGCCAGAAGGAAGCCGAGTTACGGATTCTGTTTGTATTTTAATTCCAGTACACATGTTTAGTAATTCATATACAGTCAACTCTTAATAGCGCGATACAATTCTAGAACAAGAATTATATTGTTATAACGTACTTTACAGGCAAGTTGCTCACACACCTAAGTTGCTTACTTTTGCTAAGACCCTACTACACTACTTTTTCTACACTAATGCATTTTTAATAACACTACTTAGATATATTAAAAAAATATTAAATGCAGCTTACACTTTAAGCTTTTAAATAAAATATAATACTTTTTAAGTAACACACTATAGCTATTTATAAAGTTTTTTTTAAAAAATAATAAGTAACTAACACACTAAATAACTTTTCTAAGCTAATTATATAGCTAACTTATAAAAGCTAAATAATAATAAAAAGTAGGTAATTATTTAGCACATACTTAAGCTAAATGTGTAAGAATTTCTCTTTTAGCTAGTAGCTATAGCTAATATAGCTAATTTTTTATACACTAAGTGTAATATAAGCTATGTTAGTATAAACTAGCTTAATATGTTTATTAAGTGTTATTTAAAGCTTAAAGTAAAGTTTAAGTATAAGTATAACTATAAAAAAGCTTTTTATAAAATTTTTATAGTAATTTAAAGCTAGTTTAACTTTATAAAGAATTTTAAAGCTAAGTATAACATGGTCTACAAGCGAATGTTCAACACAAGCAAGTGTTCTGCCCTACTACTAAATTTAACTTTAAAGACTATTAATTTAACAACATAAAAATATACTATATAAAATAAACTACTATAGAATTATTTAATATCCTTACATGTATAAAAGTTATGCCTAGGCTTGTTACAGCGCTTGCAGCGCTGTGCGCGCGCTGCGCTGCTTTTAGCAGTTAACTCCTTCTAAGGCATTTTACTACCTCTTACTATACTAGTAAGCTTTTAAGTACTTAACTTAAAGCCTTAATAACTTATTAGAGTTTTTTTTTTCTAAATTTACTTTTTTTTACACTACTTACACTTTATAGCTGCCTTATAGGCCCTCTCTAGAGTAGCTGCTTAATTGCGCTATAGAATAGCAATATAAGCTATCTTAGTAGCGCCCTTACTTAGCTGCTTTGCTAGATTAAGCATAGTAAAAAAAAAAAAATTCTAATGCCTTTAAATCTAATTATATAGTAAAGTTAACTAAGCCTTAACTTTATAAAAATTACTAAGTGTTTAAGCCTTCTAGGCAGTATTTAGTAGTAGAGTAGCTAGCTAATTAGGTAGCTGTATATTAAGCTTTAAGAGCACTAGCTTTAGGTTAAATAGGACTAGTCCTATAGCTTTAAAGCCTGCGCAGATATTATCTGTTATAATTAAGTAACTAAATACTGCTTTAAAGGCTAGTAAGAAGGTTAGCTTATTAATATAGTTAATCTAGTAGTAGATTAACTAGCTAATCTTAGTACTGTACACACGCTTTAACAGTAAAAAGCAGCTAACGTTAAGCAGCTGTAGAATATGTAACGCGTGTGCTGGCATATAAAGCGCTATAATACGCCTCTGCTTACAGAGCTTTAGGAATTTAATAAAGTAATAGCTTTTATAGCTATTAAAAATAAGCAGCTGCTATAAGCCTACTAAGTAATTTTTTATATGCAGATTAAAGTGCTCTAGCTATGTAATTCTATGTTTGTTAGTTATTTAGCTATTATTACTAACACTAATAGCCTAGTCTTTTAGTATATCCTTATCCTTATACTAGGCAGATAGGTGATGCTTGCCTTTAAAAATTATGTACAGAGGTATTGCCTACTTATCTGCGTTAATGCCTGTAATAACTGTTACCTATTTATAGTTGCCTAGCTGTATAGCCTTTAGCTAATTACGTCTATCTATGCCTATAATAACTATTTAGCTTAATATAACCCCTATCTAAAAGCCTGTTTTATTAAAATTATACATGTTCTAATCTATAATGCTGTACTTTAATTATGTAGCCTCTATAAGCTTAAACTACTTGCTTATAATTACTAGATCTTTGCATTTTACTTATTAGTAATTATATAGTTAGCTAAGGTAAGTTTTAACTGCTAGCGTACGCGCAACAAAGTTAGATAGCTAGTTAATACCTGCTAGTAGAGCGCTGCGCTTAGTAAAAAGCTTATTAGCTATCTCTTATACAGCACCTAAAGTAGGCGCAAATCTTTAGAAATCTAGATTAAGTATATGCTTAATAATTACTTTCTTTTCTAGCTTTATAAGCTTCTTGTTGTTAGCTGTATAGTTGCGTTGCATAGTCATCCCTGCGCGTTATTAGCAGAGAGCTATTTAATTAACATTGTAAAGTGCTGCAGCGCGCCTTTTAGTTAAAGACATATCTTTATTAAGAGCTTAAATAGCTAGGTTAATTCTAGCCTTTTTTAAAGATTATTAATTATATAGTTGTTAATGCATTGCAGTTAGTAGTAGGTTAGCTGCGTTTTAGTGGTGGGGCAGAACACTTGCTTGTGTTAAACATTCGCTTGTGGACCATGTTAGTATTTAGAATAATAATATATATAACTTTAATAAAATAAAGTTTATAATAGGCTAAATATTTACTAAAGCAGTTATTATAAGTTTAGAAAGATAAAGATAGCTAAAAGTAGTCTAGCTAAGTAACTAGAAGTAAATAATAGCTATTTAAAGCATTAATACTAAAAAATAAGCTATTTTACTTTTTATTATTTTTTAAAGTAGTAACTACTTTTTAAACTAGTATAAAAAAATTTACTTTAAAATTAAGTTATTATAATCTTTAAGCATAGCTAGACTACTAATTAGCTTAGTCTAGACTAGTTAAAGCACTTTAACATGCATATAAAAAAGTGTACTATTAGTAGCTACTATTTACTAGTTATTAATAGCTATAAAAGCTATAACTTACTTTATTTTTAGTAATACTATAAAAATAATAAAATTATTACTATTTATATACTTTTTTACTTATTACACTTTTTATAGCTACTTAATATAGGTTATTTTACTTCTTTAAAAAAAGTGTATAAGTGCTAAGCTAAAAACCTTATATGTAACTAAATTACTTATATTATAAAAATAAAGTTCTTACTATGCTTTAAAGTAGCTTATAATACTATAATTACTTTTAGTAATATTTAAAAAAAGTTTTAAGGCGCTAGATTAGTTTTTTTTAACTTATAATAAGTTATAATAAGCTTTAATATAAAGTTATACACTTTATTACTACTACTACTTATATATAATAAGCCCTAGTAGTTATAAACTCTAAGTAATACTTTAAAACTTAAGTTATAATTAATGCTTATAAAAATAAAAATTTAAAAGTATATAAATAGTTTACTAACTTTTATAGTTAAAGTGTTTAAAAAGGTCTTAAAAAAAGTAGTAATAATTGTGTATAAGCTAGTGTTAGTATAATAGAAAATTACTAAGCTTTAAGTAGCTAATAAAGCTACTACATAACATAAATTATATAAAAAAAAGTAAATTAAAGTAGAAAAAACTTTAATAATTTAAAAAAGCTTACACTTAATAGCTTTAAAAAAGGTTAAAGCGCATAGTAATAGAAAAAAGGCAAAGAAGTAGGTGTAAGCTAAAGTAGGTAAGCTATCCTAAAGGCGCTATAGACAGTGCAATTAGACTAGGCATAACATGTAAATGTGTAAGTAAGAAGTAGAAGTAGTATCTAAATAATATTCTAGGCTGTACTATACTATATAGTGCTAGAGCGGGTTGTTATAGGCTATAATAGAGTTTGTTAGGGTGGGGTCTTGGCAAAAGTAAGTGACTCGGGTGTGTGAGCAACTCGCCTATGAAGTACGTTATTGCAATATTGTTGTAGCAAAAGAGTTATGTAATCTAACTATCTAAAGTGCTCTAGACAAACTGCTTAGACTTTTAAGCCTTTACTTTAGTATATAGCTGCTAGAGCGCTCTAATCTGCTAAGAAGTTATTAAATCTGTATGCTCTTAATATAAAAGTAGTAATTTAAGAGCCTACTCTGCCTATATAAGGGTAGGTATTTATATAAGAGGCTTTTTATTATTTAATTTATCTTTAACTAGCTACTAGCTATATGTTGTAATTATATTTACTACATTAAAGTTAAATTAAGTAAGCTTATAATTTTTATTAATAAGATTTAAGAAGTTTTTAAAGCTTATAGCATTCTAAATCTTACCTATATACTGCACTTGCTAGTAGAGCTCTTTTAGCTTTTGCTAAGACTGCTTTT